TCAGTAGCTTAATAATTATTGATCGGACGGGTAATCATGCTTTATACTGGATATGGTCGTAGACGTCTTCAAATTGGTCGGGAATTGATGTAAGAACTAAATTCATGAATAATGAAACTGACCAGTGTATAAGCACCCGTACACCAATAGATAGATGAGATAAGACTGACTGCAAAAGAATTGCAACAACTGATCAGCTCAAGCTACAAAAGTCACTCCACTTGGATCTATGTGCATTGTTTAATTTACAGGTATACTGAAGATTATTAAATATATATTATTGAGATATTACTCAGAATTGTTTCTAAATACCAATTTTTGGCCGGCAACGTTACCGTCAATAAACATTTTCAAGCCTTCATTTGCAGATTGCAACCCGCTTGGTAAAACTTTTAAAGGAGGAGCTTTGATAGTTTTGATTAAGGAGGGGACATATTTTTTCCAAAAGTCGAGATACTCTTCTAACATTTTGGGAGAAGCAACATGGCCAAAATGTTTTCTACCATCAACCAAGTAAGCATCAGTGGAAGTGAATTTGACTTTTCTTTTTGGATTAGTAGTGATTGACTTTTCATTGAGGAACAAAAGATTATCAATGGTCACGTCACTAGTGCCTTCAGTGGCATCGTAAATTGATTGAAGGGTTTTTAGGTTAGAAACGCAATCTAAAGCGTACTTGATTTTCCCCCCACCGGCGATTTTCAATTTCTCAATAACGTCATCATCATTATAATCAAAGATTTCATCAGCACCTAAAGAAGATAAGAAGCTGTGGTTTTTCTTCGAGGCAGTAGTGATAACTTTAATGTCAAAGACTGATTTGGCAATTTGGATACCTAATATACCTGTAGCAGTAGCACCACCCCAAATCAATAGATAATCATTAGAATTTTTCAATTTATCGACCGGGATTCCAAGGTTATAATAAAAGCTTAGAGCAATTGTCTTGAGCCCAACCCCAACAGCAGCAGCTGATTCAAAAGAAGTAATGGGGCCACATGGATGCTCTCCAATATCCAAAGGTTTATCTGATAACTGACCAACTGGGTATTTGACGGTTGCATTTGGACTAACCATGACATATTTAGAAAACCCCCCAATTTTATTGATGCCACCATGAAGAGAAGCGTTCACTATATCGCCTTTCTTAAAAGTATCAACGTTCTTACCAACTTCTTCTACTATACCACTAACATCGGACCCGGCAACATTGCCCCTTTGATAAAACGTGAGCGGTCTAGCAAGAGATTTTCCCAAGTAGGAGCCCATCGAGCCAAACACACAGGCAAGAGAATGAATCCCCAAGCCAGCATACTTGAAGGTTTCTGATAATTGGTGGCCAATGAAGTCTTCGGGGTATACGTGTTTCCAATCGGTTGGATTAACTGCGTAAGCGACGGCTTTAATGATGATCATATCATCTTCCAACTTTGGATACGGAATCTGGCGAGTGGCAACCAAATTCAGAGTATTTCTGGAGCCCGTGATAACTGCACCGTCATTAAACGACATTTTAATATATTTCACTTTTAAAAGATTAAATATATTCAAGAATATTCAAAAACATTCAAAGGGTTCAGGGTTTATATAGGGATGCAGTGGAAAATTCTGCTGCGAAAAAAAAAAGGCAGTTTCCGTCGCGGTTTCCGTGCCGGCGGAAGCTTTTTTAGTGTTTCGCTTAAGTTTATTCTTCGCAGTGTCCGTCGGGGGTGATGAGGAGTATAAAGCAGCCATTGGATTGCTACGGTGGAAGGTATAAAAGGGACGGAGCAGCTTATGGAATGGATATTGGATGGGTAGGGGCAAACCACAATTATAAGATGGGTAGTTCAATACTAAAATTAAGTGACGGAACCGATCTTTATTACAAAGATTGGGGCGTTGGAGAACCGGTTGTGTTCAGCCATGGATGGCCATTGAGTTCAGATGCATTCGAAGATCAAATGATATACTTAGCACTGAAAGGGTACCGGGTGATTGCCCACGATCGCCGGGGCCACGGAAGATCGGGTCAATCGTGGGACGGACACAACATGGATCAATACGCTGATGATTTGGCAGAGCTTGTTAACCATTTAGACTTGTCCAAGGCAGTTCATATCGGACATTCTACCGGAGGAGGAGAAGTGGCCCGGTACGTTGCAAGACACGGAACCCAACGAGTCCTGAAGGCTATCTTGATTGGAGCCATCCCACCGATTATGCTTAAAAAATCCGATAATGCAAACGGAACCCCCATTGAGGTGTTTGACGAGATCAGAAACAATGTCTTGCAAGATCGCTCCCAATTCTTCCAGGATTTGGCCCCGGTTTTCTATGGGTTTAATCGAGAGGGTGCGAAAAAAAGTCAAGGCTTAATTGACAGTTTTTGGTTACAAGGAATGCAAGGCTCGATCAAGGCTTTACATGATTGTGTTGAAGTATTCAGTGAAACCGACCAGCGAGAGGATTTGGCCAAAATGACCATTCCAACCCTTGTTCTCTATGGCGACGACGACCAGATTGTACCTCCTATTGCCTCCAGTCAAGCTGCCATCAAGTTGTTACCACTGCCAACTGAAAAAGTATACAAAGGAGCATCTCATGGAGTTTGTAGTACCCATAAAGATGAAGTGAACCAGGACATTTTAGCTTTCATTCAATAATTTGACACAAATAGTAAATGTACAATGAATATACAAATGGAAAATTTAACTTTTGCTGTATAAAACCCAACAAACTGTTTCTATCGCCTAAAACTCATTGTTAAATTCCGGGATAGCGATCTACACGTCAATTGGGGGCACACTGGTGCTCGCTGCATTCAGTAACTTCAGACCCGAACCGTCAATCTACGTTTACCCTTTGTACCTACTCAGCATATCCATATGCGTACCACTACTAATCTCGCTTCCTCTAACCATCCATATCCCCAGAATAACACCAACAAGTGGAATTAACCCTCGCTGCTGTATCAATACCAACAAGAAACAAGCAGAACAAGCAGAACAAGCAGAACAAGCAGAACAAGCAGAACAAGTGGAACAAGTGGAACAAGTGGAACAAGTGGAACAAGTGCAATTAACACGGTTAGCAAGAAGAGGTCTAACGCAATAATATGAAAATACCCGCTGAAAATAAGCGCTGAAGAAATAAGCGCCGGGAATAAATAAATAATAAAGAAAAAAATGTAGAAAAAATGTAGAAAAAATGTAGAAAAAACTGTAGAAAAACAAAAAAATCAAAAAAATCAAAATAATCAAAAAAAAAAAGATCTCAAAACAACACTTCTCAGGGTCGCTTAGCCGCCGTAAGGTAACTGAACGGCATACACTTCTCTTTTTCAAACACTTTCCTTTTAACACTTTACTTTCCTTTTAACACTTTACTTTCCTTTTAACACTTTACTTTCCTTTTAACACTTTACTTTCCAAATCTTTTCTCATTACTCTTTTCTTCTAGTTATAGCTCGTCTCTTGCGAGGCATCGGTCACAGCTTGCAGGTCATTGCTAATGGATCTTTGTCTAGGTTAAGGTTGACAGCGGCTAGCGACAAGGTCTAGTTCTACACAGGCATTTAGTTCCTGTCACCTTTTGCTTTCTTTGTTCAGTGTTGTATTAATAGATCGATTCAATTGTTCTTTGTTTGATATCTCTAACAATCGAAACTTTGCCTAATTTTAACTTTTTGTATTATTAGTTTATTGGGATACTCTTTGTATTTTTTTTCATCAGACTTAGTGGGCTTTTTTTTTATTCTTTGACTTTTTTTTTGGCTTTTTTTTTTTTTCTTTTTCTGGCTTTTTTTTTTTTTTTCTGGCTTTTCTTTTTTATTTTGGTTTTCAGAGCACTCCAGAATATCAGCAGAAACAATCAAAACTAACAAAAAATATATATAGCTCCTTCGAATTTTAATCTTGTCTGTTCTCTTTTCTGATATCCTCTTCCTTCTTATGCTCTCTTTTCACTCGAATTAACCTTTCAAGAAAGAATAATAGAAACTTTTAGAGTTAGGCTATCCCTCATTTACCTGAATAGCTTTTTCTTGTTCTTTTTGTTCTTTTTTTTTTTTTTTTTTTTTTTTTTTTTTTTTTTTTTTTTTTTTTTTTTTTTTTCAGTAATTTATTTCTCTGTTTCAATCATGGATTCTGATAATATAATACTATCAAATCAGAATTTAAGTTACTTGTCTAATCCTCCTTCATCATTCCCCAATCCTCAGTCATCAATGGATGATGATTTTAACAATCTTCAACATTCAATTAGTGCTTTGAAGAAAGAAAAAGGTCCTCGTCGTCGTAAACATAAAAATTCCAAAAATGGTTGTCCAAATTGCAAAAGACGTCGAGTGAAATGTTCAGAAGATTTGCCATCTTGCTTAAATTGCATCAAACATAAAACACGGTGTGGTTATTTGGACTATAATGAAGATCAAATTCTTGAATTGAAAAAATCAAAAGATTCTGATCAAGATTTATCAACTTTAAAACCTATAAAAGACTTATCTTTAAATAATGATGATAACAATGACTCAAATCGTAAAAAATCTCCTTCTTCAAATGAAAATTCCCCTTATTATGATGATTCTCCCCAACCAAAATCAAAATCTTCCAGGTCATCTCAATTAACTTCCCAGTCACAGCTTCCTTCCCAGTCGCGTCCCCAGTCTCAACCATCTCAGTCTCCTTTACATTCCCATCTAACTCCTCAATTACCGAATTCTGGTGTTAATGACGTACTCAACTTTCATAGCTCAATCACTCAAGATTATCATAATTTATTACCAACAAATACCGACGGTCAAATTATTTATCCAATTTACTCAATCAATAATAATGACTCAAATAATCATATTATGAATGAAAATTCAAATAATTCACATAATTCTAATGATTCTAATAATTCTAATAATTTCCATCAAGCGCGTGATGTCTTTGGCTGGGATCATGAACATCATCAAAATCAACTTATAAATCAACGTGTAAATTCCCCTCAAATAAACTCTATACACCACCCAGGAGATTTACCGGATCATTCTGTGAATGATGCATTAGACTATGATATAGATCATCCTTCATCTGGTAATGAAGGTTTCCATCAACAATATAATAACCAAACTGAAGATCATATAAATTTAAATCAATCAAAATCAAACTCAATCTCAAAACTTAATTTAAAAGGCTTACCAAATTGTATCAATCAAGAAACTTCTTTCCCATTATTTAAAAAATATAATATTGATTGGGGTATCGAATTATTAAATTTATTATCAAAATTAACTTCTAAAATTCAAATGGGATCTGCCGGTTTACCACAAATTAGAGAATTATATAGTTATTGGTTAAATTCATTTATTTATAAATCATATTTTTCAAAAGTTATGTTTAGTTGTCTTATTAATTTAACCACTAATTATCTTATATCAAATGTTTTAAATATAAAATCAAGTTTAAAATCAAATTTTGGTGATTTCGTTGATAATACAAGAATGAAAAATATTTTAATTGTTAGATCAATTAAACACTATGCTACCGTTATTAAAGGTATGAGAAATTTATTAAATAATAATGAAGATCCTGAATTATGTGCTCAAGTTAGTTATATTTTATCTTTAATGTCAATTTATGATCCCGAAGCTACTTTAGAATCAACAAATTGTTTTAGAGATGGTTTATTCGGTATTTTATCCTATACTATTAATCATGCAATTAAAAATCAAGTTAATCCTCCAACTTTAATTCCAATTCATTTACATTTAATGACAAATGTTAGTAGATCAATTTATTTACCTGGTTATAATCCCCAATTTTTAAATGAATTTCAATCAATGTTAATAAGTTTTGGTAATATAATTAAAATGATTAATTTACAAGTTGAAAGTTCAAATAATAAAAATCAAACTTTAAAAATTTTAGAACCAATGTATAATGATTTAATGTCATTTGTTAATGATTCAATTAATGATTATTTACCTAAATTAACTAATAATTTAAAAGATATTGATATACAACAACAAACATTATTCAAAATGGCCCATAGATGGGTTAGATTACAAAATTCAAGATTAACCACTATTAATTCAAAATACGATCCTTTGGAAAAAATTTTATATTTATTTTATAAAGTTTTCAAAAAATCAGTTTTTGCAGTTGCTCCTCAAGTTAAATATTTTTTCTTGAGAGATTTTGATAGTCCTTTAATGCTAGATGTATTCCCAATTTATCATGACATTAATATTTATGAAAATGAACTTGATCATCCGTTAACTTTATGTTTACCAACTCCGATTTATGAATCAATTAAAGTTCAATTGAAAATCTTATCTAGTTATCTACTTCGACTCATGACTTTTTTCACTTTCAGATTGAAAATGTTATATAGAACAATTGTTTATGAAAAAACTGCTAAAGATTTATATCCAATTGATAATATTAAAGAATGGAGAAGTTCGATTCAAGATATCGATGCAATAAGAAAAGATTTCAATTTTAAAATTGGTATTGTGGAAACTCAATTAACTTCTTTTAGTGATTGTTTAATCAAATCAGAAAATTACCCAAGAGTTATTGATGGGGATCGTAATATGGTTGAACAAGAATCTCCCTTCATTAAAAATGAAAATTTATTAGAGCACATCAGTTCTCAGTCAAGTTCAAGATCCCATTCTCAATCTCGAACTCCTTCTGTAACCGATTCTGAAAGATCAGAACGGTCTTTAGAAGATGATTACGTTGATTTACTAACTTTGACTTCATACGGTTTACTTGCGAAAGATGCAAAACCAAAATTAAGATTATAACTTTAAACCCGTTTTCTGTTCCTCCTCGTTTTTGTTTTTTTTTACGCCTTCCCTTTATTCTTCATCGTACCTACATGTTCAATTCTCTAGCCTATTATTTTTCTACTATTTTAATTCAAACGATTGTATACGAACATCTGATATTGTAGCTGCGAAATCTTTTTTTTTTTTACGAAAGGATTATCATTCATTGTATATATCAGCTTTATTTCGTATAACTTAGTCTGTACATAACTGTTGGATCAGCAGCAAATCACAAAAGTTTAAGGCATTGGTTAAGATCATCTGGTCATGTACAAAGCTAAATAACCGTTGAACAGCCCAGTGGCATGTAGCCAAAGCTACGGCCCCCCAATTTTAAGCTCAAGTTGTAAAATCATCTGTAAACTCCATCGCATCCGTTGCAGGACGATTAGCTGAAAAAAGCTTGAACGAAATCATCAGACAAACAGAAGGCAAACACCAAAAGAAGTTTAGGCATCTGCTGGAGTTGTAATTTGCATTTGTATTAACCTTTTTTTTTTGTGTGTATTTTCCTGTCTTTTTCCGGTGCTCTTGGAAAACACCTTCATTTTCGCCTCGTTTGCGTTTCTAAATTGTTGATTAGCAATTAACTGCAACATTTCACAATCCTTAAGAAGGCGTATAGTCAGGAGTAAGCTTTAATTACAACGGTATTTTCTTTCTGTTTTTTGGATTTGAAATAGAACCCGTGAGAACCCGTGAGAACCAGTGAGGAGCAGATAAAATCATCGAGATGAGTGCTACTCAGGAAGATTATGAAGAGTTCAAAGCGTTGACTTCTACATTATCAGCATTTTATAATTATCACAAATGGGAGTATGAAGAGCTAATTAAACCAAGAAAGCTCAAACTAGCTTCATTGAGTGACGAAGAACAAGAGTTAATACCGTGGTACCCAAAACATATTGATGATATTAATATAAGTGTTGGAATTAATGAAGAATTTACCAAGGCATTAGCCACAAGTATTCTGTTGGATTGGGGGGTGTCTAATAGTCCGGACCAATGGTCACAACCAACCCCATCAGACTTTGATAAAGTTCGCAGTACGTTATTACAATTGAGTAGAGAATGGAGTACCGATGGGATAAATGAAAGAAAGATTGGGTATGAGAATATAATTGATGAATTGACTGAATTATATCCAAATGTTGAAGAACGCCAAAATGTTAAAATCTTAGTGCCAGGGTGTGGTTTGGGTAGATTGGTTTTAGAGCTTGTAATGAAAGGTTTTTGGACTCAAGGAAATGAGTTTAGTTATCATATGTTATTAACATCGAATTTTATTTTGAATCATTGTATTTATCCAAATCATTATACTATATTCCCATTTTTACATAAATCGTCCCATCTAAGTAAAAAAATCAATCAAATAAGACCAATTACTATACCAGATATAAATCCATTAATAATACATGATTTGAAAAAAGAAAATCCTTCAATACCTTATGAAGAATTAATGTCAATGACTGCAGGTTCATTTGTTGATCTCTATGGGCCTCCCTCGTTATCATTACTGGAAACTTATACGGATAATTCCGAAGCTTCGGAATTTAGAAAAGAAAATAAAGAATCTTTTGATGTTTTAACAACTTGTTTCTTCATTGATACTGCTTCTAATATCATTGATTATTTGAAAACTATCCATTATTCGTTAAAACCAAATGGAATTTGGATTAATTTTGGTCCTCTTTTATGGCATTTCGAAGACTACTCAAGCACCCATCATATTTCAAAAAAATTGAAAAAAGATGGTCCAATGGAAACAATTCCAAATATTTTAAAAGGTTTAGAATTATCAAGAGATGATTTAATTGAATTGGCTGAAAAAATCGGTTTCAAATTCGAAAAAAGAATAAGCGATATAGAATCCACTTACAGCAGCGACGTCAGGGCCTTGGGCGAATTTGTATATAAATGTGAATACTGGGTAGCCCGTAAAATTTAATTGTATATAGATATTTCTATAGTTTTGCAGTTGTATTCTTGTTTGATAAGCCGGTATATGTGGTCGTGTGGTGACCGTATTAATTTCAAACTAACTTAAAGAAAAAAAAAAAGGTATCCCTCAAGAAGATAAAGGCAATTTACTTATTTACAGATATATATACAAATATATATATATATATATAGCATGAGTTTCCCCAGTCCAGCAGCATCGGTTAAATTGGTTCTATTAGGCGAAGCCGCCGTTGGAAAGTCGTCTTTGGTGCTTAGATTCGTACTGAATGATTTTCAAGAAAATAAAGAACCGACAATTGGAGCAGCATTCTTAACTCAAAAATGCACTATTGGAGAAAGAACCATTAAATACGAAATATGGGATACTGCTGGTCAAGAAAGGTTTGCATCATTGGCCCCAATGTATTATCGTAATGCCCAAGCTGCATTGGTAGTTTATGATATTACTAAACCAGCATCATTTATAAAAGCAAGACATTGGGTTAAGGAATTACACGAACAAGCAAGTAAGGATATAACAATTGCCCTTGTTGGAAATAAATATGATTTGGTTGAAAGTGATAATGATGATAATGAAGAAAGCTTAAGAAAAGTTAGTGTTGAAGAAGGTCAAGGTTTGGCTGATGAAGAAGGTTTATTATTCTTTGAAACTAGTGCTAAAACTGCTCATAACGTTAACGATGTTTTCATTGGTATCGGTAGTAAGATTCCTGATACCTCTGCCTCTTCCTCCTCAAATAATGCTTCAAATGGACCTAATAATGAAGGTGGTAGAATTGATTTGAGTTCTGGTAATTCTTCAAGTCAACCTTCTGGTGACTGTGCTTGTTAGATTTTGGAACTCTAGCTAACTTCATTTTTTAATTTATTTCCTTTTGGGTGTTCATCTTTACTTCTTTTGTTTTCTTTTTTGTTTGTTACTACTGTATGATTTGTTGGTTTTTTATTTTCGATTCAATGCTCTATTTACTCGATCTCTGTTTTCGTATAGAACTTTTTTATCCCATTACTCTCTGATCAAACTCATATTATGTACATGTATACTACGCCATGTTCTGAAGCTACTTTGTAGACTCGGTGCACTGAACCGAAAACGTTTGGGGGTTTGGAGGGAAAAAAAAAAAAAAATCATTGATCTAAAACTCAAGTCAAAATCCCATTTCTTCCAGCTTCAACATCAAAACGATGACTACCTTTCGTGTTGCATATATCCCTGAGCACTTTTCGACTCCCTTGTTCCAAGCTGAAAAGCAAGGATACTATAAATCGCAAGATTTAACCATTGAGTTCGTTCCGGTAATTGAAGGTACCGGACGTTTGATCAAGTTACTCAACTCGAAAGAAATCGATTTTGCAATTGGATTGACCGAAGGTTTTGTTGCAGATATTGCCAAGGGTAACGATGTGTACAAGATCATTGGTTCCTTTGTTGAAAGCCCCTTGTGTTGGGCCATTAGTACCGGGTACGATCGTCAAGATATTACCAAAGCCAGTGACTTGCAATCGAAAAAAATTGGTGTTAGTAGAATCGGGTCAGGTTCATACATCATGAGTTTTGTATTGGGATTACAGTTGGGTTTTCAACAACCGTTCTTCGAAGCCCACCCAACCTTATCAAACTTCAAAAACTTGAGAGACTCAGTCAATTTGAAGGCCAATAAAGATGAAGGCTTGGAGAATAGCGACGCCTTCATATGGGAACACTTCACCAGTAAAAAATACTACGATAATAAAGAAATTAAAAAAATTGGTGAAATATATACTCCTTGGCCAAGTTGGGTCATCACTTGCCGTGATGAAACAATCAGTCAACACAAGCCGGCAGTTATCGACTTCTTGAATAGTCTTAATCAAGGAATTGACTATTTCAATAACAATCCAGAGGATGCAATCAATCATATAGCTACCAACTTGGATTATTCCGCTGAAGATGCAAAAGAATGGTTGAAAACCGTCAAATTTAACCAGAACGTAAGTAAGCTTGATTGGGACCGCGTTGTCAATAAAACCGCAGAAGTCTTGAAAACTGCAGGTGTCTTAACCGACGACAATTCAACCATTGAATCCAGATTGAAATCTGGGGTCATTGATATCACCATTTAAACCGTATAGAAAAGGTATTTAGCAATTAAATAACCGTACATTATCCACTATAAAAGGCTCATTCCGTACCCCAGACCTCTTCTTTGTACTCTTGTTCGGACTATTTGCTCGCAGTCTTCTCGGACAAGTGGAGTAGGAGTCACTCGAGGTGTCCTTGCAAGTCATCCCCATACTTTCTAACCCCAGTTTTTGCCAGTTCACGGACTTTAAACCTGGTTGGTGTATGGGCCTACTCCTGGCTCCGAGATGACACATTAATTGTTCCGGTGGCACAAAGCTAAACTCCGGTTCAGCAGTCAAAAACCAAAAAAAAAAAATGGGCCGAAGTCAATCGAGAGGTCAAGTCCGATCTTCTTATCGCAAATCTGAAACCAATCAGTTCGGGAGAAAGGAGTGTTGTAAGCATTTTGACTCCTGTAGACCCTAGTGACGCTTTCTGACTCCTATTGACTGGACTTGGTCACTGGATCATTGGATGATGTTGGCTTTTGCTCGAATTTGTATTTAAAGCAAGGGGAATCAGGGAATTCTTGATAAGTAATTGTTGATAGTTCTGAACGTATAAGAAACCAAAATGTCCTACTCAAATCTCGAAGGGGTTAAAGTTTTAGCACCAATTAGTGATAAACCTGAATATTCACCATCTAAAACCAGTCAAGCTGATATTTTAACTAAACCAGCATTGGCATTTGTTGTTTTACTTCACCGTTCTTTTAATAAGACCAGAAAGCAATTGCTTGAAAACCGTCAATTGGTTCAAAAACAATTGGATGATGGTAAACCATTAGAATTTTTGAAAGATGAATGGGCAACTAAGATTAAACAAGATCCAATTTGGCAAGGACCAGTTCCGGGAATTGGATTGGCTGATCGTAGAACAGAAATTACTGGACCACCAGAAAGAAAAATGATTGTTAATGCTTTGAATACTCCAGTTAAAACATACATGACTGATTTCGAAGATAGTGCAGCACCAACTTGGTCAAATGTTATTAACGGTCAGGTTCATTTATATGATGCTTTGAGAAATCAAATTGATTTCACTAGCCCAGATAATGGGAAAACTTATAAAGTTGATCGTCTGGGAAATCGTCACATTCCAACAATCATTGTTAGACCAAGAGGATGGCATATGGTTGATAAACATATTGAAGTTGACGGTGAACCAATTAGTGCTTCATTATTAGATTTTGGTCTTTATTTTTTCCATAATGCCAAAACTTTAATCAATGATTTAGGTTTAGGTCCTTATTTCTATTTGCCTAAAATGGAACATCATTTAGAAGCTAAATTATGGAATGATGTTTTCAATGTTGCTCAAGACTATTTGAAAATTTCAAGAGGTAGCATTCGTGCCACTGTTTTAATTGAAACCTTACCTGCTGCTTATCAAATGGAAGAAATCATTTATCAGTTAAGACAACATTCTGCTGGTTTGAATTGTGGTCGTTGGGATTATATTTTTTCCACTATTAAAAGATTAAGATCAGATTCTTCGAAAGTTTTGCCAGATCGAGGACAAGTTACAATGACGGTTCCATTCATGAAAGCTTACTGTGAGCGTTTAATTAATATTTGTCACCGTCGTGGAGTTCATGCTATGGGTGGTATGGCTGCTCAAATTCCAATTAAAAATGATCCTGAACGTAATCAAATCGCTATGAATAAAGTTGAGTCAGATAAATTAAGAGAAGCCACCATGAACTATGATGGTACTTGGGTTGCCCATCCTGCTTTAGCCCCAATTGCAAATGACGTTTTCAATAAACATATGATTACTCCAAATCAAATTCATATCATTCCTCCAGAAAGTGTTAGTGAATCTGATTTATCAAATACTCTCATTGAAGGTGGTAAAATAACTACTAATGGTATTAAAGAAAATTTATACATTGCCCTTAATTATATAGAATCCTGGATTAGAGGTTTAGGTTGTGTTCCAATCAATTACTTAATGGAAGATGCTGCAACTGCAGAAGTCTCAAGATTACAATTATACTCTTGGGTTAAACACGGAGTTAAATTGGCCGATACTAATGAAAAAGTCACTCCGGACTTTGTTGAAAATATCTTGAAAGAAGAAACTGCAAAATTAGTTAAGGAATCTCAATCTAAAGGTACTGAAAATAAATTCGAAATTGCTGCAAATTATTTAAAACCTGAAATTAGAGGTGAAACCTTGGCTGAATTCTTAACTACTCTCATCTACGATGAAATCGTCACCGCATCTTCTCCAATCGACTTATCCACTTTAAAGGATTAATCTTCGCATCAGTTCGTTTCCTTTTAGCACATATTCATATTTATATTCGTAACCATTGTCAATGTAGGAAACCAATCCACTTTTCGAGACGGTAAACCTGTCCGAATCCCATTCGCCTACCGCTTCTTACCGTCGAATGATCTGATTTTTTTCGCTGTACTTGTCATCCTTAGATCCCGTCCTTTTTTTTTTTTTTTGTTTTTTGCCTTTTTAGTTTATGCACGGTTGGACCGTATATAATCAGGGACTTTTCAGCTGGAAATGTATTGTTACGAGTTGACTTTTTTTCAATATCAGTTCCCCTGGCAAAAGAGCCCCTTGAATTACCTGCTTACTCTATGACATAAATATTTTTCATCGATATCACTATCTTTCACTCTATCACAGAGTCCAAATTGCTATAACACGCACAAGTCCTAAATTGACAGGGACCAAACGGCAGGAACGAAATCTCTGGAAAGGTACGAACGAAAAAAGAGTACACCCAGACGAAGAGGAAAAAAAAATTGACAATTCATTTAAAACCTTTTATAACAAAACGATTGAAGCTATATTCAAGATTGCACTTTTACAGTACTCTAAATTGAAGCTGTTTCTATTAAGTACAGCTCCTTCATATCTTAGGCTTTCCCCGATGGATAAACGGAAAAAGTTTCTTCATATAACGGCTTTAGGAGATCAAAGGATTGAGGAGGCATTCAGCACTCCGAAGACCTCTGATTGGTCTGTTAATGAAGCATTGAAGAAATCCAATCTTTATAAAAATCGGTATTCCAACGTGTTCCCGTATGATAAAACAAGAGTCAGGCTTCCGGTCGAAAAAGGATCAGAAGATTATATTAATGCATCTTATGTGACACTCGACCAGAATGAATATATTGCAGCACAGGGACCTTTGACAGATACTATCCATCATTTTTGGGCAATGGCGTATAATGAATCAGAGAAGCAGAATAACGACACCGTGGTGATTGCCATGGTTACTCCATTGACTGAATCGGGTATAGTTAAATGCACTCAATATTGGCCAGATAAAACTCAAACATCCTTTGATCTATCTGAAAATATCTTAGAAGATAGAATCAGTATTCCGGGTGGATCCTTGAAAGTCGAATACGTACAGGAGTCATATAATGCTGTTGGTGATTATCTTTTAACTGAATTACTTTTGAAGAGCGATACTAAAGTGAAAAAAGTATATCATTATTATTATTTCAAGTGGGCCGATGCAAAAGTCCCACCCTCTCTTTCACCCTTGGTTTGTCTTTCCAAAGAAATTCGTTCAGTGTCAAGCAAAGTGGAAAATAAAGAAAAGGGAATACAAAGGCCAACGCCAATCGTTCACTGCTCGGCAGGAGTTGGGAGAACCGGAACCTTCATTGCCATTGACCATATATTCAATGACGATACTTTGGCAGAGGCTCACAAAAACCCTCAAGAAGACCCAGTTTTTCAAACAGTTTTACGATTAAGAAATTGCAGAATGATGATGGTTCAAACTTTATATCAATATGATTTCCTTTATGAATCTGCAGAAAAATGGTATAGGCAACAATTAACTCAATAGCGGCTCACCTTTTGTCCACGGTAATGACCTCCTCTTTAGATTAGTGTATATACTTATTCTATTATGATAATGTTTTGAAATAGTTGTAAAGCTTTAAGTGCGATGTGGGATTTTTTTAAAAAAAAGTATATCAAGCGGCTATTCAATAGTTGCAAACCCAATATTACTGATAAGCTCAATTCAATTGAGTAGTTCGAGATGGAAATCGCTACGGGTGCCCGCCAGGATAAAGAAGAACACAATTCAGTGTCTTTGGATGTAACTGATCTTTCAAAAAAAGAAAATTTGCAGCAAAACTACTCGTCACATTCTTCCAGTGATAATCATGACAAGTGCCCAAGAGGACTCCTTTGCAAGGATATAGCGCTGGTAGTTGAGAACGGTTCCATTCAACTGCAGGCCCTTGAGTCGGCACTTTTGTTAAATGACCATTTAACTTTCGAACACCATAAGAACCACAACTTGCTGGTTCTCCCAGGCTTGAAGTCTCATAGTATACTCAACCTCCAAATGCAAACGGCGGCTTTGGTAACACTTTTAATAACAATCGAGCGAGATTTAAGGAACAGGCTGGTGTCAGAATTTACAATCCACTGTCATAAACAGTTTACCGCCAGTTGGATTGTAGCAATTGACGGAGACTTCACTACGAAAAAGCATATTTGTGAATTAATGCATTCACAGAAGCAGCTTATCAGCTTCACGGTCAAAGACTCGTATTGTGTGTTCCATTTAACTGAACTCTGCTCCTCTTATCTAGGTTCCATCGAAATTCAGTTCAATGACAACCCAATTCTTCGAGTTCCGAGTCATACAATCCAACACATACTAACACGCTTGGAATCATCCAACCACCGGTTGTTGACTCCCTACGGGAACAGCAGCCCAGCATCCCTACAAGATATAAAACTCGCCAACTACTTGGAACCTACAAGAAAGCATGAATCGCTGATGGCCATCACGTCAGACCCAGAATTTCTCACTAGGAAAATGAAACTCAGCAAAAGAGATGTCGGTTTCTTAATCGGAATCAACGGAGACCGTATTACTGCCATTCGTAACAAGACCGGTTGTGAAATTAAGATTCTTGATATCCCAACTTCCTCTCTCGGCCTCCTCAGAGTAGTCAAGGCTAAAGATATCGTTCAAGAAATCCTTCTCGCTGGAACCAAGTCCCAAGTAAGCCATGCCTCTCGCTTGATCAAAGACTGTCTTGTCAGTTACAGAGACAATGCTTGCAAATTCATCTAATAACCATCCTTCGTATTATAACAATACCGTTTTTGGAACCAGATGCTGCTTTGCCGGGTAACCCACCCGTTTACTGAGTAAACGTTGGGCCGATGGAGTAATTCTCAGTATCAATAATACAAAATTTCCCGTTCCTCAACAGATTTTTCAAGTTTGCAAAGTTCAATCCATACAATTTTTTTGAAAAATACACAAAAATTCAACCTCTGCGAAGAGCTTACAATAAGAAACGCCATACAAATCAAAAAAAAAAGGCACTGAAAAAAAAAAAATTTTGTGAAAAATTTTCTCTTCCTCTTAGAAAAAAAAAAAAAAAAACTGAAGAAGTCCCATATTTAAAACTTTTCTTCTTTTTAGAAACCTTTTTCTTCCTCTTTCTCTTCTCTTCATCAACTAATACAACATTAAAAAATGGCTGAAGGTGTTTTCCCAGGTGCTATCGGTATCGATTTAGGTACTACCTACTCATGTGTCGCTACTTACGACTCTGCTGTTGAAATCATTGCTAACGAACAAGGTAACCGTGTTACTCCATCCTTCGTTGCCTTCACCAGTGAAGAAAGATTAATTGGTGATGCTGCTAAAAATCAAGCCGCTTTAAACCCAAGAAACACTGTTTTCGATGCTAAACGTTTAATTGGTCGTGCTTTCGAAGATGAATCTGTTCAAAAAGATATCAAATCTTGGCCATTCAAGGTTGTCGATTCTAACGGTAACCCACAAATTGAAGTTCAATACTTGGATGAAACTAAAACCTTCTCTCCTCAAGAAATTTCTTCTATGGTTTTAACCAAAATGAAGGAAATTGCTGAAGCTAAAATTGGTAAAAAAGTTGAAAAAGCTGTTGTTACTGTTCCAGCTTATTTCAATGATGCTCAACGTCAAGCTACTAAAGATGCTGGTGCCATTGCTGGTTTAAACGTTTTACGTATTATTAACGAACCAACTGCCGCTGCTATTGCTTACGGTTTAGGTGCTGGTAAATCTGAAAAAGAAAGACATGTTCTTATTTTCGATTTAGGTGGTGGTACTTTCGATGTTTCCTTATTAAACATTACTGGTGGTGTTTTCACCGTTAAAGCTACTGCTGGTGATACTCACTTGGGTGGTCAAGATTTCGATACTAACTTATTAGATTTCTTCAAAGCTGACTTCCAAAGAAAAACTAAATTAGACATCTCTGGTGATGCTAGAGCTTTAAGAAGATTAAGAACTGCTTGTGAACGTGCTAAGAGAACCTTATCTTCTGTTACTCAAACCACCGTTGAAGTTGATTCTTTATTCGAAGGTCAAGATTTCTCTGCTAACATTACCAGAGCTAGATTCGAAGATATTAACGCCGGTTTATTCAAATCTACTTTAGAACCAGTTGAACAAGTCTTAAAAGATGCTAAAGTTTCTAAATCTCACGTTGATGAAGTTGTCTTAGTTGGTGGTTCTACTAGAATTCCAAAAGTTCAAAAATTATTATCTGACTTCTTCGAAGGTAAACAATTAGAAAAATCTATTAACCCTGATGAAGCTGTTGCTTACGGTGCTGCCGTCCAAGGTGCTATCTTAACTGGTCAATCTACCTCTGAAGATACCAAAGATTTATTATTATTGGATGTTATTCCATTATCTTTGGGTGTTGCTATGCAAGGTAACGTTTTCGCTCCAGTTGTTCCAAGAAACACCACTGTTCCAACCATCAAGAGAAGAACTTTCACCACTGTTGCTGACCACCAAACCACCGTTCAATTCCCAGTTTACCAAGGTGAACGTGTTAACTGTTCCGAAAACACTTTATTAGGTGAATTCGACTTAAAGAACATCCCACCAATGCAAGCTGGTGAACCAGTCTTAGAATCTATCTTCGAAGTTGATGCTAATGGTATCTTGAAGGTTACTGCTCTTGAAAAATCCACTGGTAGATCTGCTAACATTACCATCTCCAACTCTATTGGTAGATTATCTTCTGAAGAAATCGAAAAAATGATTGAAGATGCTGAAAAATTCAAATCTTCTGATGATGCTTTCGCCAAGAGACACGAACAAAAACAAAAATTAGAAGCTTACGTTGCCTCTGTTGAATCTACCGTTACTGACCCAGTCTTATCCGCTAAATTGAAGAGATCTGCTAAAGAAAAGATTGAAACTGCTTTATCTGATGCTTTACAAGCTTTAGAATTAGAAGAATCTACTGGTGATGATTACAGAAAAGCTGAATTAACCTTAAAACGTGCCGTTACCAAAGGTATGTCTACCCGTTAAGTTTAATTAACTTATAATAATGAATTAACTGTATAAAAATTTTCTCATTTGTTTTTTATTCTCGTTTATGGGTTTTCAATAAATACACTTTCTATAAATTTTGAGTTGTTTAGTTGAAATATTGAAATATTTAAGTAAAAATAAAAAAAACCAATAAAAGATCTAATTATCAAAAAATTACTCGATATTCGTAAAATTATATGCTCTATATAAATTAATCATCTAATATGTAATTACCCAATTTATCCATTTTTAATTGTTTTCCTTCGGATAATGCTTGTACTATTTTATCATTGTCTTCAGATTCATCCTCAGATTTATCTTCTAACTCGTCCTCTAACTCTTCTTCGTCCTCATCTTCTTCGTAGTCCTCCTCGCTCTCTATATCTTCGGATCCAACCTCCGATAACTCATCTCCGTCGCTTTCATCTTCGAGATCAACGGCTCTCATTCCTTCAACTGCAGCTTCAAGGTCCTTATCTTCTCTATTCTGATTACTCTTTTTAGCATAACCAGAAGCCTGAACTTCGACGTCTAAATCCTTTTCTCTCTTCACGTCTCTTTTGAAATTAGGATATGCATACTTATAACCTTCACCATAACCTTCTGTATCGAACATAGTTGGGTCATGTTGAGGTGTATATCTGAATTTTTTTTCAAAGAAACTTCTGATACCTTCGACATCCCTATCAAAATATGCTTTTGCATCAACATGGTCTATGGAGACACATTGTGGGAAATCGATAACAACAAAGTCAAATTCATGCTTTCTGGCTTCTTCTTTATCACGAATGATGATATTAAATTCGTTGAAATCACAGTGAATTAACCCATGATTAGCCAATTTAACTATAAAATTCATCAAATCAGAATATAGTCTCTTGTGGTTATCATGTTTCTTTAATTGCCTCATTGGAAAACCTTTTATCCATTCCATAAGTAAGCAGTGTCTAGAGTAATCAAATGGTTGTGGAACTGCAAAATTGTTCTGATGCAATATAACCATAAATTCAAATTCCTTCTTGGCTGCTAAACGAGACAAGTACATCCAGTTAGAGGTTTGTCTATTCTTCAAGTAATCACGATTATTCTTCACTGTTCTAAATGAAGTTCTACCTAATCTATGTATTTTTAAAACTTTCTGGCCACCTTTTGGATCACTAACAGAGTAAATGTCTGATTCTTTACCAACACCAATGGTAGTTCCAACCGAGTATAAGGTATCTCTATTCAACATGGATTTCAAAGCTAAGTAGTCAATACCATTATATGTAAGTCTGAAACCATCATATTTAGCATTTCTTAAACGCGAAACTAATTTTAACTTGGCCAAGTCACCAATGGCCTTGTTGGTTCCCGATGGAGATCTGAGTCCCCCTATAGAGTGGATCATTGGAGTTGGAACTAACTCATGATTTCGAGACCCTTGTTCAACTGCTTGAAGAATTCTGAAATCATCTGAGGTCAAATACCTCATGTGTGAAGTATCTAATTTCATCTTTTTCTGTTTAAACTAGCAATACCACTGTCCTTGAGAGAACTTATTGAAAGCGATGCCATCGCTTTTCAAAGTCTTAACTGGTACGGTTGAAAAAAAAAAAAAAAAAATTCCAATTGCGTGTACGGGTCAATATCGAATCTTTTTATAAAAACAGTGAAGATAAGCTTACTCTTCATATTGAATTGTTGATCAATGAAATATAGACGTCCTAGACGGAACCGTCAGACAGCATTCAGAAAACCGCCGTTACGAAAAAGAAAACCTACTTATCATGAGCCCCCTCCTCCAGATTTCCAGAGATTGAACGGTAACCAGCATGATGCGTTATACAAAGAAGTACTGAAGTCAGTGAAATATAATTGGCACCTATTGGAACCTCTTGGTGATAATTATTCGTCTGATACGTCTTCTTCAAAAGGCGTAGTTCTGCTTAAGGCTTTGTGTGCTTTGGAATTAGCTAAGAATGCCAATCAAATAGAACCATTACATCTTGATCTTGCTCCATGGAGCTGCTGGGAATTGGTTTGGAATAATATATTAAGTCTATCCCATGATTCTATCTATTTGGCTGGAATCTTTGCCTCTAAGTTCAGAAAAGAGCCTGGATTTCGATGCCACATCAGCGAGACAGCTGGGAGTATACAGAATCGATATAATGGCGAAAGAAGTTTGAACCTAGCCAGATATGAGTCAATCAATGCATGCATGATTCCGTGGGCTAAAAATCATAGAATTGAAAACTTATTTTTGAATATTAACTTTCAGCACTTTACAAATCATATTTACAAGCTTCATTATAAACCATGGATACTACTAGACCTATCAGAAGTTACAAAAAATCTTGAAAACGAAGACTATTATAAAGTGGTAAATATTCCTAATCTTGTTGCGCTTGACTTATCAAACAGTTCTTTTGTTGATGATCATTTCTTATATCATTTGGCTAATGTCATAAAGAGCGATTCAAAGCTAAAACAGCTCACCTTGTTGAGACTAAATAAGTGTCCTAAGATAACGAAAAAGGGTCTAAGATATCTTTTCGAGGTCTCCAAAGATTCCTTCTTTGCTTCATCGCTTTCATATATAGAGTCTGATCTCAAAATTGTTCCTTCCAAAAATTTCACTCAGCAATTTAATGTGAGTAGAGAAGAAGACGAAAGTATAGATTATATTGACAACACTAGATGGAAACTTTTACCCGAAGAAGATCTGATGACAAAGCTCGTTGCACGAGTACCAATTGGGCTAAAACTCCACTTGTTGTACAAGAAGTTTGGCAAATTCATTATAAAGCGAAGCGTGAAAGAAGAAAATGACGAATTAACCCCTTATGATACAACCAATACACTTAACTATTTATACAAATCAAAAGATACTATTATATTCGATTTTATGCTTCATAATGAAGAATTTACAGTATCAGACTACGGTACTATTACAGGGAAAGAAAAGCTTGAGAAATCATGGAAACGAAGATTGTTTGTTAGAAACAAACTGGCCAGTCGTCTTCAGTATAACTATATAGCAAACCACAATTATACTCCAATAGTGAAAGAAGTACCAAAAGATACTTCAAAAACTGAAGTCAAAGAAATAGAAGCTCCAATATTTAGGGCAGGCACCAAAAAGAGAGCACCGACCGCATCTACAAAAGCGAACAAGAAACCTCGAAAAATAATTACAAATGTGAGTAGCTTTTTTAATATGTAAGTAGTAAATATTTATTGAATTTCGGTAAAAGCTTTATGTAGATTTTTTAACTCATACGCGAGAAGATGCAGAATAAAAGCTGGATGAAGAGTCATTATTTGACATTCCCCCTTTCAATATACTAAGTAAATCCTTAGCAGGAGATTGGTTTCCTGCTGGTGGATCCAAACCAAGTGATCCCTGATTGCCAGCTACCGAAGCTGAGTTGCCACTTTCCAAATCTTCCAAGGTTAGTGGTTTGGTTTGTAAGCCGGATGATTGTAACTTGGAAGATTGTGGTTGTTCCCAAGTATTAATGGGCGCCTGTGTTTCTTGGGGTGGCCTTCTCCCAAGTAAGTCTAATAAACTATTACTATTTCTGTTTGACTTAGGACTTTGTAATGGATTCAGGTTTGACGAGCTAGAAGGAGCTTGACCAAAAGGTGAAAAATTAGAAGAATTCGTTTCGGCTTGGGATGTATTTGGCTCTTGACTTCCGTAAATAGAAGAGTAATCTGGTTGGGCATGGACTGGATCTGAAGAAGCTGGCGGCTTACCACCATTCAAAATCAGCAATAAGCTTTTACCTTCATCATTAGAAGGTGCTTTTTCGGGGTGTACAGTGGCTGGTTCATTAGTGTTGTTTGGTTTCCCACCATGTAATAACTCTAATAAACTTTTGCTTTCGCTGCCTTGCTTATTTGAGTCATGTTTTAAAGGTGATGAGGGTGACATGGCAGGAGAGGTATCTGGGGGGCCAAAAAGATTCTCCAAAGATTCACCAGGTTTGAGGATTCTTATAGGACGTTTAGTTTCTTCTGGTGCTGGTGACTTTTCGGCCAAGGGAGGTTCTGGTGCTGGTGCTGGTGCTGAAGTATCGAAAGGCCTATGAGACGCTTTGATTTTTTCAATTGAGGGCTTTGAGTTAACATGAAACTCATCTTCGTCGTCACTAGCTATATCAAAATGATGGACTGGCTTTTCTATATCATCACTAAAATTATCTAAGTCATCGAAATCTTCAAAATCTTCAAAGTTTTCGAAATCTTCATAGTTGCTTCCATCCTCCAAGTCTTTTTCTTGTTCCTTAATATTGGACACATTATCTTTGGTCTTACCTTTTTGATTGAGTAAGTTTAAAAGGTCATTGGCAGCAGATTTTTTGGAAACAGGAGTTGGTCTTTGATCTGTTTCAATGGTTGATGACTCATTGTTTTTCAAGATATTATCTCCATTGTCCTGAAATATTTTAGGTTCCTCGCTGCTCGACTTCGAGGATGGTTCCGATGATGCAGGAGGCTTACCTAGTAAACTAAGTAATTCAGAGGATGCATTTCCATTCAGTGATTTTTCAGGTCTTTTCAAGATCCTCAATTTTTTGCCTGGTTCATTGAAATCATGAGAAGACTCGAGTGATTTCTCGAGTTCATTTGAAGGTTCATGCTTTATATTAACGTGGCTTTGTCTAAGGTCACTAGCCGAGGTGATTTGGTCATCTGCATTGTGTTTATTGAAATCTTCAGAAGCCTTTTGAGTAGATTTTTTGAAAAGGCCAAGTAATTGATCCGCTTTTGAACGGTTACTTTCAGTAATGTGACTATTACTAGAGCTGGAAGTGTGCTTATGAGCACTTGAGTTATTTTCTGGTTTCCTGTTTAAAATAGACAAAAGTTCTTTAGAGTTAGCTTCAGATGATCTTCTATTGGAGGAAGGAGCTTGGGTTTTTTGTTGTGGGATTTGCGGCTGATGACCCATCGGAGGAAGCTGCGAAGGAAGATTTTGATCTAGTCTACGAGCTGGAGCAATAGGAGGACCTGGGGGGAAAAAGAAGGGTTGATTTCCTATTGGATAAGCTTGAGTTAGATTGATGGCAGTGTTGTTAAAAAATGGAAGTTGATTATGCAAGTGTTGAGGAAGTGTCATATTGACAAATTGTTCAGCATTTTGATTTGAAGGACCAACATCTGTCTGGACCAGGGTAGATTTTGAACCATTTGTAGGTGCCACACCTTGTAAGATATCTAATAATTCTCTACCGGCATCAACATTTTTTTGTTTTGGTTGATTGACACCTAAGATGGCTTTCAATTTAATTTCTGCTTTGAGCATCAATTCTTCTTCATTTAAGACCCCTTTATTCTTGTTTATCCATCTAAGTAAAGGTTTTAAAACGGTAGCCACAATAAAGTATTTTTGAGGATTTGTTCTAATCTTCTTTTGAATCTGTTTAATATCATGCCATTCAATTTGATCAATTTCATTTCTTGCTAAAGGCAGAAAATTAAAATCCTCAGGGACGTTTTTAGCCAAATAAATTTTATAATTCTTACCCTTAATTGTTCTTTCCACCACATCATTTTCATTGATTATATCACTAGCATCAAACCCCGTTTCTTCTAATACCTCTCTTACAGCACATTCTTTATCTGATTCATCTTTTGATATTTTACCTCTTGGGAAAGACCAAGTATTTGATTCTGAGCCTTTAACCAAAATCATTTTGGTCAAATCTTTATTGAACAAAGCAATTCCTCTTACCGGAATGGTAGACTTATACTTACCAAATCTAGAAATAGCATCTGAAGGATCCCCCCATTTCCAAATTAATGGACATTTTTCTAATAGTCTTGTCGAAAATTGTTTCATCTTCATCCCTGGTAAAGTTGGATTCAATTGACGAACAAAATCGGTATAAAACCATTGAGCTTCTTCTACTTGAAAGAAAATTCTTTCAATTGATGATAAATCTTCATGGGGAACATTTACTAAGAATCTAACTAGAAGATCCTCTAGCACTAAATCGACCGACTGATTGGACAATCCATCTCTTAATTGTATTGACATTACGTTCTGCGTTTATTCTATCTTTCTTAATTGCTAATGAGCATGTATGCAGTAATATTTGAATGAATTGAATGGTTACCTGTGTATTGGTAGTACTTATAGCTAGTCTTTAGTCAAGTTAAAACGCAACTTGATGTTTGTTAATGAGAGTTGAAGATGACTGGCGTTGAGTTTGTTGATGTCGGGTAACCCCTTTTTTGTTTTTTTTGTTTTTTTTGGTTTTGTTTTTGCCATTCCGTACACCAGGGTTTTCTCTAGTATCTTCGTTAAAAAATTGACTTAGTTGATTTAACTTATTCATATATCACTAGGAAGAAGATGAACCATATTGGATTGAGGGCATTCAGTCAGTCTGCTAGGCTGAAGGCGGCACCTAGGTTTACAAAGACCTTGTCTGAAGCGAGTAAACCACCATTACAAAAACCCCATGTTATCTTAAGACCATTTGGATTAGAAGAAGCTAAGCTTTTGAATAAGAAAAGTTTTGATATAGCTAGTCTTAATGTCAGAGAGCTTTTATTTGATAAGGAGTTGAAAGAAGCCAGACAAGCACAATTAGATTATGAAATCAAACATTCACCATTCTACGAATCCAAATCGTTTACTAATACTAATGGTAAGATCTTTACTCCACCAGTATCATATTTCCGTAATGACAAGGCCAAGTATTTCCCTGACTTTGTGGGAAATACCTTAGTGAATAGAAATCAACAATTTTCATCATTATTATCCGAGCATATAAGTATTGTTCGTATCTATTCAACGATATCTGGGGAAAAATGTGCTGATACTTATTTTAAGAATGCAACCAAAAACTATCTCACCAAAGACTACATGGAATTCCAAGAAGAGTTTCCTCATTCACAAATAGTTGATATTAATATCCCTCAAAATTGGTTAAAGGGGTTTTTTGTCAAGCTATCCCAAGGTAACATTAGAAAACTTGTGCATTCCGCTAGACATGACAAATACTTTATTGTCCCCACTCGTGTTTTCCCGTTTGATGTGAAAGAGGCTCTTCTTTGTGACAATGCTTGTTCAGGGTACATCTACATTGTTGATCGAGAAGGTAAAATAAGGTGGGCCACTAGTGGGTATGCCAATGACGAAGAAATTAAAATTATGCGTAAATGCTTGAAAGGCTTAGAAAATGAAATGCTTCAGTCTACCGAGTAGGCTCCTTGTATATAGGTTAATAGAAATACATGCTTAGATTTTCCCAGTATATGATTTGCTTATTTACTGCAAATTTTACCAAAAATCCAATAAAATTACATTTTACGGCTTAAAAAACTTCAACACCTTTTCCGGAACCCCAAAGACAATGAATCTACGCACATGAATCTTGTCTTATTCTCTACTAGATGTATCAAACGTTCTGAATTGTTCAAACTAAGTTACTCCTACAACTAAGTTACTCATACAACTAAGTCTCATACAACTAAGTTACTCATACAACTTAGTGAATGTCATGTAACTAATACAACTAAGTGACTGCTGTCATACACATGAATCGAATCAGTCAACCACATGACTTTACCTAAAACTGCCACGAACACACTTGCAATTCCAATTGCTTCTTTGTAAACACCATTTCACCGATTCAAATAAGTTGCAAAATGTTCTGAAAACCCGTTGCTACATTTCGTCGGCGCGCCGGCCAAAAGTATAAATACGAGCAAATCCGTTCTTGAAAACCTCTAACTACTTTATCTACTTTCTACTTTAACTACTAAACAGTACATTAACTACTAAACAGTACATTAACTACTAAGCAGTATGTTAGCTCGTTTAGCTGGTCGGAATAATGATGAATCTTTTCAATTGGGAATCTCTCTGACAATCCAAACGCACCGTGGAGAAAACCTATTTAATTGATTTCTGACTTGAACTGCCAGCACTTCTTCTGTTTGGCTGGAAATACTAATAATCACAGGCAAAGTGTGTTGTTTTATCATTTCACGGTGTAGTACGTACTTGCTATACCATCCCTTTAATGTAGATCACGTGCGAACACCCTACTCCACCAGGGCTTAAGCCCTGGTGGTTTGTAAAAAAAAAAAATCTCTTTTTTTTTTTCTCTTTGTTAGCGCGCAGAATTTTCACTAAACCATCACTGAAAAATTTAAAGCTACTTCTATATACTTGATACTCTTTTGGAGGTTTCTTCTTTACCAACGTCAACACTGCAAACCATCACAATGTCTGCTCCAATCAACAAAGAAAAAGTTCAAGAACAACAAGAAGAAATCCACAAGATCAGAATGACCTTGACCTCCACCAAGGTTAAGCAATTGGAAAAAGTCTGTGCCAACATTGTTGGTAACGCTCAACAAAACCACATTGCTAAAAAAGGTCCAGTTAGATTACCAACTAAAGTTTTGAAAATCACCACCAGAAAAGCTCCAAATGGTGAAGGTTCTAAAACTTACGATACCTACGAAATGAGAATCCACAAACGTGTTATTGACTTACAAGCCCCAGCTTCTATTGTCAGAAAAATCACTCACATCACCATCGAACCAGGTGTGGATGTCGAAGTCACCATTGCTGCTTAAGCGTGATGGCTGTAGATTCTCATGAAAATTAGTGGACTTGACTGGTTTTTAATTCCAATGATAATTTCAACTGATTTTAGTGGTATATATATCCAAATGCTCTAGGCGTGCCGTGTATTCCATCGATAATCTCGTTGTATTTTATTCATGGGCTGCACTGACGTTGCGGCGTTAGCTATCAGGATTTGGTATGACTTGAATCGGTTGTTTATTATTATGTACTATAAATTAGTTTAGTATACTCTTTTTTTTTTAATATTACATTACTCACAAAACTTCATCTTCTGTAGTGTTCAAAGACTCCAAGTATTTAATTAGGATCCTGGGAGAATTACCTCGAAACCCTAACCAACTAACCTTGGTATCTTGTAAAATGAGTTCATTCAAGTTTTTAGTGAAAAAAGCCGAATTTAAAGGTACCAGATCGAGCGGGTTGGATGCAAAATTTAACTTGTTCACATTACGAGGAATACTGGCGTGTTTGTCAATATACGCAATCTTGTTCTGACCCAAATCGATACTTCTTAGATTAGAATACTTGGTATTTTGACCTTGGTTAAATAAAATCGTAGCACAAACTTCTGTTATCAAGTTATTCTGTAAATTTAAAACTTGCAAGCTGCTGGGAGGTGACCAAGTCAGAATAGTTGAGATTTGATTCGATGCCAAACTTATTATTTTCAACCTGCTCAAATGGGTCCATCTGATAAAACAACCATTTAAGTCTTTGATTTCATTGAAGTCCAAGTATATCTCTTCCACCAATGGCGGGAACTCTAGAAGATTTAGGCTTTTAATATGGCATTTTTGCATTGAAAGTTTAGTTAGCGAATTGGGGAATTTCAATGGATCCGAAAAGAATTCAAAGTTAAGACAACACCTTGATAAATTGAGGTCGCTTAAACTTTGAGGAAGACAATTCACGAAACTTAAACTTGAAAAACGGTTCCCGGTCAAATCAAGCAGCCTGAGACCGTCTGGCCAACCAATTAAGTCAAGCTGCTTTATGGTTTGATTGTTAATATTAGAATAAGTAAGACCAATTCTTTCAAGCAAAGGTGGCCAGGAAATCGAAGTCAAAAAACCAATTCTCGTCCCAAAATCTTCAATATAATTATGGGTCACATCTATCAGTATTAGAGATTGAGAAAGTTTCCCAATATAAAAATTAACAATTCCAAAATCAACTAGTTTCAAGCTCTTCAAATTCAATGGTAAGATCTCCATTGGGAATTTAAGACAGTACCTTTGCCCGCCCTCTGCAACCATGATAAGCGTTTCAATCGATTCTGGGAACCTGAATCCGGCAAAATTTGTTTTTGGAAAACCAACAATATTTAGAGTTTTCAAACTCATTGGAAAGTTCATTTGGGACCAAGCAATCGTCGAGTACTCAGCCTTGAAAGATTTGAGATTGGGCCATTGCAATAGAATGTCGGTTTGATAAAACATCCTTGTATCTTTGAAAGTACTCAATTCATAGACATTTGGCAAATTGTCAAACAAAATGCTTAAGGGTCTATCTGGCGAACCGTTCATTACGAGAGAGATCCTATCGATTTTCCCCATAGAATTGATTTTATAGATCTTATCCATTTGCAAATGATCCGACTTTTTCTTAGAACCCATCTTCAATGTCAATTTTCGAAAATGAATATCTTGGTTAAAATCTAAAAATTCTTCAATCAGTTTCTTTCCATATATTGTGAAAGAATCCTTACACATATACATACTGCCCATCTGCTCCACCAGCTCCGTAGGTACTTTCTTCTGGCTGTAGTCTAAAATCAACTTATCTTGGAAATATTCCGAAATCACAGCATCACGAAGTCTTGATTCTGTAAGCCATATAAAACAATCTATTATATAGGTTCGTGGTAAGTATTCACATATTCTAACGACTATTTCAAAGGGTAGTCTTTGAAGACCCTCCAATAACAACACAATACTCTTCATCTTGTATGAAGAAAATCATGTATCTACTTGACATGGGCCGATAAGCTTTGCTTAAATCGCCCGTCTTGCAGCTTTGGCAATTGATTACCCGTAGCAACAAACAAACTCACAAATCACAAGCCTTTTCAGCGGGATACACGAATAGAAACATACGAATAGAGATTTTGCCAACAGAGTCCACTAAGAAAGAAAGCATTACGAAGAAAGCATTACGAAGAAAGCATTACGAAGAAAGCATTACGAAGAAAGCATTACGAAGAAAGCACTAGGAAGAGATACATGAAATGGTTGCAAATAGTGAAGCACCAAAAAACCCACACACCGCACCCGACCACACCCATACACCACGAACAACGGTGTACTGCACAAACCCAAACGATACTACGTAATATTAAACTACAAGCAAAGACTGAGAAGCCCTCAAATAACCCCTGTTTTCATATTTCCTTCTCATCTTTTTTGAAACAGCAAATTAAATTTTAGATAAAAGAGGATTGGCTTTATATTTTAAAGAGCATTGGCTTTATCATAAAACTTGGTGTATGATAATTGACTTTATTGCGTGAACCTGAAGATCTTTACCTCAATCAGTTATCCTTGGTAGTCGTTTTATTCGGGAAGACCATTGGCTTATCGCAAACCCATCTCTTTACTTCCATTGTTGAATCTTAGTCTTTCAAAACAGGTACTTTCGTCATGGTGTTTGTACTCGCTTTGAAACATAAACTGTTGTATATTGCCAACAGACACCTACAACGGACAGGTCGAGCATTGATACTGTCAAATGCTAGAAGATTAATCCGGTCCACTAGATCGGTATCCAATTCTACCAAAAATACGGTTAACGGTATAAATTCAAAGAATTCAAACCATGGTAATAATAGTGGTGCTGATACTGATAATGAAAATGCCTTTAGAAAAATGGTGGGGATTTCTCTTTTATGCGGTGCCGGATACGTGATGTACTTGAGTCCTTTCCAATCCAATCAATATAATTTGGAAACAATTCCTCCGTTAGGAGCTCCCGGAGCTCCAGGTAGCCCAGCAGATAAATCCACTAACAAATTACTTTCTTCAGTTAGAACAAATTTATCTGATGATAAATACTACTCTTCCTCTACTTCTTCAATGTATCAAAAAAATAGTATTTCTCACCAACAACATAAAGAAGGAATCTTTTTATTGAATGAAGAACAAGTTAGTAATAAGTTAAGACAGTTTGAAGAAAGTTACACGGTGAATCGTGGTAAAGGGGTTACTCGTTATGATGTCTGTCAGCTTCCTTCCAATTCTCCAATTGAAGATGATCGTTCTGAAGAAATTGTTCAAGTGCCCATTTTACAAGATAATAACGTTAAAACTTCTACCGATTGGATGTTTTTCGGAGTCTTTGATGGTCACGGGGGCTGGACAACTAGTAGTAAATTGAGGGATCAATTGATTACTTATATCGTTCACGAATTAGGTAGTATTTTCAAACCAGCTAATGATGAAAATTTAAGATATGTTCCAAATAGTGCCACCATTGATCAAGCGATTAAAAATGGGTTTTTAAAATTAGATCACGAAATTGTCAATAAGAATTTGGAAAAATTATTAAATGATAATAACAAAGCAAAAGCTGCGGAACTTTTAATGCCGGCTTTATCAGGATCGTGTGCATTGCTTTCCTTCTATGATACTAACTCGAAATTATTAAAAGTTGCTGTGACTGGTGATTCAAGAGCCTTATTAGGGTCTTTCAAAAACGGCCAATGGACCGTTAGACAATTGAGCATTGATCAAACTGGTTCTAATCCAACTGAAGTTGCTCGTATTATTAGTGAACATCCCGATGAACCTAATGTGGTGAGAAATGGTAGAGTTTTGGGTACTTTAGAACCTACTCGTGCCTTTGGTGACTGTCGTTATAAATTACCTGCCTCAATTCAAGAAAGAATCTATAGACAATTTTTCGGTAGACGTTTGCCCAATAATTTAGAATCTCCTCCTTATGTCACTGCTGAACCGGTGATTACTACTACTAAAGTCGATCCAGAAAATAATGATTTCTTAGTCATGGCATCGGATGGATTATATGAAATGCTCTCTAATGAGGAAATTGTTGGATTGGTTGTTAAATGGATGGAAAAGGAAAAATTGGTAAAACCTCAAAAATCTTTTTGGAATTATTTTGGATCTACTGAAAATAAATTACCAGAAGTTTCAGATGTAACTAATGATAAAACTTCTAAAGCTCCTTTTAGAAAATCAAGAACTGGAGGCTCCTTTTTATTGGAAGATAAAAACGTTTCTACTCACTTGATCAGAAATGCTTTATCTAATGGCGGCTCAAAAGAGCAAACTTCAATGCTAATCTCCATTCCTAACCCTGTTTCTAGACGTTATAGAGATGATTTGACAGTTACTGTCGTTTTCTTTGGGAATGATCCCAGAGGTGAGAATGAAAATGGTAAATTAGAAATCAACCCCGATGCTACCGCTGGTGGAGTTGATGCTTCTAAACCAAGATTGTGATCTTCATCGTACTTTAATGCATTTAAATGATACAATTATCATTTTAAAAAAGTTAGAAAGAGAACAAAAGCAATGTTTATTTTCACCATTTGCTCAACCTCTTTTCTTTAGCCATTCATTCTTTGTATATTATTAAGCAATAAGCTGTACATATCTTCATTTTAGAAAAAAACCAAAAAAAGTTATTTATTTATTTATAGCCAATATTTGTACTAATGTAAGGGCTTTTGCTATGAGTCGAACTTTTTTTGTTGCACGCATCAGATCTTCAAAAAAAAAAAGTCCCAACTCATAAAGATGAACTTTTCATTGACTGCTAATTCTTTACAATCCCCTTCATCAAGAAACAATGACAATAGGTTCTGAAGCTTCCAAGAGCTTGAACGAAAACACAAAGTTCTTGGATAGTATTTTTGAAGGAGTGGATCCCTTGTCACAAACTTCATATGTTCATCCGCCACCAAAGATAGAAGAAATCAATAATGAAATAAGCGAAGAATTGCTTACCCCTTCTAATAAATTGTCTTGGGACTTATTAGACTTGGTTCAATCTTTGCCTACAGTCAACAAAGATAAGATCTTCGAACAACTATTGATAAACCCAAAGCCCATCAATCGTACCTCTATACGTTTTAAAAGGTCTGGTTTATCAGGAAAGATTGATGGATACAAGGAAGAGTTCAAGCTTGACCTGGTCGATAACGCTACATCTGGGAATTCTTTATCATTGAACAGAAAATTCGGATCCAAGAGTGATGCTTTGAGAGGTAAGTCAACATATCTTCCTTTTCAACCAGGAGGATTGCTTAATCAAGGCAAAGTGGAAGCAACAACAGCAGATAAAAAGGATACTTCTTTCTTACACAGAAGTGAAATGGGACTTTACGATATGCCTCAAGGTTTATCCAGAGGCCTTGAATTAGTAGCTGAGTCAGATTCCAAAACTGAGGATATTATAAATTTAGATCAGCATGGAGAAGAAGTAGATCAAGATAATGCGCAAGATAATGAATTGAATAATACCAATCCTATTAACAATGATCAAATAACTGCATCTGAACAACCATCAAAGAGAGGTAAGGATGTACCCTTTGAGTCAAACGAAATAGATGGAATTGTTCCAATTGACTATTTGATGGTAAAAAATAACTTAGCCCAAGCTACAGAAATCAAAAAAAACTGGGCTCATGTTGTTGATTTAGACCATAAATTAGAAAACTTTCATGAAGTTGTCCCAAATATGGCTAGAGAATGGCCATTCGAACTAGATACTTTTCAACAAGAAGCGATCTATCATTTGGAACAAGGTGATTCAGTTTTCGTTGCTGCTCACACATCTGCAGGTAAAACAGTCGTGGCAGAATATGCAATTGCAATGGCTACAAGAAATATGACTAAGGCTATCTATACTTCACCCATTAAAGCATTATCTAACCAAAAATTTAGAGACTTTAAAGAAACGTTTAAAGATATTGATGTTGGTTTGATTACAGGTGATGTTCAAATAAATCCAGAAGCAAATTGTTTAATTATGACAACGGAAATCTTAAGGTCTATGTTATATAAAGGTGCTGATCTTATTAGAGATGTGGAGTTCGTAATTTTCGATGAGGTTCATTATGTTAATGATATTGATCGTGGTGTCGTATGGGAAGAAGTAATCATTATGTTGCCAGAGCATGTAAAATATATTCTATTATCAGCAACAGTCCCAAATACCTTTGAGTTTGCAAATTGGGTGGGTAGGACTAAGCAGAAAGATATGTACGTTATTTCAACTCCCAAAAGGCCTGTTCCTCTTGAAATTTCTATCTGGGCTAAAAATGATTTATATAAAGTAATTGACTCTAAGAGACAATTCTTAGAAGCTAATTTCAAGAAACACAGAGAAGTCCTTGATGTTGGTAAAAAGGAAGCTCCAAACGTAGTCATGGGTTCAGGCTCTCGTGGTGGACCAGGGGGTACTGCTAGAGGTGGTAACAGAGCTCGTGGTGGAAGAGGAAGCCGTGGAGGTGGACGTGGAGGTGGACGTGGAGGTGGAAACTTCAGTGGTAGAAGTGGCCCTAATAAGAATACCTGGCTTCACTTGGTACAGTATTTACAAAGACAAAAATTACTTCCTGCAGTTATATTCGTTTTCTCTAAAAAGAGATGTGAAGAGTATGCTGATACATTAAGAAGTGTTGATTTCTGTACAGCCAAAGAAAAATCAGAAATTCATATGTTCATTGATAGAGCTGTGTCTCGTTTGAAAAAGGAAGACCGTGAATTACCCCAGATTCTCAAGGTAAGAGAAATGCTTAGTCGAGGCGTTGCAGTCCATCATGGTGGTTTACTACCAATTGTAAAAGAATGTATTGAAATATTATTTGCCAAAACTTTGGTCAAAGTTTTATTTGCAACTGAAACTTTTGCCATGGGTTTGAACTTACCAACTAGAACTGTTGTTTTCAATGAGTTGAGAAAACATGATGGTAGAGGTTTCAGGAACTTACTTCCTGGTGAATTCACCCAAATGTCAGGGAGAGCAGGTAGAAGAGGTTTGGATGCAACTGGTACTGTTATAGTAATGACATTCAAAGATCCGCTTTCACCTGCAGATTTCAAAGAAGTAACTTTAGGAACACCAACAAAATTGCAGTCACAATTCAGATTGACATATAATATGATTTTGAATCTTTTAAGAATTGAAGCACTTAGAGTTGAAGAAATGATCAAGCATTCTTTTAGTGAAAATTCTACACAAACATTGTTGCCTGAACATCAAAAGAAAGTTGAATCTCTTTCGGAAGAACTAAAGATTGTAAACCAAGAAGATGAAAAATACGGAGATTTAACTGCAACCCGTGGTGTTTTTGAAGCACTCAGGGAATATGAGACAGCTTATTCAGACTTGGTCCAAGATATATTGGGTCTTGCAGCTAGTAGACAGACGATATTCAAATTAGGTCGTCTCATTGTTTTCAGAGCTGCAGACGGTGTCCTCAGATTTGGTTTTTATGTCAAGGCTGATATGACTGCTAAAACTTTACTCTTACTTACTTTTGACCATGGTGCAGAGTATGAAAAGCATAGTAAAGAATTTCAATTACCTTACGTGCCATATAAACCTTACTTACAAAAGAGTATGAAATTAATCAAGTTCAGGGGCAACTTAAAAGTTGAAGCTGTTCCATATAATAAGATCAACTTCATCAGTAGATACTCATTAAAAGCTCGCATACAAGGAATCTTACAGGATAACAAAGAATCTGTAAATGAAGCAATTGAACAAATAAAAGTGGTGATTAGATTCCAGAGTAAGTTAGAGGAAGTTGGCTTTAACCAAACAATCCTGGTTTCCTTGCATGAGATTTTAGAAAAGAAAAAAGGCTTAATAGAAATTTTGAAAGCATCCGATGCTTATTTGCAGCCTAATTTTGAAGAGCAGTACTTGCATTTGCATAAACAAAATGATTTGAAACAAAATATTGAGGCATTGCAGTCGTTGATGTCTGATGAGAACTTGGAATTATTACCTGATTATGAACAGCGTCTTGCAGTATTACATTCATTAGGATTCATCGATGAAAATCAAAATGTTGTTTTGAAAGGTAGGGTAGCTTGTGAGATTAACTCTGGATGGGAATTGGTTTTGACGGAACTAGTCTTGGATAACTTCTTGGGTGATTTTGAACCAGAAGAAATTGTTGCTTTATTGTCTTGTTTTGTTTACGAGGGTAGAACGAACGATGAAGAAGCACCGCTCTTGACTCCACGTTTGGAAAAGGGTAAAGCCGAAATCCTGAAAATTACTGAAAGACTTATGCGTGTTTATGCCAATCACCAAGTTATACTTACATCAGAAGAACAGGAATTCTTAGAAAGGAAGCGGTTTGCATTGGTAAATGTTGTATATGAGTGGGCTAGAGGTTTATCATTCAATGAAATCATGCAAATAAGTCCGGAAGCTGAAGGTACCATCGTGAGAGTTATTACAAGATTGGATGAAATATGTCGTGAGGTTAGAAACGCTGCTTTAATTGTCGGTGATTCACAATTACATTCTAAGATGGGTGAAGCACAAGAAAGAATTAAAAGAGATATTGTATTTTGTGCATCTCTATACTTGTAGAGTTATATAAATATCATTAAAATAGAAGATAATATACAGTAAAGATTATAAATGTTAAAGATTATGTACAAGAATTGAAATTGAAATATGGATGCATGGGGTAGAAACAGGGCAGACGTTCAAACTAATATGATTGATCTGTAGCCTTGCGGATAAATAGGTTAACGATACCTGAGGGGCCCCTAAGTATTTTGGTATAAAGAACATTATCAACGATATCCTTCCTGTTGAATTTTGTGGCTAATAAACCTAGGAGAGTATAGAAGCTTGCAACACAGGCTTTATCTTGTAACCTCAGCTTGAGACCGGCTTTATCGGTGGGGGACTGTGATTTGTTGATGACTCCTCTGTTTATCCCTTTGTAAGTTGGTATACTTTCATAAAGCAAGTGACGTTTCATGAAAAGGCAGATGACACTATCTTTATCATCAAAAATGCTGGTTCTTTTATCAATTTCATTTGCTGGAAGTGTCAAAAACTTTCCGTTTATAAAAATGGTAGAGAGGCCCAAATGAAGCTGAAATAAAGACTCACCCAACGATCTTAGCCTTTCAGTTTCATAAAATTCAGGATGGGTTGATTTGGGGAAGCTGTTTTGGAAGTCTTTGTTGTCATCATGACCTTGTTCGAGATTTATAGATAAATTTGCCAGACCAAATAGCACAGCAGTTTTCTCTGAAGTCAGAAAGCTGTAGTTATCTCCTAAAAACCTATTAATTCTCTGGAATCTTGTATCTATTACAAAGGGGAACTCTTTATCAAGCTGCAGTAATTCTTGCAAAGTACTATCAAAATTCCAGTAGTCAGATTCAAATTCAGTTGCAGACCTTTTATATATCAGTGGTTTAATAGATTCATGGGGAAACTTTCTATTAGAGTTTAGTATTCCACTGGCCTTGAACATGTCTCTATTCAGGATGATCTGACCGTCGGCCCAGTTATTATTGTGCTGACTATACGATCTAAAGCATATTCTCTTGCCCCACCGGGCATTTACTCGTGTTAACATTAGGCATTAAAGGTATTATTATCAAGTACAGATAACTGTCTATTGGTTCATCGAGGTTCAGTCTCCTGGATTGTAAGAATATTTATTTTGGATTATAAATACTGATGAGTTGAATGGATTTTTTTTTTTTCAAGATAAAACTCAATCTGCGAAGAGATGATTACATCTTAAGTTGATGATGGTAACACTTTTGTTTAGCCCTTAGTTGCCTAGTTTCGTTCTTTTCCCTAAGATTTGCCATGTCATCAAAGTCTTCAGCAAAGAAAAAGGCTTCTACACCTACTGCCTCATCTCCTGAGCAAAAAAAGGTCAAGATTCCCAAATCATTTATTAGTAGACCTTCCATTGATAGTATTAAGTCATGTACAAAGATTTTCATTAATCCAGAGATATTTGAAGCTTCAGAGTTGTCTAAGGGAAATTTCATACATGTATCTAAAACAGATGCATCAGATCTCGGTATCTTGGGTTTAGCGTATCCAAATGAAGATATATTAGACAAGAATATCATACAAATATCTTCCAGCTTAAGAGGGTTAGGTGGAATCTTGTTAGGAGATAGACTACAATTCACCAAGTTTTCAAAGCAACCGGAGTACGCCAAATCTGTTTCCATCAGCCTATCAGACATTGAAGCTGAACTTCCAATTCAAGGTAAACTCCTACAAGGAATCGAAAAAGCATTAGATGAAGTTGGATTGATTTTCCCTGGAATGGAAATTTACAAAGTCAATTTACCTACAAGTGATCAAGATGATTCCGAAACCACTAGTGTTACTTTGAGGATAATGGACATTAATCATGATACACCAATTGAAGAATCCTTAAGTAAACTTTCTCTTTACGATGATGAAGGCTCTGTTTCCCCAATTAGCACAGTATCACCAGCATACTTGTTTTATAAAGGCAAATCAACAGTTTTTGAACATACACTGAATGATCCATTAAGCTCCAAATACCCCAACTTACCTCAACGTTTGAATTTTGGTCAAGTGGGTGGTCTCTCCAAAGAAATTTCATTACTCCAATCTACTATCCAATTGCCCCTTCATAATCCTACATTGTTTTCAGACTTTGGAATATCACCCCCAAGAGGAATTCTATTGCACGGGCCTCCAGGAACTGGTAAGACCATGTTATTAAGATGTGTTGCAACTCAAACTAATGCACACATTTTAACAGTAAATGGTCCTTCAATTGTTTCAAAATATTTAGGGGAAACTGAAAATGCTATTAGAGATATATTTCAAGAAGCAAAAAGATTTCAACCCGCAATCGTTTTCATGGATGAGATTGATTCATTGGCGCCAAATCGTAATTCTGATGACAGCGGCGAGACAGAATCAAGGGTTGTAGCCACTTTGCTTACTATGATGGATGGTATGGGTGACACCGGAAAAATTGTTGTCGTTGGTGCCACTAACAGGCCAAATTCGATTGATCCAGCTTTGAGAAGACCTGGAAGATTTGATCAAGAAGTGGAGATTGGAATACCTGATGTTGAGGCCAGAAAAGATATCTTAGCAAAGCAATTTGCTAAAATGAATTCAAACAAATACACTTTGACTGAACAAGATATTGTGGCAGTAGCCAGTAAAACCCATGGTTATGTGGGAGCAGATCTAACTGCATTATGCCGTGAATCAGTTATGAAGGCTATTAATAGAGGGCTTAAGTCGGGTGTTGATCAAAAAGAACTTAAATTAGATTTACAAGACGTTGAAGATGCATTACCAGATATAAGGCCTTCAGCTATGAGAGAAATTTTTTTGGAAATGCCTAAAGTTTATTGGTCCGATATTGGAGGTCAAGAAGAATTGAAACAGAAACTCACTGAAGTAGTTCAACTACCTTTAGAAGCAGCCGCATCCTTTAGTTCCTTAGGTATTACTGCACCAAAAGGTGTTTTGTTATATGGACCTCCTGGCTGTTCCAAAACCCTTACTGCAAAAGCCCTTGCAACAGAATCAGGATTGAATTTCCTTGCAGTTAAGGGTCCAGAAATATTTAATAAATATGTTGGTGAATCAGAGCGTACAATTAGAGAAATTTTTAGAAAAGCAAGAGCTGCTTCACCATCTATTATATTTTTCGATGAAATTGATGCTATTTCAGGAGATCGTGAAAGCGGTGCAGCTACTACTTCATCTGCTCAGCATGTTTTAACATCTTTATTAAATGAAATTGATGGTGTTGAAGAATTAAAAGGTGTTGTGATAGTTGCTGCCACCAATCGTCCAACCGAAATTGATCCAGCTTTATTAAGACCTGGTAGATTGGACCGTCATATTTATGTTGCACCTCCAGATTATGAAGCTAGATTACAAATTTTAACTCAAAAAAGCAAAAAGTTCAATATGGGTGAGAGCAGTGAAGACTTTTTGAAATCGTTAGCTTTTTCAACTGAGGGTTGTTCAGGAGCTGAAGTAGCCTTGTTATGTCAAGAAGCCGGGTTATCAGCTATAATGGAAGATAAACAGAGTACCAAAGTTGAAGAAAGACACTTTTTACATGCATTAAATGGAATTACCAAGAATATTACACCACAAATGCTTGATTATTATGAAGAATTTTCTAAAAGAGGAGGATTGAACGTATAATTAATTAACATCAAGAATTCTATATACCAATTAAAGAAACATTATAAATAGTAAAAGTAATCAACAATTTTTTTTTTTTCACTTTTCTTTTTAGTACTTCGTAAAACAGGTCATTAAGTTTGTTTACAGCCTTCTTCGAGTTCTTTTTCAATATCTTGGGGTAAATCTTTATCGTTAAAATCTAAACCAGAACCAGCACCAGCACCGGAGGCACCTCCTAATCCACCAAAACCAGGGAATTCGCTTGCATCGCCGACTAAATCAGCAGGAGGTTGGCCTAACTCTTGCAACGATTCTAATAACGCATTGACTTGTTCTCTCTTTTGTTTATCTTCATCATTGAAATCAGATGATTCAAACATTGCCACTATATCGTTGGTAATTTCGTATTGCTTGGTATAATTCTGATGTTCTTCTTCTGAAATCACCCCTTTCTTTTCTTTAAGATAATCAGGAAATTTAGTGTTGAGATCTTTTATAGGTTCATACAAAACTTCTTTAGAAGACAATTGTTCAAGCATATCAACCAATAGCTTCGACATATCAAAATCACCGTCGCCAGAACCTGCGCCATCTGGACCACCAAGACCTGCCAATAATTGCGTGAGCATATCTTCTGGATTACCACTTGAAGGATCATTTTTCAATTGTTCATCAATGGTTTCGCCCGATTTCTTCAAACGATTCATGGTCTGTTTCATGATATCATCGAAATATTGTGGGTTTTTAGTAGCAGTATCCATATCTTCTTTATGATCATTTTCAAATTCCTTAACCAATTTTTCAAATTGATCTTTAGTATCCGGATCCTCTATATTCAAATCTTTAATCAAATCTTCGATCTTGGTCTTAAATTCGTCATTCACCGGCTTGTTAGCGGAAGTAGCTCCTTTACTAGAAGATTCATTAGCGAAATCTTCATTGGTCTGACTTCGATTATCCGCGGTTTGGCTTCTGGCTGAGCCTGGTGGTTTATTCAATACATCTTCAGCAAAGTCGTCTAACAAGTCATCCAAGTCGTCCAAATCATCCTCATCATCCTCGCCGTTGGCCTTGGTTTCTGTTTCGCTTGGTTTACTCGAACTACTTTCAGTATTGGCTGGAACCTTGACCTCGGTACTCTGCGGTGTCTTCTCAGCAGCTGCTTCTGCAGAAGCACCAGCAACTGGCTCCTTCTTGGGTGTTTCACTAGACATATTGGGAATTGAATATTAGCAACAAAGACTTCAAAACAACTTCTTCAATACTAATAAAAAGAGTTGATTCAGGTAATTTTCAGTTTCCTTCAGCTTGACCGAACAAAAAAAAAAAACTTGTGGGGGAGTATTGAGGGGTGGAACAACTACTATAACGTTGACAGAGCTATCTCTCTGAATTGGTATACGAGTGGAAGCAGATACACGTGAATTGCTCGAGCTAAAGCTAAAAGAACACTTCAATCGGGTGGTTTATTGTTAATGGCCACTAATGGTTGTTCACGGACGTAATTATCAGTGCAAGATCAGTGCAGATGGTTCTGAGTAGAAACAGGAGATGTACGGACTTAATCAGATGTACGGGTGGTTTGTATACTTGGGTATCACACGACAAAAAGTTATCTTTTCAAAAATGGTTTTTTCTTTCTTTTTTATATCACGAGGCGAGTTTCAAACGAAAACAGACAAACAATTAATCAAAATCGGACAGACTGAATCATCAACTCGTATACCGTTTGATTTATTCATCTTTGAATTCCAGGATCATAAATTCGCTCCAAAACTACTTGCTTGTTCCACTTTAATCCATAAAAAGGGCGTTTATACCAGATCTTTAACCAGTTAGTGACTAGATTGTTATATTGTAAGCGTTTAGTTATCCCTTTATATTCGTTGATTTTATTATAATTGCATAAAACACCATGTCGCTTTGTAAAATACGTTTACAGGAAGAAAGAAAACAATGGAGAAAAGATCATCCATTTGGGTTTTTCGCTAGACCAAGAAAGTCAGAAGACGGATCATTAGATTTAAATTTTTGGACCGCTGGTATTCCTGGTAAACCAAATACTCTTTGGTCCGATGCAGTTTATCCAATTACTATTCAATTCCCAGAAGAATATCCATCCAAGCCTCCAAAAGTTCAATTTCCAGCGGGGTTTTATCATCCAAATATTTATCCCAGTGGTACTGTTTGTTTATCGATTTTGAATGAAGAACAAGATTGGAGGCCGGCAATTACTTTAAAGCAAATTGTTTTGGGGATTCAAGAATTGTTGAATAATCCTAATCCTGACTCGCCTGCTCAAGAAGCTTCGTGGAAAGCTTTCAGCAAAGATAAAGCATTATATGAAAAGAAGGTCAAGGAACAAGCAAAAAGATATGCTAATGCATCATAATTTTTCTATTAATATTTGCTTTAGATTTGTCTCCCGTCATTTTGTTATTTTGTTTTATTAATATTTTGTTTTATTAATATTTTCTTTAGTTCTAAGTCATTTTACTTCGAGTATTTTTAGAATCGGGTAGTTCTTCAATTTATGTATATATATATAATTTTTTTTTCCAATGTATTACACTGATAACTTTTAATAACCCATGCATTAAATATATATACTTATCTATATATATTCTAATTATTTTGCTTGATTTTCTAATTTATGCATTTCACTATCATTAATTAAATCCCTACTTTTCAGATAATTACCATCTTTTTGTTCACCCAATTGTGATGTACCCTTTTCTTTATAAGTACTCACTGCTGGAATATCTGCTTTAATACGGCTCACCAATGTCAGATAAGCTCTTGGTTCTAATTTGATCAAGGTATGTAAAGGTATAGACATCCATGGACTTTCTTCTTGGGGAACATTCATGAAATAAGCATAAAGACATCGTAAAACTGCTTGATGAGTAATAATTAAAATATTTTCTTGACGTTCTAATTCCATTATAATTGGTTCTAAACGAATAACAATATCTCTATAAGATTCACCACCTCTATAACGATACTCATATTTATTATCATCTCTAGCTTTGAAATCATCAGGAAATTTTTGTTCAATTTCTTCATAAGTCATTCCATCACATTCACCAGCATCTAATTCATCAAGAGCTTTCCATTGAAGCTTTCTATTATAAGGAAGAAAAGAAGCAGTTTGTTGAGTTCTTTTCAAAGTCGAAGTCCAAACAGTTAAATTAGTATGTTTATTTTCTTCACCTAAAGATTTTAAAACTAAATCAGGAAGTTTTTTAGCATATCTCCAACCACGTTCAGATAAATTAGCATCACCACCAATTTGACCGGTTAAATTATATTCTGATTCACCATGACGAGATAACCAAATTGAACGAGGTTTGATATGTAAATTCATAACATAATAAACAATACGACTTTCTAAGTAACTTTCAATACGATTTAAAATTATTTGCGAATTAACGTTTACTAATTTAATAAAAGTTAAATCAGGATCAGTGGAAACATCCATTGTTTCATAATATTGTTCATAATATTTTATTCTTTGTAAGAAATCTTGAGTTGCAAAATCCAGATCTTTATTTTGATAATCTGGGGAAGTTGTTTTAACATCAGCGATATTTTGTAGTATTAATTCATAATCATTACACCAACTTTCCAAGAAAATTGGTTCAATTAAATTTTCACGACATAATCTTAAAATTGCTTGTCGTCTTTCACGAGTTGAATTAGTTGCATCAAGTATACCAACAACTCCATTTTCATCAGAAAACCATTTCATCATATCCTGAATAGCTCGATCAACGGCTTCTTGTCTTACTTCCAAACCATCTTGATTTTGAGGATCGAAAAATTCAGCCGTTATTGGAGAATCAGTGGCAATTAACCGTCTATAATTACCAACGTTGAAACATTTCGATTTTATAGATAACCAAGAAAGATACCTGACGATTTTTTGAGCAATTAAGGATTTACCCCGAGCTGGTAACCCAACCATCACCACACAGACCCGGACATTTTCAACGTGAGAGATTGAATAGATTGGCATTATGAAGATGCTGAATTAGATTTGTAAAGTAAAAAGAATAAATAGTAGATGATACCCCGTATTTAAGGCAAAAAAGAAACTCTCCGAGAATAATAGAGTTTCGAAGACCAATTGTTAAACTCAAAGTTAAACTTAACACGAGATTATTTAGTCAAAAGGACAAACTAAAAAGCGAATCAATTAATTTTCAGATCAATTGATAGCGAAAGAAAAAAAAATGAAAAAAAGTGTACAAATCAGAATTGACGGGGTTGACAGATTAACAACAAATGGAAAAACCAGCTAGTATCGGTTGTTCGTTCGGCTTGTTTTTGGTTATTTGATTATTTATTTGGTTATTTGATTTTTGCTTTTCGTTGTTTGTTTCTGGCTATGTTTGAACTTTCCTTTCAAATATGGTTCTAAGGCCGATTGGATCACTTAGGTTTCTATGACAAAAAGTTAACCCCGGATGTAGAATATCGATAACCAGTTTGAAAAAACTGTAAGTAAAAGCAAGTTTAAAAAGTGAGTCTTCAAATTCCAAACAACAAAAAAAAAAAACTTTGACGTGTGATACTTCAAAAAACAGGGAACACCAAAAGCACTTACAGTCGGTAGGTATCCTGGTAACTTAACAGAGATCAAAAGCGACAACAGCAACAAGACAAGCGGCAAGAGTAACAAGACAAGCGCACAATTTCAACTACGCCAACAGAGAATCCGCGAAACAAATGGAAACAACTGGGTTAACTGGAAAGCAACTGGGTTAACTGGAAAACAACTGGGGAAAAACTGGGACAGCACCACCAAAATAAACCAAAATAGTCGAGCAGTAGCTTATTGTAATAGACCTTAGACAAGTAGTGGTCTAACTTTCGAATCAAGGGAGTAAACTTGTAATTTAAAGCCAAAAAACCAAAAAAAAGACACACAATACAAAACGATCAAGTCGGCGTTTAATGAACAGGGTAAATTTCGGAGTGATTCCTTAGCTTATGGACTGACGGAGAAGTGAAGGGATACTGATTAGTTGGTGGAGCACTATCCAGTTGGTGGAACACTAATCGCTTGGGTGAATGGCTAAACAATATATACTAATTGCACCTGGAATAATCATACCATTAATCCAGTAGTTGCTTACTGTTTGATTTCCGGGGTATTGTTTGAGTCCAATCTTGTGACAATTGAAATCAAAATAGAACCTCCGTACCTACGGCCTAGGTGTAGATGTACGGGTGTATTGTATACTTCACCACGCGCACTACCGTCCACGACATTATCTCCTCGTCCCCCCAAAAAAAGACGAGCGAATGTCGTGCTATTCCGCTTCACGGTTGTGCGACATTTTTATGCCCGAGTAGAACAACAATAAGAGAATTTTTTACCTAGAGTAATACTACCCGAATAAGATATTAACTGTCTTTGTTGAAGTACTTGTTTGGTAAACTTATGGTTTTTCTGGCATAGCTTGCTGAAACTACACAAGATAAATATAAGACTGCAAGGTTAAGGCTTGAATATACAACGTTAACTACTAGGGACTGATTCTGATGTCTATGAAGAGGTTTTTCAAAAAGGGGAGTGGGGACAACGACGAGCAGTCGTTGTCATCGTCGCCCAAAGACCAGAGTTTGAGAAGTGGGTCACTCACTGATTCATTTGATGATTTAAGACCAATGTTTGGGGATGCCGGACATGAGAACGATTCCGATTTGAATATTAATCCATCTATTTCAAATAATCCACCGGGATCTCAATCGATTTTAACTAAAGATTCAGATAATTTTTCGAATTCAGTCTTCTCGCAATCGAAAAAGACTTTTTCAACAAATCAATCATCTTATAAATCTCAAGATAGTAAAACTAAAGTTAGTAATTCTTCGAAATCTTTTAATAATTTTGATTATGGTCAGCCATTACAAATTTTGGATATACCAGAAGAAAGTAATGAGGATTATAATTTTCAAGAATTGATGATTGAAAAACTCCATACTCTTTATCAAGATATCTCCTTTATTATTAATCAGTATGATAATTCGTCAATCAATTTATCTTCAGCCGTAATTAATATAATTGATTGTTTGAAAAAATTATCAAGTTTCATCGATGGTCTCTCAGAAGTTGAAGAAATGAACTTCTCAACTTATAATAATGATGATTTAAGAAAAATTATGAAAATTTTCCTTCATTTTTATGATCATTTACTTAATGATGAAGTTTATGTGAAATTGAAGTTACTCTTGGTTAAGAATTTTAATGATGTCACTTCAAAATTAAATGTTCATTACAAACATTTAACGTCCTCCAACCAATCGTTACTTAAACCTAAAAATTTTGCCGTCGGTGCTAATTCGGGTGAGTCCTTACCAAATGAAGATATATTATCTAAAATCATTTATCGTATGTCAAATGCTGATTCAAATAACCAACCTTTATTTGATATTAAAGAACAAAATGGTTCTTTTATTGCTCCAGTAGTGAGAGGGCTTAGTAAAGACCTTAACGTATTGTGTCTTTATTTTGGTTTCCCAAACCCGTCAGATTATCATTATAAGTTGACTAAAAATTTAACTGAATTATATGATGACGTTCATGTCTTGGTAATGAAAAATAATATTAGTTTGGCTACTTCAGTTCAAAGCTCGTTACCAAATTTTAATCAAGAACAACAACATCATCATCATCAAAATTTAAAACAAAGCTCTACCCCTAGATTTAAACTACCATTTCGTAATCCAAGTGATAGCTTACACCCTCCGATGTCACTTTCTCTTTCTGTTGAAACAAGTGCTCGTACTTCAGGTACAATGGGTGGGTTTATTTATCCAAAAATTGATTTACAAAAACAACCAAAGTTAGCTTCTTATGCTAATTCAAAATTTGCTATTTCTTGTGGACATGTTTGCCTTGATAAAAAAGAAGATAATATTGAATATCCTCACGTTTCTTCTCCGCTGGCGGTTTTGGTGAATTTATATAAACAAGCTCTTAAAAATCAATATCAAAAATTTTCTTCAAATGATGATATTACCATGAAAGAAGCTAGAAACGCTTATGGGTCAGCTTTAAATCAATTAGATGATAATTTCCCATTAAGAAAAATCAAAGTTCATGATTCGAAATCAAAACAAGATCGTTTTGAAATAAGAAATTTCCCAAAACATAGATTTGGTCAAATAATTTGGGGTGAAAGAACTTTAATTAATGCTAGAAAACTGAAGGATGGTACTAAGCTTGAAGAAAAAAGATTATCAGATTTAGCAATCATTAAAGTTAATAAAGCTTTGAATTGTGATCTGAATTTCTTGGGTGATGATATCGCTTTTAACGAGTTCGATCCTTCGCTAATGTTCGATAACTTGTATGTTCGTAAAATTGTTAACTTAAATCGTACCCAAAGAGAGTTTAATATGGATAATTTAAATGATGTTGATTCTTCTGTTTCTTCATTTAATTCTCAAACTAATTATGGTATACCAGTATTTAAATATGGTTCAACAACCAAATTCACCCAAGGTAATCTTAATGGTATTAAAATGGTTTATTGGCTAGATGGAGCAATCCATTCTTCAGAATTTGTGGTTAATTCAATTGATAAAAATAGTGCTTTTGCCGCAGGCGGTGATTCCGGCTCTTGGATTTTATCAAAATTAGAAGATATTCCAAGTGTATCGGAGAATAAAGGTTTAGGTGTACTTGGTATGTTACATTCTTATGATGGAGAGTTTAAACAATTTGGTTTATTTACCCCTATGCATGAAATTTTGGATCGTTTACAAGAAGTCACCAAAATTGAATGGGGGGTCGTTGGTGTAAATGAAAAACACGACGATGAAAGTATCGCTAGTGTTGATTCAGATGAAGATACTGGATTTGCAAGTGGAAGTGATGCTGGGGATGATGATTATGAAAGTGGTATGGAGGATTTTGATGGCTCAAATCCTCCAGACGTGGATTAAAGGTTATTTACCAACATTAATTTGTATTAATTGTATTAATTTAATAAAAGTGACTATTTTTGAATTTCATTGATATTCCACTCAATAATGTAGCATCTTGACACATATAAATACCGTTTAAAACCCTGGAGGTCAACTACCATTTATGGACATCATGGTTCAATAAATGCCGTTCCATAAACGGAAAGCGGCATTTGTCAAATTTTTCAACATTTTAGTGTTACCTCTCACCACATCCACGGATTCGACAATTGGCCCCAACCTCCGGCCATTCGTGTCTCAGAACTATTGTCTGTTTGCAGCCGTATTGTCAACCCAAGATTCCCAGGCGATTAGTTAACAGGTATGCTCCAAATAAACAAATCGATTCAATATATTGGGAAAGAGTATTGACCGAGCGTTTTTCATATCCTTGCAATAATAAAACCATTTTTGACTCACTGTGTTCCGGTAAAATGTAGTAGATTCTTTAAGTTGGTTACGATTTACCTGAAACCGCATTGCTTCGAAGTGTAACTGTCTCTTTTGCAAATGCAGAATCTTGAACACCCGGTTGCGAAAAATCAGTTTCATTGAAGTCTAATTGGTCTTGAAAGACGGGTCTTCACTGTATTAATTCAGCATTGCATTATTTCTAAAGACATTATCCATAAGGTAGCACCAGTTATATACTGCTAATCGATTAGTCTTATGGCATAATGGTGCAAAATTTGTCGATCGGTCGGGATTGGGATTTTCTACTTTTTTTGTAGCTGATATGTTACTGTGTTTGCAAAGATCGAATAGTTTTCATATTACAAAAGCTATTCCTGAAGGTTTATGTGTAAGTCGGCAGATCAACATCTGTTGTTACGTTACGGCTCAGTTCAAGTAAGGCATCTTCATGAATGCGAAAAACTGTTTTTGCTCGACTTGAACACATAAGGAAACTAACGCAGAGGGTTCTGGTTCTGACATTCAATGGCTTCTATTGTAGCTTTACGGCTTTTGAGGGTCCGTGTTTAACAAAGGGCTTAAGTCCAATGGTTACTACTAAGGAAGTACATTTAAAGTCTATGCTATTATATCTATACATTGATTTAAACAAAGTAGACGGCAAATTAGATGAGTCGACTAGAGTCTCTCGATAGTGGACAATGGTCCATCAATTATCAGCTTCAGAGATTTTATATTGAATGAATCTACCCAAATTTGTCCAAACTTCTTCAGCTCTGATTTTAAGTTCGGGTTCTTTAAATTTGTCAATATTTTTGTACATGGTTTTAATAGGTTGTTCCAACTCAGTTAAAATATTGACATAATTACCTTGAACGAAAATTTCGTCATCGTATTCAAATTTATCACCAAAGATATCGTAGATTAAGTTCAAACTCTCAATTGCAATTTCTATACCTTGAGGAATATTTTTATTATTTTCTTTTGGAGCAAAGTACCTTGTGGATTGAATTAAAAACTCTGATATTTCTTTGGTGATTTGAGTATTACCTATAACAGGAGCAATAGTACCTAAAAATCCAATTGTGACTAAAACATATTCAAAATTGAGTTGAACGTCTTCAGAGTCATTAGATTGTTGAACAAGAACGTTACATTTATTGATTAAAGTATTGATCATATCCGAATTAACACGTTTAGGTGCTTCGGGACCAATAGTTTTAGCAATTGCCCATAATACGCTTAAACAATCTTTTTGTAAATATAAATTATCTTTATTTGACAATTGAATGATCATATCCCATAATTGTAATGAATCTTCAAACCATTGAACTGGAATAGTAGCACTTGATAAAAATAACCAACAAATATTATTTAGAGATTTCAATACTTTGTCAGATAATTCTAAATAACCATTATTTTGTTGATCTAATCTGATCAATTCAATTAAAGATGGGGATGCTACTTTGATGATGGTATTGTTCAAATCTTCTGATAATTGAACGGGTTCTTTGATATCACTTTCATTGATTGAGAGATACTCCCAAATAGAAGTAGTGATTTCAATGGCAACTTCTAAAGCTTGCAATTCTGATTTTGCTTTAGTCTTTTCAGGAGAATCACCACCCAACTCTTGATCTATATCCTGAGGTTCCTCTTGATCAACTTCAGTGTTTGGTTTTTGAATTGGATCATTGGCGTTATCTATTTGTAATTGTTCATTAATTTCATTAACATTGATGGTGGTGATATTTTTAAATAAATTATTCAAAATAAAAGAACAAAGATTATTTTTATCATTCGTTATGCCCAATCCTTCATTTATGTGGAATCTAATACCTTCAATGTAAACTTTACATAATTTATCATCATAATTATTATTTGAAATATTATCTAAATTAAAATCGTTAATTTGAGATAATTTTTGAATAAATTCAATTGATTCTGATGAAAATTCATAAAGAAAATCAAGTAATGCATGTTGTAATTTTAATGAAGTTTTTAAATTCGGGGTATTCCAATTGATTATATCAATAACTAATTTTATAATTGGATCTATCTTATTATAAATATTATTGAACAAGTCTTCGGATCCACTTGCAATAACCACAATCAATGATAATACATTTTCAGTAAAATCAAATAAAAGTTGTAATTTATTTTTATCTTCCTTCTTTTTAGTTTCTTTTGTAGTTTCCTTTTCACTCAAGTATTGAAATGAACTTTGAATTTTATTTAATGCAGCTTCAATTGAAGTCCAAACATTAGATCTCCAATAAAATTTAGTTATATCATAACCTTCTTCAATACCGACATTTCTAAGTAATCCAAATGCTTCAGTTGCAATTTCATCGTGATTATCATTTAAACAGTGTTCCATAACAATAGCGATTAATCTTTCTTTCAACATGAGTTTTCTCATCCTTTCATCTTCACATAAGATCGAAACAGCACCAATTGCCATTTGTTTCTCTGAAGGAGTTGTTGATTTTAACTTGTTAATCATTGGGAGAATCTTTGATTGACGGGTAGCTTCATCTTTAATCTCTTGTTTATCAGTGGTTTTCTTCCCGGCCATCGGGTTGACCCTTGAGCGCTGGTTCTTTCTACCTCTTCTCAATTTACCCATGGTATATGTTTCTGAATCAACTAGAGTATAAGTTAGAATAAAGGCATTGAAAATTTTAAAAAAAAAAAATTCAAGATGACTTTGGCAATATGCAGTACGCTATCAAATCATCACTATCCAAATACATATATACTCATCTGAAGCCTATGAAGAAACTTCTACTATATTTAATGTCGACTGTAAGTATTCTACGAATGTACCAGCACATATCGTGCAATGCAAGTGAATTTATTAGGTCATTTAGTGTATTATCACCAGTATTTATCACCAGTATTTATCACCAGTATTTATCACCAGTATTTATCACCAGTATTTATTGCGTCAAGGAATATAATTTGTATAATTTATGTACAGTAAGCTCAAGACTCATTAATCATTGAAAGGCTAATTATTGTTTCTTGAATTTTCAATAACCTTCTTTTCGTCGTTTTTAAAATCTTGAATCATTTTTTCATCTTTTATTGGGTCTGGTTTTTCAGGGTTAACCACCGACTTCCATTTTGCCCTTACGTCTTCCCATGATTTCGGAGTGTCTGAAGTGTCGTGAATATAAACGTCGTCACGTAAATTACCATCTTTTCTGAGTTGTTCACTGGATGAATGTTAGTATCAATTCCCAGAGGGTTCACTATTTTACATACATAATGAGAGGCTGCCAAAACTTGACTCCGGTATACCAACCAACACCAATAACGGCTAGAACGGTGATTGCTTTTGCACCTGGAGAGGACATTCTTGTATAGTTGGTGTTACTGGTGGATTAGAGAACGAACAACGGTATTTTCAGACTAAATATCCTGTGGTTATGTGCAGGAGACCCCAACTATAATTATATAGTAATGTCATGGATAATGTAATGGGTAATGTAGTGTATAAAATAGTGTATAATGTGAAGATATAACAGTATATATAGTGTTATTTTAATGTATAATGCTAACGTAATTGAAAAGTGTAGTTGGGGTTTAATGGAAGGTGAAGAAAATGGGTGTGAAATTTATAAATTTGGCAACAAATATACAAAATTACAGCTAATCATGCGGATCCAAATAGATACCAGCGCATAATACAAGTGTACAAGCGTACAAGTAAGTACAAGTGAATACAAGTGTAACGTAGCTGATATAGTGAATAGTATAGTAAAGATATGGTGAATAGCGTAGTGATTAGGGAAATAGTATAGGTATAGGTCTAGTTGTAATGCGGGTAAGTCGCGGTTTGGGCTCATCAGAAAAAAACAGTATAAAAGAGACTTGGAATCAGCGATTTTTCAAAAGTTTTACTCTTCTTTCTTTAATCAAAAAGCTTATTAAAGCAAGGGAATATTTGCCACGACGAGATAATGTAAATTGTCAAGTTATACTCGTTGCCATTTTTAATAAAATTGCATTCCCGAGAGCAGTGATTACTTGATTCCCTATAGGAAGTTTGATAACCGTTGGGTCTCTTTAGTGAGGCGATGGATATTGAATGTCGATTCATGGGATACATATTGTAGTTGTAGTTAAACTTTAATATCTAAATGAGCTAGTCTAATATCTAAATGAGCTCGTTTAAATGAGCTAGCTTAATATTTATATGAGCTAGTTTAATATTTGAATGAATTAATTAATAAATGAACTTACAGCTAAATTAAGTGAGATTTTATTTATTGAGAAGATTTGTAAATCAATAATTATACACAGAGTCTTAAACGATAATATTAATATATTTCTTTAATTTAAATACAGAAAAGATAATTTATAAAAGAATTAACTAATAATCTTAACGGTATTTGTTGAAACCAATGTCAGAGGCTTTTTCTCTGAAACATTGACGACAGATGTCTAAACCGTATTTTCTAATTAAACCGGAGTGGGAAGAACAAACACGACATTTTCTAGAACCTTTACCAAAGTTTCTTGGGTGGGAAAACCAAACTGATTCGTGAGCCATATTGCTATATGTAGAGTTAGTATAAGTTCATTTTGCATAGTGTGGCATGGTGTATTGAATATCTTGACATCTTCCATCTTGACATCTTCCATATTCACATCCTGGACATCTGGGAGGTCCTGAACATACCCTGGGCATACCCAGGACGTCTAGACACATTCGTGGATCATGGGGTTCTTGGTTTCACTGTATCATTGAATTTTTCACTTGATAATTTTTCATTGAATTTTCCATTGAATTTTCATAGAGTTCTTCACGGGGAGTCTTAATTCCATCGATAAACGCTTCTATTCATACACTGACATGCTCTGCCACTCATGGATCTTCTAACGGAACGGTACATACAATTATTATGTATTGATATTGACTTAGTTGGATAGAGACCTTTCAAGAAGTAAGTATTTTCAATGCTGCTTTTTTTTTTGACCTTCTCACTCTGGTGAAGTTTTTTCCTCTTCACTAACAATTTTGGGTGTGCAGGCCCTCACTTAACATCTTTGTATGCGCGCGCTAACAAAACGAAGAAAAAAGCCCGTGACTGTCGCGGTGTTAATCTTCTCTCTGAGGGCACAGCCCTAAGAGTGCGCACGTGCCGGAAAACCCGAGATCAAAAATTCGCAACTAGTTAAATTTTTTTATACCTCATCGCATTAAGATAATAGTTATCAATAAGATATTGAAGTGACCAATAGATAAGTTTGATAAGCAGAATGGCAAAAGGAGGTCATTCCCATAGAGGGACTTTGAAAAAAGACCACAAGCCGTTTAAGTCGAAGCATTCGACCAAGGGACAATTGAAAAATCAGTACAAGGGTAAAGTTGAAAAATCATCAAATGCTTCAGTTAAGAATAAGGTTATATCAAAACTTGATAGAAAACATAACAGTAAACAGCTTAGAGATAATAAGATCGGCGAGACCAAGCTTATCAGGAAGTTGTTTGAAGGATCACAAGGAACAGAAAAGATTATAACTGTTATCAGTTTAACTAAAGATATTGCAGCTAATCAAATTGCATCAAGATTAATAAATAGTATAAAAGATGAAGAAAATCAACCAGACATAATAATTGAATCACCATCGATACAGTCTTTCAAGTTGGGACGCTTCAGATCGAACATTAAGGTGATCATACCTGATCAAACCAATTTATTATCAATTTTGGATGCTGCTAAAATATCTGATTATGTTATATTTGGATTATCAGCACAAGAAGAAATTGAAACAAATTATGGTGAAACCATATTACGTTCAGTGATTGCTCAAGGTATTGCTTCAGTAATTGGAGTAATTCCAAATCTTATATCTGCATACCCCAAAAAAAATTTACAAAATGATATTAAACAATCATTACAATCATATTTTAATCATTTTTTCCCTAATGAAGATAAACTTTATACCATTGAAAATGATTCGGACTGTGTCAATTGTGTTCGTTCAATTGCTCAAAAATTCCCCAAATCAGTTCATTGGAGAGACTCAAGAGGGTATATGGTTACTGATGATGCTTATTGGTCTCCAATTGATAACCAAGATGGTTGCTTAGTGGTTGAAGGTACTGTTCGTGGGATTGGTTTCAATTCAAATCGTTTAATTCATATCCCCGGTTTCGGTGATTATCAAATTCATCATATGGAAAAATTAGCGTCAAAAAATTATAAAAATAGTATGGATATTGATGATGATATGAATGAGAATATTTATCTCCCTAATGAAGACCAAGAAACTTTAGAAGAGTTAAATCCCGAAGAAGCTGAAATGGATTATGCCGAGGAAGATCTTGCATTCGACGATGAATTAGGGGTTAGAATGGAAGGTAGAAATTATTTCCATGACGTTGAAAATAACCAAAAGAGAAGATTTAAATTACCAAAGGGAACTTCCGAATATCAAAGTAAATGGCTTTTAGAAGACGTCTTAGAAGGTGCATCCGATGTTGAAGAGGAAGATGACGAAGATCAACAACAAGATGAAATAGAAGAAGTCGATGACATGCAAATGGATGATGCAACTACTGATTATGCACCAACTGAAGGTGATAAATCAGAAATGTTTGTTGATTTATCTCCAGAAGAAGAAGAAAGACAATTAAAAGAATTTAGAGAATTAGCTAAAGAAGATTTAGAATTCCCTGATGAACTTGAACTCCATCCAAATGATTCAGCCAAAGATGTGTTATCAAGTTACAGAGGTATCAAGTCTTTGGGTACTTGTGAATGGGATTACGATGAATATGATTCTGAAGCTCCAAGTATTTGGAATAGATTATTAAGAATATCAAATTATAAAGCAACTAGAAATAAAATTTTAAAAGATTCCATCAAAGAATCTCAAATCAATATTGGTAATCGTGTCCGTATTTTCATTAAAGCACCTCAATTCATCTTGGAAAGAATTAATCCAAAAACCAAACCATTTATAATTTATGGATTATTACAACATGAACATAAATTAGCCGTTGTTAACTTTTCATTCGAACACTGGGAAGACTACGAAGAGCCAGTTCCATCGAAAGAAGTTTTAATTGCTCAATATGGTCCTCGTCGTCAAATTATCCAACCAATGTTCAATCAAGGTTCAAATAATTCAAATAATGTTCATAAATATGAAAATTTTGCTCACCCAGGATCTTCTAACATTGCCACTACTATAGCACCAGTTTCTTTCAACAATGCACCAACCATTTTCTTCAAATCAAAACCTGATGGTTCTTTAGAATTAGTTGGTCAAGGTACTTTCTTGAATTGTGACCATACTAGAGTTATGGCTCAAAGAGCAGTATTAACTGGTCATCCGGTTAAAATCCATAAGAAATTGGTTACAATTAGATATATGTTTTTCAATTCTGATGATATTAATTGGTTTAAAGCCGTTCCATTATTCACTAAAAGTGGTCGTACTGGGTTTATTAAAGAAAGTTTAGGTACCCACGGTTACTTTAAAGCTACTTTTGACGGTAAATTAACTTCACAGGATGTGGTTGCTATGTCTTTATATAGAAGAGTATGGCCAGAAGTATCTAACCCCTGGACTGAATAAATAGTTTAATGTAGTATGAAGTATAATAAAATGCATTCTATCATTAATAATAGTAGAAGTGACTGCAAAAGTAGGTATTCGCAAAATTGACTTAATAATATTTTTCTGGTGTCTCATCAATAAATCTTTAATACTCTTTCTTTTTTAACCAAATCACAATGAGTTTTTTACCTCAAGGATCTACTCCTCAAACTTCTTCTTATACTTGTAATACGTGTGGAATCAAGTTTACCATAGCCGATTTACAACGTCAGCATATGAGAACAGAATGGCATAGATATAATTTGAAAAGAAGAGTTGCTGGATTACCATCGATTCTGTCAGATATCTTTGCAGAAAAAATTTTACAACAAGAACAAAGACGGGAAGATGAAGAAGCTGAAGAAGACGAGTTTGGGTTTTTCATTCCACGTCGTAACAAACATGGTGTTCGTCAACCCACTAAGAAATTATTGAAACAACAAGCCAAGTTTGCTGAATTGAACAGAGGTCGAAAATTAGGTGAAGGATTACAGGTTAGAGAAGAAAGTCCCTCTGCCGGTTCGGTTTCTGAATTTTCTGAGTTTTCATTAGGAGGATCATCGCATATTCATACTGACGATGAATCAATACTGACTGGTAGTGGATTTAATTATAGTGCTAGTGAAGATGAGTACACTGAATTAGAAAGTGTTGGGGCCCTGAACAATGAAGAAGAAGAAGAAGAAGATTCTGACTCTGAAGAAGAGGCTGAAATGATGGAATTAATGCCAATCAACCATTGCTTTTTCTGCAGCAAGAATAATGGGAGTGAATTAGAAAATAACGTTAGACACATGTTCAATGTTCATGGATTGTATATACCAGAAAGAACATTTTTAACTAATTTAGAAGGATTATTAACCTACTTGAGTGAAATGATCACTTTTGAAAATGAATGTTTGGTTTGTGGATTCGAAGGTAAAAACCTCGAAAGTATTAGACAACATGTGCAATCTAAAGGTCATTGCAAAATCCCCTATGATACTAAAGAAGAAAAAGCAGCTATTGCTGAGTTTTACGATTTCACCATTGCAAACTCCAGCGATAACAAAAAGCCTTCCAAACAAAAGAAATCGGTGGCATTTGAATCCGACAGCGATGAAGTATTGGTCAATATCGAATCTAACGATTCTAATGACGTGGATTCGGAAAACTCCCAAGATGACCCCAACGATAACTACTCGGTGGTTCATGTCGATAGATCCGGGGTCGAACTCACCTTACCCACAGGGGCCAGAATCGGCCATCGTACCATGACCAGATACTACCGTCAAAATCTTCCGGGCCCCAGAGACACCCTGGACGGAGAACGTACCACTGCTTTGGTCGATAAGAGATTTGCTCCAGGCATAACTTCTTACGAAATCTCCAAACAAGAAAAAGACACCCAGCAACTCGTCCAAAAAAACAAGAACATTGCCGTCAGACGAGACAAGCTCCCCAAGGTCAACTACCAGAAACACTACCGTGACGAACTCTTACAGTAGATATACCTATACCGATATCACCAGAATGTTGGGTGTACGGAGGCATGTCTATGGCGTGTACGGAGGTTTACACAAAGAAATGATAGAATCTTATCGAATTTTCTAGTTCCTCACTTTTTTTGTATGTTACAAATTATCTACAGTTTTGTTACTTACGCCAAATAGAAATTGGTCTATCTTAAATCAAATAGATATATATTAGAGGTTGTTTTTTTTTTTTTTTTTTTGCCTTTCTTTTTTAATATACTGTTTCCACTGTTTTATACACTGTTTTAATTCTTGTACAACTATTCCATAACACATGATATAACCCTACGTCCATGGCTCGAGAAAAGTACTTCTACGATATCCTATCGGTATCTTCAGACGCATCGGTCGAAGAAATTGCTCGATCCTATAAGAAGATGGCATTAAAATGCCATCCTGATAAAACCAATCACAATCCTCAGTTGACAGAAAAGTTTAAAGAGGCCACTCGAGCTTATGAAGTATTGAAAGACGATAATAAGAGAAAGATTTATGATGCTTATGGGGAGGCCGGTCTTGATGGAACGGAGGACGTTAGTCAGCCAGCTAAGAGACCACCCTATTCAGCCACTTCAACCAGCTCGACCTCCTCGTCGAATATTCATGTTCACTCGGCCCATAACGTGTTTTCTCAGGTCTTTAATGATATCAATTCAATTTTTGGCAATGATCCTGCGTCGTCTTCGACTTCATTTTTCTCGCAGTTCCCCATGAACATGAACATGAACATGAATATGAATATGAATATGAATACCCAAGGAATGAAGAAAAGCGTTCAACCGGCACCTGCTGATCCTCGTGCTGATCGTCCTATTCGTGGTCAGGATATTCATCATACTTTCAAGGTAACCTTGGCTGATTTATATTTTGGTAAAGTTGTTCGTTTTCAATTACCGAAAAACAGCCGTTGTAAAGAATGCGGTGGTCATGGGTGTTTCCATCCAAAACTGTGTCATGTTTGTGCTGGATCCGGAAGAGTCTTTGTTACTATGTTTAATCAATATAGTAAGTTTCAAGAATTGAGTCTGTGTAAGGCTTGCAGAGGTACTGGTTCTTACATATCTCCAGCTGATAAATGTCTTCATTGTAATAATGGATACTTAAAAGAAAATAAAATCATTAAAGTTAATATTTTACCTGGTTCTAAAAATGGCGATCGCTGTATTTTACAAGGCGAAGCTGATCAAGGTCCAAATATTATTCCTGGTGATGTTATAATCCATCTTCAAGAAGTTCCTCATAAATATTTAGTTCGTAGGTTTAATGATTTATACGCTGAATATTCAATTGATTTGAAAACTGCTTTACTTGGTGGTAGCTTCATAATGAAAGATTTCATTATGAATGATAATCAATTAAAAATCACAATTAATGCTCATGGTTATGATGAACTAAATGATAAATCTATTCAACAAGGTGAAATCGTGGGGACAATTAATCCTGGTACTCCTAAAATCGTAAAAGGTTTTGGTATGCCAATTAATAATACTATATTAGATGGGGTGTTTTATCAAGATTCAACAGAATCAATCGATATGTCTGACGTTATTTTTGATATGAATCGTTATAAAAAGGGTAATTTATTCATTAAATTTAATGTGGAATTACCGAATTTGTCCGATTTTACTGGTGGGTTAAACGATTTAAAAGTTTTGCAGCAAATTTTACCAAATTCGAGCACTCAAGGATCTATTAATGATAATGAGTCTTTCAATATGGAATCTCATTTATCTAATATTTCTTCTCTCAATAAGAATGCTTCAAAATTAGCGCAATCTTCAAATCTTACTCCCCAATTGAAAAATGTTAGGGTTAATATCGCTTCTTCTCCATCTAAATCTTCAAAATTATCTGATAATAATTCAGTTTCAAGTACTTCAACTAATCATGAAATTGACTCTCAGAATTTGAAAAGACCAAAGAGAAACTCCGATTCTTCAGATACCCAATTCAATTATGACGATATCGATATTGATGATAAAGTTGATGGTGATGAAATTGAAGAAGAATTATTTTATAACGACAAATGGTCCAATAATGGTAAAAAAAGAAAACGTAACTTTAACGGATCTTCACCTAGCACGGGTATAAATGTTAATTAATTCTTCTTTCCCTTTCCTTTTATGATAATGATTTTATTTCTCTCATTTTGAATCTTCCCTCGATTCAAATCATTTATTCACTCTTCATTCGAAAAACTTATTTATTACGTACTTTTCACTTCAAAACAGTCTCTGCATCCAGATGGGTTCCCATTTGGCCCTTAATAATATGTATCTTACAATAAACATCATATGTATCTTACAATAAACATCTTGTTTAGAGTCTATCATTGTACTTTTGCATCTTTTGTTATACTCTGGTAATTTTTTTTCTTTCGGTGTGCAACGCTCAGTAGGTTTTGTTTTTTTTTTTTTTAAATAACCCTTAATATTCCAACTGAAAGTTCAATTATAAGGGCACAATGAATGAAAATAAGATCTTGGATGCTGCTTTGATCAAGGACTTATCTAATCATATTTATGAGAAAAGAAAGGCCACGGCCTTTCAAATCGAAGGGCTTACGAAGTCTGCATTTCAACGTAATGATTCAGAAACTATTAGTAAAATTATTACAGAATTAACCGATTTGATCGATGGTGGGTCCAGTTCTGCTAAAATGGGTGCTATCACCGCGTTGGGAAGTGTCTCTATAGCCTTGGGATCGTTTGCAATTGCATTTTTTTTAAATGATATCATTAAACCGATTTTTGCTACATTTAATGATACAGATGCAAGAGTTAGATATTACGCCTGTGAATCACTTTATAATATTGCTAAAATAGCTCGTGGTGAAATCCTATCATATTTCAATGAAATTTTTGATATTTTATGTATATTAGTTACTGATACAGTTTCATCAGTTAAAAATGCTGCTGATATTTTAGATAGACTTATTAAAGATATCGTTAGTGCAAAATCAACTAACTATGTTTCAATCCTACAACAGCAAGAGCATGCTAATAATGAAATTAAATCAAATGTTGTTGATTCCCAAGGAGTTGCAATCCAAGTAAATCAAATTCAAGATGTTCAAAAGGCTTTTTCCTTACCCCGTTTCATCCCAACTTTATTGGAAAGAATGTACACTACTGATCCATTTGCTAAAAAATTCTTGATAGGATGGATGGAGCTCTTCGATGATATACCCTCGTTGGAATTAATAACTTTTGTTCCAAACTTATTAGAACCTCTCATCAAGTTCTTAATGAATAAGTGCCCATCAGATGTTAGAATTGAAACCCAGAATTTGTTAAACAACTTCCTTAAGGAAATAAAAACCATTTCAAAAGTGAAATTCGAAGTAAAGAAAAGACAAATGATTAGTGAATTGGAAAAGAAACATGAAAAGGCTAAACATCAATCACAAGAAGAAGCTGAGTCCAGCCCAACTCCTGAAGATTTATCCGAAGATATTAAGGATATAGAACTAAAAGCCGGAGATGAACATTCAATCAAGTCAAATGATACGACACTCATTCGTAAGAACGAAAATAATGATGAGGCTATTGTTGACTCTGATAGCTATTCAGATGATGGATCAATATTTTTAAGTGGTCAAGATATATTCATTGATTTCCCTAAAATATTTGATATTTTATTATCATTCTTAAGAGTCCCCGGTGAAAACCCAAATGTTAAACTTAATGATTTATCACTGGAAAGTCATGAAACCTATACTGAGATAGAATTGACTGTAATCAAATGGTTGCAAGAAATCTTATTGATGAGTCCTACTAGTTTTGTGAAATATTTACCCGATTGTATTTCAGTAACTTTGAAAAACATATCGATAACCGATAATAACAAGGATTTTGATCTTCGAAATCAGTTATTGAAATTTAATATATCGCTCCAAGATTTCATTATAAATTTGAATGAACGTGGGGACTCAGAAGGGAAAAGCTCTCATGATGAGGTAGTATCAAATAAGGATGATATAGTTATCAATGTAAATGAAATCCATGGATTAAATAAAGAAGTTTACGAAGAATTCCTTGAGGTTTATTTGAATAAGACATTCCGTGGTATAATGCACGAATGTTTGACATGTGCCAATGAGTTTGCTCGTCTTACTCTGATAGATTGGTTAATATTTTTATATTCCAAAATACCTTCAAGTTTTTTAAAAGTTATATCGAACGAAGAGAAAAGTCCCGAAACCAAAGATTCTTTTGATTTTACAGCTTTATTAAAATCTTCGGCAGATGCTAGTAATGAAGTGATTTTAAAAGTTTTACATTTTCTATCACAAATTTCAGAAACAAATCAGGATTTTTTCAAAGAATTTATGATTAAATTAGTAAAATTTGTTGAATCTGAGGGGTCAGTTGCTGCTTCATCATTATCTAGAAGTAAAATTGAATTTATCATTCGAAAATTATGCGTTACTTTAAGTTCCGAAAAAATTTATAAAAGTATATCGGAAGTATTGGCTCTGTATGAAACGGAAAAGTTGGAGTTTCTAAATATGATGGTGGTTACATTAAATAATATTCTTTTAACCTCTCACGAGTTGGCAGGATTCCGTAAAAAATTGAAAAACCTCGATGTTTATAAACTTGAAGATTGGTCTCTTTTCGCTACATTATTTCAAAGCTGGTGTCATAGTCCGCCTAGTGCTCTATCTTTGTGTTTATTTACTTCCAATTATGAATTGGCGTACTTGATCATTAAAAATTTGGCTGATCTGGAAGTCACTTTTCAACTACTCACCCAACTAGATGTTTTAGTTCAACTATTAGAAACCCCAATCTTCTTGAAATTAAGGTTACAACTCTTAGAACCAGAGAAAAACCCTCATCTTTATAAAACCTTATACGGAATCCTCATGATTCTACCGCAATCAACTACATTCACCACTTTGAAAAATAGACTTTCTTCCATCTCGTTGGTTAACAATACCAACAATCCTGGGTTGACTGGTCCATTAAGTACTCCAGTAACAACCCCAGGAGCTAATACCACTCCGAATAATCAATTATCTATCAAGAAGAAACGCAACTATGAAATGATTGAGAAGTTTTCCACGATCCGAGAAGCTCATGACAATTATCATTTGGAAGGTAAACTCAAGGACTCATACTATAACGGGTTCATCCCACCAGCCAGAAGCGACACCCAGCACCAATTAACTAATTGAAATGATTAACCAATTGAAATAATCAACCAATTGAAATAATCAACCAATTGAAATAATCAACCAATTGAAATAATCAACAATTGAAATAATCAACAATTGAAATAATCAACCAATTGAAATAATCAACCAATTGAACTAATTAACCAATTGAACTAATTAACTAATTGAACTAATAAACTGGTTGACCTAAGTATAGTATATATCGTTTTTTGCAATCATATAAAACCCTAATATATAGTGGGTAGTGCGCTAACCCAACGAACAACAACTCCGAAAATTAACAAAAAATCAACTAAAAAAGAATAAACAACCCTCTTTTTACAGGTTGACAAGGGATATTCTGCTATTTCCTCCACCGAGAAACTCCATTTTTGACCAGGACTTTTTACAATTTAGATAGCTATCGTATTGCAAACTCATTTTGTTAAGAGGTATAATTTTGAAGGTTGAGTTTTCACGGCAAAATAATTGACCTATGCCAGTGTTAGATAAAGTGGAAAGCAGCATTTCACAACATATGAACGAGTCCGTTGACCCACTTGGAATTGCTACAGAATCCAAACATTCATCCATGAATCAACAACAACATCAACAACATCAACATCAACAAGCACAACAGCAGGCACAAGAAGCACAACAACAGCTGCAAATTCAACAACACCAAATACAACAACACCAAATACAACAACAACACCAAAATCAACAAACACAACACGAACAACTTGTGCATCCACACCACCATCACCATCATCACCATTCCGATTCTCAAAATAGTTTAGCTGCTAACGATGTCTCGGTTCCAATGTTTAATGAATTGGACTTGAAATCAAAAGATTCCAAGTATAAAAGATGGTCGCCTCGTATGGATCAATATCTTATGAAGCTTTTATCAGATGTGGTTCATAGTTTCCCTAAAGGTGTTGAATCTAAAATGTCTAAAAAAGCATGGGCTTATGTAACTGGTCGCTTAAGAGCTGCTAATCCTGAAACAGTTTATTCTACTTATACCAAATATTCTTGTCAACAACATCTAATGCATGTTAATCATCATCGTTATAAAATTTGGTATTCTTTAATGACCCATCAAAAACATCATCCTTCTAATAGTGGGTATACCTATAGATGGAATCCAAACATTGGGAAATTTCAAATTTTTGAACAAACTTCCGGAATCCTTATTGATGACGATCGCCAAATTAAATCTTTACTTTATAGTGAAGGTTTGTCCTTACCACCACTCAATAATTTAAACAAAGGTAATCTTATCGTTAATGAATTCTTTTTCACGGATAATTTAAAATACATGTCTCTTTATCATAATGAAATCTTGCCGTTATTGATGAGATTAAATCCATTCTATTATCAAGGATTAGAACATGTCTATGAAGAAATTCCAAGATTCGATTACCCAGAACAAAATAATGAATATTTTAAAGCTTTAATCCCTGCGAAAAATTCAAGATCTAAAGGCTCTGTTTCACCAAGCTCATCTAATGGATCAAAGAAAAGGTCCCATTCTGATATTGGTCTCAAGCACCAGGTGGCTGTTTCCGGGCCCTCGGCAAGCGATGTTCAAATGTTTTTAACTCAAGAAAATGGAACTGATCGTGCTAATGACTTAGCTGCACCTGATGATACTGTTGACCCTCTTTTGAAAAGATCAAGAAACACTCCTGATGCGTCTGTTAATCAAGTGGCTGATTTCGAAAATGCCTTAGCTAGTGCTGCTATTGCTGCAATCGACTCCCCTGCTGTTACTAATGGTCGTGATCCTCCTGTTTATTTTAAAGAACGTAAATGGTTCAATAAACTAATGGCTTTATACAATAGTGACCTTATATCTTCTGATGAAGTGTTGACCGTTTGTGAGGGGGTCAGAGATGGCAAAATTCCAATGTTCATGTTAAATGTATTGGATAATACTTACTACGCAGTTAGAAATGGCGAACCACAAGATTTAGATAACGATGATGATCTACCAGATGCAGAAATCGTGAAAAGAATTCGTCAATTCATGCTTCCTATGACATTTCCTTCTTAAAAAAAAAAACTAATCCATTATTCTTCAATTTAGTTCTACCCTGTTTCAATATGACTATTTTTTCTTATTCTTCTATTCTAAGTTTTCTTACCTTGTTTTCTACATTTACTTTTGTAAAATAATAAAAAGAGTATCCATTAAATACTATTAGTAGAACTAAAATTGGTAAATGCTAAAAATTGAACTTTTGATGTTAGATGCAAAAAAAAACACACAATGAAAATGCACAATAATGTTAAAATTAACCTTACAAGAAGAATTGAAATAAAATCAAAAGGAATTTCTTTTATCGTCATCCTTTAATCTAAATTGCTTCTCTGTATTCGATGATTTGAATGATAAGCTCGAGTTTTTACTCATGATAGTATCCGAGTATGAGAGTTTTGATTGGCTGTTTTGGAATCTAAATGAAGCAACACTCTGATGATTGGGTATCGATCTATTTGGCAATGATTGCTTCGGTTGAGAAACACTTTGAGGACTTATTGAACTTGACCTAGAGTTAAAGATTACTTTCTCATCAATTCGATCTAAAGGCGATTGTAAATTGGAGCTCATATAATTTTCTGGCAGTTGCCAATTAGAAGAATTCGATCTTCCACTCTCCAGTTGTAATGCTGTACTATGAGAATCTTCAGATTCTGTTGAAAACTTGATAGATCCATGCAATGATTTAACGCCTGACATTGGGTTAGGTTGCATTTCAGTTTGAACTATATTAGGTGAGGGGTTCTGGACTGGAAGGAGCTCTATATTTTCTTCTGAACCATGTTTTTGTAAATTTTCCAACAAACTAAGTGAAGATGCTGAAGTTTGGGAAGCACGAGATTCTCTTGGTCTATAAGGTCTAGGTACTTCCAAAGCTAGATGTTGACTTAATGAGTGCTCACTTAAAGAAGCATTCATTGTAGCAGGTGATTGGTTGATTGCGGGCAAAGTTTCTTCCACTGGTGCATTTGGGGCAGTAAAGTCATGGTGAAATTCATTTTTAATGAATCCCGATAACTGTTTCGATAGGTCGTCCAAGCCTTGGAACATTGAAGTGTTTGTAGTTGATTGCGAGCTTCTGTTTCTTTCATTGGTGTCAGTTGTAGATTGAGATTGGCGTTTCTTTTCACAAGTTTCGTTTGTAGATTGAGACTGTCTTTTACTTTGACTTGGGTCAGTTGAAGAACCAGATCTAACATGGCCATGATTTGCTTGTTTATTGTCTTCAATACTAGATTCGAAACTTAATTGAGGGGGTGTTGATGCCCTAAAGTTGGATCCATCACTAATAGAACTAGATATAGTAACATTCGATCTCATCATTGGTTTTAATTGATAAACATTAGATTTCAATAAAGCTTGTTCAACATCTTGTAAATGATTCGGTTTTTTGTAATGAGCATAATATGCTACATTAAAATCATTTACGTAAAGAGAAACAGGGGAATCTGGTTGGTCGGTTGATTTCTTTCTGTACGATAAATTATGAGAAGAGTATTTCGAGCTTGAGTTATCATGCAAGGCGATATCTTTTGAAGAGCCTGATCTTGGGCCAGAAGGATTTGAGCCCATTTTCCTGATTCGTAAAGGGCTTTCACTAGTATGCTGACTTCCCGAAGGGCGTTCCGAAATCATGGCAAGTGGACTAGTGGTACTTCGAGGAGAATGGCTATTAGTTGGATGTATAGTTGAAGAAGAAGGATCACCACTTGGGAAAATTTCAAATCCGCTACCAAAAATATCTGAAGTATAACTTATTTGAGGAGAAGGTAAGAATTCTGAAAATAAAGAGGCATTCTGTTGCATTAAATGGTCGGTATTCATACTGTTATTAGAACCATTTGAAGAATAGTTACTTGAAGAAGTGTTATTACCCAGACTCAAATCATGAGATTTATTTGAAGGAGATTTGCGGGAGTGATGAGATGACGAGTTATTAGAATCATCACCTCTAGAGGTGATTGTAGTTGAAGATTGAGATTCTTTAGCAGATCTTCTTCTTTGAGAAGTCCAAACTCCGTTTTGTTTCAATCGATACTCAATTTTTGCAGCCACTGTACGACGAATCAAGACTTCCAATAATATTTTTTTCTCAATCTGCTCGACTTCATTTGGATTAAGTATGGCATCATCTCTTTTTTCATCAGGATAAACGTCATAAAACCTAGGGGGAATATGGAAACGATTAGGGTTAGAAAATACTGCTGCTCTATATCTCGCATAAATCATATCAGAAATTGGGATCAGATTTGAGACATCTCTAGTATGCATGAATAAAGTACCTGATTCGGCAGAAACTGGGGGGGCTAATGTTTTAGGATATGCTTCGCTGGAAGTTTGATCTTTCAATCTGTTGGTAGTTTTAATAAAAGTGTCTTGAAGAGGAGCTGAGATCACTTTAGGGGGTAAATCAGAGAGGGTAAATTGGTTATTCTGATCTAGGGTGATTGCCATTTCGGTACCCACAAGATTTGGATTTAATTTAATTAATTGTTTGAAATCGTAAAGCTTCATTGAATGAGGTAGGATTTCTTTTAATAACGACTCAACATTATTTTGTAAGAAAAAATCGTCGATATCATCTTTAGATTTAAATTTTGGAGGAGATTTTGAATCTAATTGTGAATAACTTGACCTTCTCTTAAGGGACGTTTTACGTTTAACTGGGAAAAGAAATCTAAGTTTATCTTTATAATTATTATTATTATTCTTAGACTTGGGGACTTCTTTAGGGGATATGATCGAAGAGGAAGAAGAAAGATTATCTGAATGAATCAATTTTCTTGAAGGAGCATGAGGCAGGTTAAACACTGAGTTATCTGGAGTAAGAGGTAAATCTGAACGGCGGACAATTTTATTTCTACTTTTAATTTTATTTCTGTTCCTTAAAGATGCTGATCTGGAAACAATTGAACCTGACCGTTTAAAACGGTTCAGCTGATCAACGATGGTGACTATGGGATGACTGCTAGGACTTTGAGATGAAACTGTATTTTTAAGATCTTTATTGGAACCTTTTAACTTAGCCATTTGGAAAGATTTTTCAATTTCTAAATATTTTGGAGACATCGGAGATACTGGTTGAGCTGGAGAGGTTTGATCTCTAAAGGGACTCATTGGTTTTTGTTTTTCAGGTTCATAAAGGATTTCAAAAGGATTGGATTCTATTCTTTTATGAGTATAAGAAGGACTTTTTCTTTCAGAAGGAGTTGGAAGTTGTTGAGGCTTGGGGGATATGATTTTATGAGGAGTTGTTTTATGATCATCATCTGAAGATAATACTGGACTGAACCCGGGGATTGAATCGATATTAGAATGGGAAGAAGAACTATGGGAATAATCATGGTTTTCTAAAGCCCTTATAAGCTCTTCATGAGAATGAGTTAGTACCAAAGAACGATCATCACTAGCTGTCGACATGATATTCCTTGCGGTTTCATAAGAAGCCAGAGAACTCTGATCTAAGATCCTCTGCATCATATATAATTAATTTGATGAATTCGATGCAAGCAATGGGCGATGAGCAAGAGGAAAAAAGGTTAGAAATGGGAATGTTGAAGTAGATATAGCAGGCTCAGCTAAAAACACATTTAAAAGGATAAAAATGTAAGACAAGGAATCAAAGTAAGAGCTCTGACTGAGTATAATCAGCCATTAGGCGAGAAGACGAAGAGATGAAAGGGGGTGGATTTAGTGAAAGCTTGCTTAGAATGGAAACAAAGACTACGGTGAATAATATCAGGTCAATGGGGTAAGGGCATACAATAGTGGTTGGAAGTTGAAATCCAACTAATTATAGTAAAGGTAGTAAAGTAATAGAAATGGCTGGTTGAAAAAAAAAAATAACTTTGCAGCTTTGTTTATTTTGGTCAAAGCCAGCATCAAAACAAACCTCCGTACCTTTTGAAATCAAAACATCTGTACACCATCAATATAATTGGTATAGTCGTTTACTTTGTATGAGGTGGACTTTTCTACTTCAAAATCTGGTAGCTTTGAGTGGCCTTCAACTGCGACAAATAAGAGTAATATAAATACCTAAATACAAGTATATATTCTCATAAGAAATTTACTATTTTCATTATATATAACAAGATGTAAATAACAATACAATAGAGAGACCCGTACACCACATGTCTTATAACTCTCGGAATTGGTCAAATGGTCGGTTCTAGATTCAAAAAAAAATCTGTGAGAAAATGTCGCATGTGTCATCCATATAACATAGTAGAATAATAGAACCAGACGTGATCTGAAGCTTCGTCTAGTAGTTAGATTCTGAATCACAAACTGTACCAGAGCTAAATCAATTAAATAATATGTATGTTTACAGTGCCGAATGTATACAAAGAGGATAATATCAAGCATATACGTTCGGATTTAAGAGTCCCGACCGAAAGAAGATGTTCTAGATAATAGATGAGAGTGACTAAAGAGTACTTTACGAGCCAATTAAACTTGTTTGTTTACGAGCTATATTTGGGTTTCTATATTCAGCTTAAAGTAAGCTTTTGAAAGGGTAGGTTCTTAAACCAACCTTTTAGTGATCTGAAAGCAAAGCTTTCGACTGTGAAGCAGTGGGCTTTTAGAGTAAATATGAGCGAATTCTCTTAGATCAAACTGATCTGAATATCGGTTCGAGAAAGGAACCGTATTGGGGACCTGTAGATCATACTTCTTTCCTAGGTTTCTATTTTAAGCTGTCGATCGATCAAGAGCTTTTGCAATTGCTTTTCAAGACCTAAACATGGAGGCTAATCCACGAAAGGTTTGGCTGCAAATATGGTTTTGAATTAGTCATTTATCGAGTTTCATACCTTACAGCAGGAATGACTTGCTGATTCATCTGGCATAACCTAAACATATTTTACCAATGAACACATATACACTCGATAAATTTTTATATTATATAATGTATTCCTGCTTTAGATGATGTTATTCATAAAAGAGGTTTTAATGCAGCGAAATTGGTGCCGGTGGTTACTGATTGCTCCTCGATCAGTCTCGTATTGCCCTTCTGGATCCCCGTACGACCATCTGGGTAAGCTCTCTAGCTATCGAGATGCAAGCATTGCAAATCGTTTTTACTATGGGGTTGTTAATGCATGACTGACTTGCAAACGACAGCAACTTTCCAGATGTAGGATACGTGCTTGCCAATTTTCGACCAAACCCCTAGCTCCTCGGGGAGACATATATATCTTATGCTAGTAGCTGCCACCACTTTCAAGGTTTCTCTTTTTTGTAGGTTATGTATAGTATACTTAGCGGATTGCATGCTTGAGAAATTGCCGCCATAAGCTAATACATTATTCTCCACATCTACTAAAGCATACATTATACCTAGTGTAAGATAGTTTTCGGGGCAGGTTTCCATAAAAACGTTTTTATCATATTCTTTGGCATCCAAATCACTTTTGCCGATGCTATCCAAAGTATTTCCCCAGGTGGTCTTAGCTCAGCAATCAGGAAATTCATTATAAGTGACCCAATGGGCATGTGCAAAACAGTGGTCTTGGAACAAGGCAAATATTAAAAGTACAATAACCGGTACCTTCATTGGTTATAGGACTAACTACCATTACGTCTTGTAGAAAACCATTTCAGAGGGCGGGCTTTCTTTTAACCAGATGCTTGGTTTACGGATGAACCTCAACACTTTTCAATAATCGATTACATACTTGAATTGTTAAACATTCGCTAGTATGGTAACTACTCTGGCTGGTAGAAGACCTCGACGGAACCTGGAATAACGACCTTTAAATCTATGTTTTATATTCTGACAGGAAAAGGTTGCAATTTTTACGATGTGTAAAATGAAGGATAACCGGAGATGGAAAATCGCAAATCCGAAGAGCTCATGCCGATGGAATTCATTGTATTTTGTAATCAAAGGAGGGATGAAGCAAAAAAATCGACTGAGAAGAAAAGCTTAGACTCAATTGACAAGTTTGCCTATCAAACCTTGAATTGAATCAAAGCAGATGAACCAGTATAAAAGCCAAACTTCCCGATAAAACGAAATTTCAAGCACTACTCGTATAGCAGTCTTTACTGACCTCCAGAGGAATGAGCAGGTTAATGTCTAAAGGATTACAAAAAGATATACCGAAATTAGTAGCAAACGATCTAAATTTAGCTATTGAGCTTCATTGTAATTAATTGGAGAATAGAAAAACGAATAGCACTCAAAACCATGACTTATGTTTGCGAAAACGGTCTATAATGGAACGTTAGTAAAGGGTATTGATTTATCGGTTGCAAAAAAAAAAAAAAAAGAACAAAAGTAAGAAGAGCCGAAGACAAGGCAGTGCAGACAAAGAATCTTACAATTTCAGGTTGAATGGAGGTAGAGCCAGTAATTTAGACACGCGACATTTGTGCCCGTACAAACGCACGACATTTCCCTGGTTCCCGGCTGAAAACCGGGGGCAGTTTTTCTACCGGATGTGATTTGTGTCAATACGATAGTCAATAGCTGTCAACAGTTAATAAAGTCAACAGTTAATAGTCAACAGTTAATAGTCAACAGTTAATAGTCAACAGTCAATAGTCTAATAGTCAACAGTCAATACAGTCAGTACAATACTCGAACCGACTACGAGTTATGGTAAGGGTGAGTGTGATCACTGCTCAGTGAAAATACATGACTTTTAATTGAAGACCAAGCCCCCACAAATGTATTTATAAATCTTTCAAAGTACCCCGGCATCGGTAACGTCAAGCTGGTGGATTTACTCCGAGTCGACAACGTCGTGCTTCTTATCTTTAGAAATCTGATAATTGTCTAACGGTACATACTTCGGGCGTCGTGATTTGTGCCAGGGAAGGAACTTGGCATGCTGTGCTATGAAACTTGAAGTAGAGCTTTTAAGTCGTTGTGCTACATAAGTCGTTGTGCCATTTAAGACCTTGTGCTAGCGGAAGAATGAAACTACTACGGCCAGGTTACTGTACTATTCTATTAATAGAGACGTGCGTCTGCATCCTGATTGGCTAGACCTACCGCGACATCTCTGGTAACCATCGACCATCGGCTTCTAAGTCGTAGGGCTGGCCAGGAATGAATGGTGGTAGTAGTAGCCATGATGGGTTGTATAACATGATGTAGCATAGTAGTAGTCACCAAAAAAATGCACCCATACACCTCAGGTCCAAGCCTAGATTGCACTTTTGACAAATAACGGTTTGCAGCCACTTGATGAGCTATTTTTAATGGCCAAAGGTTCTAGTATTTTTTAAATGGGGGGATGGAGAGCGAATAAAATAAGTATATATACGATTTTATAATTGGAGCAAGGACAGAATTAGTTATTTATAGGACCAGCCTAAGCCTTACTGTCATTACATGGTTATAGTAAACCTCGCGCGAGATATAACCATATTTTAGAAACAATTGAGAACGTGCCTCCTTTTCCTTTCAAATCCACAAATAAATATTGAAAGATATCCATCAAACAAAAAAATTAATTAATGGTGTTACTTCTTTAAAGATGAAGGAGATTATTCAAGTAGAAAAACAGATTAAATTTTTTGATTATTATTTGTGTAAAATAATTCATAATCCAATTATATCATCAATAATAATAATTACTAGTATATCAATATTAAATATTAGTCAAATAATTAAAATACAACAGTCAAATAAAATTGATTTTATCTTTATTAACGATTATTACTTTGACTTATTACAAAATATTATTAATTTAATCTTTATAGTAAGATTTATTCTTAATAAATTTAAAACAAATTTAATAATTGAATCAATTCTCTTTACTTTCCAAAATTTGGGTTGTTATTTGACTTTATTTAATCCAAACGTATCGTTGTTATACTCAAATATTAACTATGTTTTCAAAGTATTAATCGTGTGGCAAAGCTTATGTCCTTATATCATCTTATTTGTTAACTTTATGGATTATTTGAAAAATAAAAATAATGAAAAACATGAATTTGACTTGAAATTCTTCTTAATTGAATCAAATAATAACTTCTTACCTATTTTCATTGCTCATTCTTACATCTTTATTAATTTCAATTTCCCTTTTTTATTATCCTCTAATTTCCAATGGTTAATCTTCATCTATAAATTATACTCTTTCTCCTTGAAATTCTTCTGTATTTATCAATTCATTTTATTCGAATTGGTAAGAATTTTCTATTCTGTTAACTCCCCTGCTAAAAATTATTCAAGTTATTATACTCCAGTCAATTTATCTCCAAAAATTTCTATTTGGAGTAGAATTTATGATTATAAACATTGGTTTTTATTTTCTACTTGCATAATTGTTTGTTTGTTTGATGGTTTCTTTATTGCCTTATATCATTTAAATAGTTAATATTTTATATAATAATATTCTCTTCACCTTGATAACTTGTAAACATGGCACCGTAACTATCAATGACTTTTCTTTCAACTTCAACTCTTCTCTCAGGGGTGTACTTAATCCTAATTGGGTCCTGTGGTTGTAACCTATCAATAACCCCGTCGTCGTCCTCTTCGTCGTCGCAGTCGTCTTCTTCGTAATCTTCTTCGTCTTCTTCGTCTTCTTCGTCTTCTTCGTCTTCTTCGTCTTCTTCGTCTTCTTCTTCTTCTTCTTCTTCTTCTTCTTCCTCCTCTTCCTCTCTATCCTCCTCGCTTCTTCTCTTCCCGTCATACCTTGGCTCCAGTTCAACTTCCATATCGTCTTCCTCGCCAATCGCTATCGAATCCTCGCAATATAAATTCATCACCTCTTCTTCACTATACATACTGCTCCTCACATCCATTCTTTGTGTATCATAACTCACCATCATGCTCAACAACATATGCTCATACTCCAACGACTGCCTTTTATCTTCTTCATCAATCTTGTCGGTTTCCCTTCTTATTATCTCTTCCTCAATTAAAATATCCTCTTGGCTGTTTTGATCCTCATACATACTTCTAGGTAAATCATCAATAAACCGTTCTAATATCTTAAAATTGGTTTGCTGTCTTTTAGGTGCTAACCTTATCTGCATTAATTCTTCAGGATCCCTAATGAATTCTTCTCCCATTCGAAAATTTGGTATCATTTGTAAAAATTTACCACTAATCTCTGGTTCCCATACTCTACTATTTTTCTTAATAAATCTATCTCCTTTACTAACTTGTAAATTGAGCGATTTAATCAAATATTGGAAATAATAACTTAATTTAGGTGCTTTCCCGTCGTTTGATGTAGATTCATACCCCAGTTGCGGTGTTTCAAAAAGTTTAAGTATTTTACTGGCGTTAATAATATCAACTGGATTAATGATGAACTCTTTGGGAAATTTCATCTTATGTGGAGTTAACCCAACAAAATGTTGTCTACTTTTCATTTCAATTAATTTTAATATAATTTTTTCAGTAATTGATTTAATCATTTCTTCTAATAAAATAACACTTTGAAAATTAATCACCGGTGATTGTTCTAAAGGAGTTGCATTCCCACATTCTTCGAAAATATTATTTTGATTATATATCTTACTCAAATCATTAGCATTATCAATCTTAATTAATCGATTTTTTTCAATTTCTTCTTTCCGATATTCTTTCATTGATTCTCGATTAAATTGGTTCAACTTAGATGATACGTAGTACTCTCTTTTATTAATATTACCAGCCTGAATCTCTTCCATCCTAATTAATGATTCACTTACCTCATACGCAATTGGTAATTCATTATATCTCAATAATTTCTTCATCCATTTAATTCTACGAAATTGTCGATAATTTTCACCCCCAATAGATATTTTAAATTGTCTTCTTTTACTCTTCTTCTTCATCCAATTTAATTCATTCTTTAATAAATTATAATAATTCATTATCTCTACTTGACTTTTCGTTTGAATTAAATTCTCTAACTCATCAATTCGGTGAATTGAATATCTAGCTAATCCGTTGAAAAATCGTTCCTTCTCTTCAACGTTCCAATTAGTACCCGAGATTTCTTGCTCAAATAGTTTAGTTGCTTCTTCATTCAGATATTCTCCTATAAAAGCCAGTTTGTATGTCATTCTATCGTATCCAACTTTACTTGCCACTAATCTTTTCCGAAATTTCGAAAAATAATTATTCGTAGTGAAAAATGATTCACATTCTCTATTGAAAAATGAAACATAATTTGGATTACCCTTATATGGGTTATTCCGCTTGTCTTTATTTTCAAGCTCTTGTGGTGTAAAATCTGGTAGGTTTTCAACTATTCCTTTTTTCACCGGCTTAATATGAGCTAATGGGGTTTTATCGATTTTAATAGATAAAGGGATTTCGATCTCTTGATAAAAGGAATGACTACTCGGAACTGTGGCTACTTTAGGTTGGAGATTCTTGATCAGTTCCAATGAGGGCTTGATTTCACGTTTTGATTTTTCTATCTCGTCAAGAGTATCAACAGGTATACCATTCGGTACCTGGACTAAATCAGCTTGACTACTTTGTGAATATTCCTCTTCTTCACTATCCACAATCTCTTCATCATCGTCTTCTTCTTCTTCATCATCATCTTTATATTCTTGTTCGCTATCGTCATCTTCATAATCAGGGATATACTTATCAAACATTTCATCTTCCTCATCACTGTATTGTTGCAATAAACGTGATTTTTCTAACTCGTGTTGTTTACGAAGAGATTCTTGTGCCCTTATTCTGGCTTGTCTTTTAGTTGTTATATTGCTTGGTGGGCTTTCAAAGTCTGTATTATTTTCATGTTCTTCATCTGTCATATTGTATGGAACATCATTATCTTGGGCTATACCTTCAGAATGCTCGGAATCGGTAGTATGTTTTGGTTGTATTTCTTGTGAGTAATTCTCTCCATCAGAGTGAATCGCTCCGCTTTCAGGAACTTCATACTCTGTTTTTATTCCATTCCCATTAGTGTATGGCTGTGAGTCAGGGACTTCTGTCCTATTAGTGATATCAGCGTCATGGGTATTGGATATTTGAGAAGAATCACGATCTGGAATCTCAGGAGAGAAACGTTGAATCTTTCTTGCGGGAAATTCTGAATCCTGGAGTGGATAATTACGCTTCATCGATCCAGCCAATGATTCGTTTATTCCATTCAGAGAGGTATCCGTTTCATTAGCCATTTGACTAGATGGTACTTGGGAAATTGCATCTTGAGTCGCTTCATTAATAGTGTCATGAGATGGAGGATTCAATTGAGATTCTTCCTCCTCTTTGACTTGGGTTTTGGAGGACTTAGATTTCTTTGATCGGTGTTTATGTTTACTCTTGTGCTTTCTCTTATGTTTTCCTGAGTTATCATCATCGTTCTTGTCTTTATGTCTATGTTTACGTTTTTTTTTCTTTTCTTTATCTTTACTTCTATGCTTTGATTTATGCTTTTTGGGTTCTTTGGGTGTTATATCGTTTATTGGTTCCAGTTTAACAACCGTGTCACCCTCGGGGACAACCACAGGGTATGATGGAGGGGAGGTAGTTTCAATGACATTATTCTCTGAATTCGTCGGTAGAGAAGAAATATCGTTTTGAGAATAATCTATTGCCAGGTGAAACTGAGAGATATCTGAATCATCTTCTGTTTTCACGTTGACAGACATAGTTTAGCTTTTTTTTGGATCAAATAGACATTCAGATCTTGATTGATGAATGCGTTTACAATGCAATTTTCGGAGTAGGTTCGAAATCAATTGGTATAATCACAATCCCAAGGAGGATAATAATAACTTTTATGTATTCTATAACTAAGATGTATAGCCTTTAAAGTAGATCTGATGTTTTTTGACTTCAATGAAAAAAAAAAAAAAAAAAAAAAAAAAAAAAAAAGATTTCTCTTAAAAAAAAAAAAAAAAAAAAAAAAAAAAAAAGGGGGGGGGGGGGGGGGGGGATGAAAATAGCAATGGATAAATTGATGGATGTGTAGATGCAGAAGGAGAAATGACAAATTATTGAATGGAGGTGTTTTTGATACCAGAGGTAAGATCCTTAGCATCGTCATTAGGATCATCTTCGAAATCAGTATCGACCCATTCACTATCTTCATCGTCGGGATTATGTTTCATGGATTTTTTTTTAGAATTTTTCTTTGAATTACCATTGGAGATATCTTCATCATTGATTGGATTATAAGGTTGTAAGATTTGAGGTAAAAAAGGTTTGGGGATATCTTCCCTTACGTCTTCATCATCATATATTATTTCTACGTATTCTTCAGGAACCAAACCATTTTCACCGGAGTTTGGATCTTCAGCAACCAACCAACCTTGACCATGTCTATATGATATCCAAATGATTTGACCTTCAGTTAATCCAACCTCATTATCATTTTCAGGAGGAAAGTCGAATAATGCAATTGCTTTTCGATTAATTTCATCATTTGAATAAAAATCGGTGTTATCATTAAAATCATCATTAGAATTATGGAAATAAGTAGGGTCATAAAAATCATTATCATGATAAGAATCATCATCATCATCAGTTAAATTATTGATATCAAAATCACCGACTCTCAAAGGATGAGAATCAGGATATCCAAAATCTTTAATACAAGTAGTTGAAGGAAATAAACTTTGAAAAGAAGACTTGACTTCATTTATTTCATTTCTTTCATTTATTTCATTTATTTCATTTATTTCATTTATTTCGTTCAGTTCATTCGGTTCATTCAGTTCATTCAGTTCATTCAGTTCATTCAGTTCATTCAGTTCATTCAGTTCATTCAGTTCATTCAGTTCATTCAATTCATTCAATTCATTTATTTCATTTATTTCATTCAGTTCGTTTATTTCATTCAGTTCATTCAGGGTATTCAGTTTCAGCTCATCATTTATCTCATCATTCCGTAATGATTTATCTATATGATTCGCTGAAGAGACTGGGTTGGGTTCTAATGATAATCCTGACATCTTGTTGACTAAACAACTGGTTCTTTTCTCTTCGATATCAACTTAATTGGTTTGAATTCTATATTTTTAATTTGGAAGTAATCAGCACCAGTGACGACCAGTAGAAGTACAAAATGGATCTCTCAGCACTAGTCGAAATATTCTTCCGAGTTATTGAAACACTTTCGATTTGTGAATAACCAGTAAGTTAATAACTAATAAGTTAATGACTAATAAGTTAATGACTAATAAGTTGATTTGTAAGTAAGTTAATTTGTCTCAATTGACTTAAAGCCAGCTAAAGGGAAGAGTCAAAAGGAATAAAAAAAAAAGACCGAAAAAAAAAAAAAAAAAAAACCAAAAAAAGACTAAAAAAAAACGATTCAAGTTTTGTTTTAAAAATAGTTAAAGAGACAAAAAAGTAACTCGTAAATGGACTTTTATCTGTTTCAATCCTTGAATTGAAGAATGTATATATATATATAATGAATCCAAAGGAAAAACAAAGTATTAACAGTTCACGTCCATTGAAAAAAAAAAAAATAAAAACTTACAGTCAGAGTAAGCTTTTTTCTACAAAACGGTCTTTGAGAGACGCAAATTTACAGTGGGTTCTTCTTACTTCACCACTGGGCGTTCTTACTTTTCCCAGGATGTCGTGGAAGAGTAACGCAAGAGTATGTATCGGTATAAGTAAGCCATATATATACATATATACATTATATGTAACCTGTCTTAAAAACCTTCAGTGAAGTCAAGTAAGGGGAATCGTTAATTTACTGGTCGTGTGAAGTAGGCTTGCACCAAACAATGATTACTGGTCACGTGTTATTGTCACGTGATGTTTTTTTTTTAAAAAAAGTTGTACGGAGGTTTTGCCTCGGTTCATTATGCCACAGAAGTAGAGAAGTATCGTTATTATTCTAATTCTCTTTACATATACATTTTGTTAAGGTTCACTTTTGGCAAGCAAGTCTCCATGGAGTCAAGAAATTACTTGAGGAAATAGATATTAATTAAGTATGTCCTGCGAAAGTTCATTGATTTTGCAGCAATAGCTTTAACTATACAGTCTATTGTAATACTACCTATATAGCAAGGTCTTGAACCAGCAGACCCTTGTGATTTTATATACTATCGATAATCTTGAATATCGCAACTGGTTAACTTACGGTAGTATCCATTAGTGGTTAGCTGAACGGTGGATGTACGGAGGTGAAACGGGATGTACGGAGTTTTCTGCTGGGGATAAATTTTTCAAATCATCTTTACTACTCCATCAGTTTAGTCAAGTATTCCTCCCAAAGAATGGATCCACACGAAGAACAACAACAGGAACTAGAAGTGTTACAGTCGATTTACCCCGACGAACTCACGCTAGTGTCACCAACAAATTACAGTATCAAAATTGCTCTTGATACTCAATCAGATCGTAAGCATGCATTATCATTAAATGTTAAATATCCAGAAACTTATCCAGAAGTAGTACCTATACTTGAAATTACAATCGAAGAAGATGAAGTGGTGGTAGAAGATGAAGATGAAGACGGCGAAGATCCAAATAAAGCCATCCATTTATCTGAAAGCATCGAATTTTCTAAAGAAGATTTAAAATTTTTATTAAATAAATTAAATGAAGAAGCAGAATTACAAATTGGAATGCCATCGGTATTTGCTTTAGCAACTCAATTAAAAGATGAATCAGAAATTTTATTTCAAAAAAAATTAGATAAAGCACAAAAAGATTATGATGATAAATTATTAGCAAAAGAAAGACAAGAACAAAATAAATTTATCGGTACGGAAGTTACCAAGGAATCATGGCTTAAGTGGAGAAATGATTTTAGAAATGAATTACAGATTGAATTAAAAGATAAAGAACGTCAAGATAAAATACATAATGGTAAATTAACTGGTCGAGAGATATTCGAAAGAGGTTTAGCTGGTGATGATGATTTATTAGACATCACTGATAATTTAAAACAAGTTACTGTTTAATTAGTTGTCTAGTTCTCCAATCCATTCCCATACTTTCATTACTTCTCCAAAATGTTCAATTGTTTCACTTTTAACATTAGTATTAAGTTCTATTTTACTAATAATTTTTTTCCATATTTCTAGCTTGTTTTTTAAATTACTCTCATTTGATAATATTAAATCTCTTAATTGAATTGAACTAATATATCCCGGAAGTTCAGTCGATGATTTTGATAACTTTCTTTGTTTTTGTAATTTTTTCAATGTTTCTCTATATAAAGTTTCAATTTTTTCCTTCTTCAATTGATATCTTTCATACTTGGTTTTAATTGAAAAAATTATTATATTTATTAAAATCAATCCAATGAAAATCTCTTTATATTCAATCATTGATCCAATTATGGTATTTGAAAATCGACATTGGAGACTGATGTGTGATAAGGACGTTGATCGAAGAATTTTGTTTTCACCTTCTTCTTCATTTCTCGTGTGGTTAGTGTTATTGGTGGTTTGTATGTTATTAATTGTGTATCCCGTCTAAATACTTCAGTTAGTATATTGTATAAAAATAAAATTAATTTCTCATTACGATCCATTAATTTTCTTAAAAAAATTTTCAAGTAACTTGCCTTACAATTATTTCTGGTTCTTTTTCTAACTCAATCAACGATCTTTGCCATAATTCTTCAAATTCCTCAGTAGTGATATATGGGGCCTTCATTGATAATAATAAATCATGTAATTCATTAACTTCAAGTCCTGCCTCCAAATCACTTGCTAAACTTCTACCACAATTTTTATCAGCGTTTTTAGATCTCAAAAAATCTAATGCAACATCAATCATAATCTCTATTTTTTCTGCCTTTTTAGTATCTGGTATACAGATTTTGGTTGTTCTATTCAAAATTGGTAAGTAATCAAAATACCACGGTTTATGTTCGACAAAATCTTCATAACATCCAATTTGTAAATTTTCAAAACATCTGGCATGTGCTGGACATTTAATACATTTGGGTTTGAAATTTTCATCTAAATAATTCCCGATTTGTAATAAAATAGGTGATGTATCAATCGTTTGGGGAATAGTTGGCTGGGTAATCTCATGTCCACAATAACCAACTAAATATTGTTGTTCACGGTACCAGTAACCAAACAAACCTATAGAAATTAAAGAAACCCATAAAATTAAATAAGTAATGGTTCTGAAAATCAACTTGAAAGGTAAATTCTCGATAGATTTGACTTTATTTTTCACTTGATTTCGCTTAGTATTTTCCTCATCATCGGATTCCGTTTCAACTTCTTCATCATCAGACTCAATGGGTTGGATTATTGGTTTTCTGGTAATAGTTCCTCTTGGTTTAGGAGTTAAGCTTTTGTATTTAGGAGAGTACCCTTTAATTGTGATACCCAATTGATCTGCCAAGTCTTGATTGATTTGACGACGAGTCTTAGGGGTGGCCTTTGAGGAAGAAGGGGTGGACTGGGGAGTTCTTTTTCTTAAGTTTCTTGTTTTGGGAGTTGTTGAGGCTGATTTGATTTTGTTCAAATTCGAATCAAAATCTTTGGCTTCATCTTCTAACGACGTTTCTTTTGGAAGCTCGTCTTCTAATGATTTCGGAGGCTCAACTTCTGGGGTTATTATTTTCCTTCTTGGTATGTGGACTTCTTCAGATGCTGGAGACCTTACTGATTTCGTTGAGGAGTTAGAGGCAGGGGATTTCACAGAATCAGCTTTAGCAGAGGTAGACTTCACCGACGTATTAGGTTTAGCAGGTGTGGATGTCACAGATTTGTCGGTTTTAACAGGGGTAGACTTAGTTGAATTATCTGATTCTTTTACAACGATAGGGGTATCTGATTTAGCATTATTGACGCGAGATTTTTTAGAATCTTTGAATAAGTCATCATCCGAGTCCGATTCGACACCAAAGATATTACCCTTTTGTTTTTTATGGGAATCCTTTTCAGTTGCTTCTTCATGGTTTCTTTTTTTTGAAGATGGGCTTTTTTTTTGGAAAACATTATCATTACTGAAGGGAGATTCTTCAGTTATATCCACGACTTCCAATTCTTCAATTGGAGTTGATGATTTTCTTGTTTTTCTTTTTGATTTTGATACTTTCCTTTTTTCATCTGATACTTTGGTTATTTCAGTTGACAGTTTTTTAGACAAGTTTGATGATTTTGCAACATCAACAAATCCAGAATTATTAAAATTACCAACTGAAGCTCGATAATTTTTAAGTAATTGAGCAGCTTTTGGTTTTAATTGATCATCGAAAAGTTTAATTAAATCATTTTTTTTAGCGTTTGATGGGAAACTAATTTGATATTCATTTAAAATACCTCTAAGTTGAGATACCTTCAATGATTTAGGATCAAATCCTTCTTCAAGGTATTCCTTATTATCCATTTTGGTTACTGGAAGAGAAAGAAGATGTTGTTTATTTTTTAAAGTCTTCGCCAGTTTGCTTTGTTTATATTTTGATTTACTGGGTGTATGGGTTTTTTCCTGTAATTTGCAATAAGAAAAACCATAATATAAAAACATATACAACTACTTAAATCTAAATACTCTCTTGAAGATAAGAATACTTCTTGTAAATATAATCCAAGTTACAAGAAGGTTTGTTAGTTTCATTTTTATTGACAAAATTATTCTTAAATTGTAAAACAACGGGTAAGCTTTTAATCAATTCAATTTTAGTTAAATCATAATTAACTAGAGGTTCATTGATGGTAATTTTAATTTGAATCTTGCTAGTTAAACAATTATAATTAGTTTTTGATAATAAATGAATTAAAATCATTAATTTAGCATTGATATCACAGGACTTAACCGATTTGATCGTAATTTGCAAACTTTGTAAATCTGGTAATTGGATTTTTTTAATCAAGGTATATAAATGAAACAAATCATCATTTGTATCACCCATGATAACCAATTTTAAATGGGACACATCTAAGCGATTCAAATAATCAACAAAACGGTTGAAATAATTCCCTGGTTTGATGTATAGTTTCAAACTAGTGATATCAGGACAATACTCAAAAACTTGTATCAAATCGTTTGTCGAGATAAAGTTACTAATAGTCAACCGGGTTAACTGCAAATCGTACGAGTTGATCAAATGAGTCACATCGAGCTTAGAGTCAACATACAAACTGAATATTTGTTCATTGGTAGGGAAAAGATTCGAACTAATCAAATTTTTAGTCTTTAATTCAAAGCTAACCTTCTTAGAATAGTAAAAATCATTCAAGTCGCAAGACTGAACAAAATTAACCAAAGCTTCGTCAACTTCAATACAGCCAAGTTTTATACAGTTGATATAAGGAATCATCAGGTACATGAACGAGCCAGCTGGCATTTTCAAGTGAATCTTCCCTGGTTTTTGAATCGTTTGCACATTGGAATCTTCAAAACTAATCATCAAGTATTTTTGTTTGAAATAATCATCAACCAAACTTTGACAGTCACGACTAACAAGCTTAATATCGACTAGATCTCTCACATCCAACTTGACAAAGATCAAATCGATAATTTCATCTGGAAACTTATGAAACATTTTTTTCAATTTTTTTTTTTAAAAATTTTATGGTTTTTAACGGAGTACGGACGGAATATGGGAATGGAACAAAATAAGAATAATAATGTCAATAATTAATGAAACTAACAGAGATTTTATTATCAAATAAGGTGAACAGGGTCATAGGAACTTGATGAGGTTATGGTTAGTTGAAAAGAGAAGAAGTAGAAAAGAAGAAGAAACAGAAGAAGAAGTAATGAAAAAAGGAAATTCCTGAGCATAGATAAGCAATAGCCATCTAATCAATACAAAGCAATACAAGTCAATACAAGCAAATACACCGGTAGATAAACGTGCAAGGAGGTATCAACATATTTCAATACTTATTCTTACATGTCAATACCCCTACCAGCATCGATATCTCTACCAATACCAAGACTCCAGTACAAGTAGTACCCCTAATCCTCCTTATATAAGAAAACTCGGGAAGTGCAGGTTATTAACCTGCAAACAGGTGGCACCAATAAAACAAAGGCCCGTGCCTTCGGATTGAAATTCCAGAACAACTGAAAAAAAGAGCAAATGCTAAGGGTTAATGACGGGGGGGTCCTTCTTTTCTTTTAAAATCCAACTTATTTAATTGTATTGCTATCTATCTGTCTTGTGTTACGTATTATAGGTATGTTATTGTCGTGAAGAATCTTTCCAATTGGTGGTGGTGGGCGATGGGCTGGTGAACCAGCGATGATCTGGTATGCTGACTGTTTATGCGATGGTCTATTGTATGGGGTATGGCAACTGCTATAAGGTAAGTTATTCTGTACGGGGGACATGGTCTACTATCGCCCTGTGCTGTGGGTGCTCTATGTGCTGTGCTGTATGTGCTTTTCTGTATGTGCTCTATGGTGGGTGCTGTATGGTTTGCTTTTGGTTTGCTGGGGGTGTTGTACGTGATGTGCTGTATTGGCCCTATGGGTCGTGGTACACTTTAGCATAACATTTATTCGATCGTTTATTCGCTAATTTAGTCGCTCCATCCCGTTGTCTACTCCGCCAGCTCTACTCTGGTCCCAGATTGTCGAAGTCATGTTCGGTTATTGAACCTCATTGAGCTTTTTTCGTCCTCGCTTTTTTTGTTTGTTCGTTGAGCTCGTGTGCTTCTTAACATTCTGTTACTTCCAATTACTTATATTAATTATTCAGCTATTTATTCATATACTAACTTTTATTAGGAAACTATATCACTCTTTATGTCTAAAAACAAACTATCTTCGCGAAGTAATCATGCCGTCTCTTTAACTAGCGGTTCAACTGGAACATCCTTATCCAAATTATTCTTTCTTTTCAGTTTCTTACCCAAAATTGTTCATGCTTTACCAATTTTCAATCGAGGCCAACATGATTCTTTAGATCATAACGATATTTTTGAATCCCAAAATATGAGTCCTGAACAGTTTTATGTTAACTTATTTACTTCAATTTTTCTTGTTCTTGCTGGTGGGGTTTTCGCTGGTTTAACTTTAGGTTTAATGGGTCAAGATGAAGTTTATTTAAAAGTTATTGCTCATAGTGGTGAAGAAAGTGAACGTTTATATGCTCGCAAAGTTTTAAAATTAATTGGTCGTGGTAAGCATTGGGTTTTGGTTACTCTTTTATTATCAAATGTAATCACTAATGAAACCTTACCAATTGTTTTGGATCGTTGTCTTGGTGGTGGTTGGCCTGCAGTTGTTACTTCGACTGCTTCAATTGTTATCTTTGGTGAAATTATTCCTCAATCAATTTGTGTTAGATATGGTTTACAAGCCGGAGCTCTTTTTTCTCCATTTGTTTTGGTTTTGATGTATATCATGTACCCAATTGCTTACCCTTGTGCTTTATTATTAGATCATATTTTAGGTGAAGATCATGGTACTGTTTATAAAAAATCTGGTTTAAAAACATTGGTTACTTTACATAAAACTATGGGGGTTGAACGTTTAAATCAAGATGAAGTTACTATTATTAGTGCAGTTTTGGATTTAAAAGAAAAACCAGTTAGTAATATTATGACTCCAATTGACCGGGTTTATACTATGAGTGCTGATGCCATTTTGGATGAAAAAACTGTGGAGGAAATTTTTAACGCGGGATTTTCTCGTATTCCAATTCATTTACCAAATGAACCAATGAATTTCATTGGTATGTTATTAGTTCGTGTTTTGATTAGTTATGATCCTGAAGATGCTTTACCAGTAGCTTCGTTCCCATTGGCTACATTACCAGAAACAAGTGCTGATACTTCATGTCTTAATATTTTGAATTATTTCCAAGAAGGTAAATCCCATATGATTGTTGTTAGTGAATACCCAGGTGAACCAACTGGTGCTATGGGGGTTTTAACTTTGGAAGACGTTATCGAAGAATTAATTGGTGAAGAAATTGTTGATGAATCAGATGTTTATGTTGATATTAATAAAAATATTAAACGTAAACAACCGGGTCCATTATCTAAACGTAATTTGACTTCTTATTTACACAATTTATATCAAAGATCAGCCACCAGCTCCAAGAGAAATTCTTTGGATTCTGGTAGTGGTGCCTTGACTCCTTTAAGGGATTCCTTTGTTAATCCCGTTTCGGGTAATACTTTGAAGGATGATTTAGTACCTTCAAGTCCTAAAACTAATAATAATGATATAATAGCTACTCCAAATCGTCTTAAATCTCCGGCCATTGGTAATGGGGTTGGTGCTGCAGTTACTTCTCCTTTAATGGGCGCAGTTGATACTACTAAAAGTTGGAAGCCTAAAAACCCTGCTTCAAATCCTTTGGAAACTAACAAAAAATATGTCACCATCAAAAGACCAAATATCGATTCGGTGAAAAACTCAGTATTGCCAGGACCAAATCGTCAAGCTCCTGGTAAGGCTAAAACTTATGGCGCCATTCATGCAACTGAAGAAGGTGCTATAATGGAAGCCAAGAGACGAAATTCATCCGATGAACGAGATGCGTCTGATCATGAGCAAGAACAAGAAGTTGAACCAAGTCCGAATGGTCGGTTAAGTAAAGATTATAGCAAAGAGAATCATCGTTTCCTTCTACCAGAAGAACGTGAAACCGATGTTTCTGAAATCAACGGTAAAAAGAAGGCCAAAAAGGAAAATGGAACCAACCAAAGGCCTAAAAATGGGGATTATCCACCAAGAACCCAATCTCCCAAAAACATCCCCCAAAACGAATCACAAGAATATCAAGAATCTAGATCCTATAGAACCGGTGGTATTGTTGAATCGGTTGTCAACGTTCAAGGGGTCCATAAAACCATTATCGAACACATCTCTGATGGCGAAGACGACGATAGCTACAGTAACTACAGTCGATCGTCCAGAAGACCCAAGAGCGGACAACAATTTGATATTGGCACCGAAGACGATACCGAGGAAGGCCAAGGATTACTCTCTGGCTACAGGAAAAAGGGCACTCCTTCCACCAAGAGCAACGGATCCGACGAGAGTAAGAGCAAGTTCAGTGTTTGGAAGTAGTAACTTTTATCATTTGTGTATTTTTAAATAATCAAAAAAAAATTCAATCTCTATGTCTATATGTCTGAGTTTTTTCGGAATTTGTTCCTAAATTCCGCTCGTTGTATGACCGAAAAGCCCGATGTTAAGCAATGTAAGACCAGATATCATTGTCATTAACTCTAAAACAGTATCTTTTTGTCTGTAGTTAGGGTTAGCGAAGATGGCCCATTCTAATGCTAAACCCTAGACTTCCGTCCAGGTACTCCGTCTACACTAAAACTATATAATTACAAGTGATTTGCTATCAGCACCAGCTACGCAAGCCCGTCACCACCAAGACCGAATCGAAACCCCCATAACAAGCAGCCAATATCCCAGTCCCATCACCCACAGGAACCAACCAGTTGATCCTTCAGGAACCTATGAAAAGTTAATTAAAGTACACGGCAATAAAAAAGCAAAAACCAAAAAAAAAAAAAAAAAAAAAAAAAAAATGAGTGAGTGAACGATTTTCGGTAGCATTTTGTTTTGGAAACAACAGTCTTTTTCCCTTTACAAGAAGTCAAATTCGTTTCACTAAGTATACAAAAACCACTTATTGCAGAATATAATACAACAGATTGATCGTCTAATTGAAAGGATTGATTTTTGTTGTCATTGATGATCTCGGACCTTTAAATAAAGCAAGAAACCCGTCCTCTCTACCCCTACCCCTGTTAGATTTTTCAACGGTGCCAATTGGGATCTGTTAGTACAATGAGTGACTCTTTTGATAATCGAAACGGTTCACGTCCTTCGTTGAGGAGTTTTTTCTCTAGTTCCAGCAGTGGTACAGTGAATCAAGAACAGCCATCCAAGACATCCACCCCGACAAAAGAACATGCTTCGACTGCAATGGTACGTGATGGTAGTAGTGCTAATCATGATGGTGAAGATAGACATTTGGGAAGTGGGAACAACTCGCCATCGGCTTCTAATTCGTCGTCTCATCGATTTTTCTTGAGGAAGAAAAATTCTAGAAGTTCATTATCACCACAAACAAGTTCTACCTCGTTAACTTCGTTATTGAAGAAAAATAAGAATCATAGCTATGAGCAAATCAATCGTAATCGTCGAACATCGTCTGCATCTGTTTTGCATCATCCGGCGGGTCCTCCCGACAATAATAGTAGTACATCGATTCACGAACATAATGAACCCACAACCCCTAATGAAGATCATGAAATAAATAATAAGAAAACCAAACATACCAATCATCATCATCATCATTTATCTTTGAAGAGATTTTTGAAAAAACTAAAGCATCACGAAAATGAAAAATCGGAGTCAAGTCCTAAAAATATGTTACCCCAACATTCGTCTTCAGATTTATATAAAAAATATGGTGGATTAGGTAAATTAATTGGTAGTGGAGCTAGTGGATCAGTCAATTTGGTTACTTCGAAAACTGATCCAAATGAAATTTTTGCAGTTAAAAAATTTAGGCCAAAATTACCAAATGAAAGTGAGCATGATTATAAAGTTAAAGTTAAAAATGAATTTAAAATCGGACAATATTTGAATCATGAAAATTTAATTCATACTATAGAGTTAATTAAAGAAAATGGTTCGAAACTTTTGTCTGATTCAGAATATTATATAATTATGGAATATTGTCCATTTGATTTTTTCAATTTAGTAATGTCGGGTTTAATGAGTCAAGAAGAGGTTTGTTGTTATTTTAAACAAATTACCAATGGGGTAGCCCATTTACATGAAAATGGAATTGCTCATCGAGATTTAAAATTAGATAATTGTGTTGTTAATCAAGAAGGAATATTGAAATTAATTGATTTTGGTTCAGCAGTTCAATTTAGAAAAGAAAAAACTCCAAATAAACCAGTGGCTGAAGAAGATGATATAAATGAAAATTATAGACTACTTCGGGCAAGAGGGGTTGTTGGATCGGATCCCTATTTATCTCCGGAAGTTTTTGAACCAAGTAACTTTGGTTATGATCCAAGAACCGCTGATATTTGGTCAATTGCAGTTATATTTTGTTGTATGATTTTGAAAAGATTTCCTTGGAAAATCCCAAAAGCAAGTGATCCGTCTTATAGATCTTTTGCTAATATTGATGAAAACAATAATAAATTAAGTGAACAAATGAATGAAAATTTTGATAATTTAAAAATCTCAAATAATAAACATCCTAAAGGTCCTGATCGCTTATTACGTCTTTTACCAACTGAATCAAGAAATTTAATTAAAAATATGTTGGAAATTGATCCTAAAAAGCGTAATTTAATTGATGACGTTTTAAATAATTTGTTTTTCCAATCTATTGAATATTGTCATGTCATTACCAAAACACAAGATGAAAAAGAAGTTAAAACAACTCAAAAATCATCTGGTCACTCCCACCATTTAGTTACCGAAGAAGATTTGAAAAAAATTACCATGGAAAAGGAACGAGCTAAAAAATTAAAGGATAGCGGTGTTGCTTGACCAATAACTTTTGCATTTTTACTTTCTTTACTGTATAAATTATCATGTATTTATTTATTTATTCTAGACCCAATAAACATTGCTTCTACAAGTAACTCACTCTACCGGTTCATCTAATCAACTGCAAAAGTTTATTTGCAACTCGTTCTTTGGTAATATATGCAGGTGTTTTCCCCATCAGTAGGTTTTTTTTTCCCGTGACATTAATTTTTAAAAAGATCAAAAGATAAGTTAGCGACTTCTAGTTATTACCTCCCGACAGCTCTCCATACAATAGCATCCCTTGTATCCAAGTCAGATCCCGCTCATTGACTCTTTGTATTTCCAGGACTGTGTCTTTTGCTTTTTTTTTTTTGTTTCACTGGTTTTTTGGTTCTTGTTTTCTTTATTTCAATTCTTTTGTGGTTAATTTTTCAATTCTTCATAGTCAATTTTCATCAAGGCTTTATTATAAAACCCCTTAAATTTGGTCAATTTTTTGACATTGTCTCAATTATATGGATTGCTTTAACTGTGGATTGATTTAAGCATGACTGATACTTGGACTCTTCCTCGTTGGATTACGGTGCTTTCTGGGTACTCAGCATTCATATCTACGTTTATAATTGTTGGAAGTATATTGCTTCATCTTAGAAATTATAGAAAGCCTTTCCAGCAAAGGCTAATGATAAGGATTCAATTGATTGTGCCGATCTTTGCGTTATCGTGTTTCTCAATGTTGACTAACCCAGACGCTTTTATTAATAAGTTTGTATTTGAGCCAATTAGAGAAATCTATGAAGCTTTTGTCATTTACACTTTCTTTTCTCTCTTAACGGATATGTTGGGGGGTGAAAGAAATATCATTATAACCACTAGTGGTCGAGAACCAATACCTCATCCCGGGGGGATGCATTATATATTTTCTGATATTGATATTTCAGATCCTTTTATGTTCCTAATGATTAAGAGAGGTATTTTACAATATGTCTGGCTAAAACCCGCCATTTGTTTTGGAACTCTTTTCACAGAAGTGATTGGTTGGTATGATGTTAATGATGTAAGCTTGGATAGCCCTTACGTTTGGCTAACAATCATTTATAATATTAGTGTCACTGTTTCACTCTATTGTTTGGCCATTTTTTGGAAAGTCTTATGGACCGATTTGAAACCTTTTAAACCAGTTGGTAAATTCCTATGTGTTAAACTAATCATTTTTGCTTCCTTTTGGCAGGGGGTTTTATTGGCTATTCTAAATTTTCTAAATTTATTACCGGGAGCTTCTCAAGAAGAAGGTGGTGCTCCAAACATTGGTATTTCAATTCAAAATGCTTTATTATGTATTGAATTAATTGCATTTTCAATTGGTCATTGGTTTTCCTTTTCTTATAAACCTTTTACCATTTCTCAATTACCAACTGGAAGAATCGAATTTTTTTATGCTTTAAAAGATATGTTTGGGATTAAAGACTTAATTAATGATTTCAAACTAACTTTCCATGGTGATTATTATAAAAATTATAAACAATTTGACTCAGTTGAAGCAGTTGTTGCTCATCCAGACTCAAAGGGTAGAATGAGTCGTATAAATCAAGGTTTAAGATATCATAGTGATGGGAAACATAAGCATTGGTTACCAAGTACCTCTCAACACCAACCATCCACTATCATACGAAGCACTTCAGAAATAGTTTCTGTACCACTGAATTCAAATTTCTCTCCCTCCATTTACTCTCCCTCCATAAAATCAGTCGGAACTTCCGTAAGAGGTATCCATTCACTATCACCAAATCCTTCTCCCCCAGGCTCACCAGAGCCTGGCTTGGAACCGTCAATCACTGAAATTTTGACTAAAGCAACAGGTGAAAACTATGATTATGAAGGCTTAGATGAAGACGAAGCATACTATCAAGCAGCCTCTTCAGTGATTAATAATTATAACCTTGATCAAATCGAAGTCAAAAGATTACTTAATTATCCAATTGTTGATGAAATGGTAGATGGTCATGTATTTGGTTATAAAGTAAAAAAATTAAGAGCTGATAGAATGAAAAATAACATGAATCAACCAATAGTAAAGCATTCTACTTATGAAAGTAATCGTTACGGAAGTATTGTTTAGTCTTAACGAATGTATGAAATAAGATTGTTTTTTTTTTTTATGTACAAGTAAAGTATATATATATATATGTAGTCATTATTGAGAAATCTTATCATTACTCTTCAATTTTAAACAGATACAAAGAGTCAATATCGGTTTCATTAGTTGTTTTTTGTTTTCTCTTTTCTTCGGCTTCTTTTTGCTTTAATATTTTTCTTTGTTTCTTTAATTCTTTGGCAGATAATTGCTGCTCTTCTTGTTCTTTTTTATTACTAATTCTATTGGGTTTAACCTCACATCTGATTACTACTCTTGATTCTAAATCACCATTTATTTCAAAAGTAGCATCACATTCTTCTAAAATAGTTTTCATATTGTCAACAACTAGTTGACGTCTTCTCATTTCAATTTCAAAACGGTCTTCTTCTAGTGTAAGTGGATCGAAATTTTGTTCTTCAAATTCTTCGTCTTTACTTATGTTATTAATTAAACCATCACCTTTATCTACTGATTTTTTGGCAGAGCTTAATGTACGTTTATCACCAATATAGATTAAAAAATTCTCACCTTTATCGAGTTTTTTATTTATCTCGGTTCTCTTTTGATTATTCAAATCACCTATGCTGATATTCCAAGCAAAAGTCATGATTTTAGTGGCTGACTTTTTCTGTTTTGCTCTTTCCCTTTGTTGTATTGCGTACTGGACTTTAACACTTCCCTTTTCTAATAACTCTCGTTCCTTTTCGATAGCAAGTTTTTCACTAAACAGTTTCAACATGTCCTTGCTACTGGTCATTTTGATAAGTGGGAAGCCTTTGGAAATCACAACTTGTATACCATGATCCTTGAAGTCAGTACTATTGATAATATCAGCCAAATGTTTACGTTCGAGTTTGTTTGATTCCGGATCAACAAAGTTCACCCTGTATTGAGGACTACTTTCATAAACCTCAGCAATTATACTCTTCACGGCTAATTGAGCTTGTTCAGAACCTGAAAATTTAAATCTCAAAACCTTCCTCTGCGGTCTTGAAGTATTATAGTCTGATCTTGTCCTTCTTTCAAGTCTTTCTGGATTGGGCTTACGTTCTCCACGATTGAACTTGTTTGCAAAACGGTTAAATTCTGAGGGCTTTGAGTGTTCTGTACGTTTTGAAGATAAATTCCAATCATTTCTTAAAAGACTATCAATATCCAACTGGCCTCTCTTGCTTTCACTATGATCGAAAGGCCTTGCACAGAATGAGCAGCTGGAAAAGTTTCTTGCCCGGAGCATGTGTGATATGGTCAGTTTTGGTCTCAACATTCTCATGACCCTTCTCGTGTTCAAGTATTAGCTAGCAAAAGAAGGTGAAACTTATCTTCTGTCAAAACAGATGGGCCTTTGGAAAAAAAAAAAAAAAAAAAAAAAATTCAAACAAAAAAGATAGTGAGAGTAGCTATATATCGGATATTTGAAATATCTAAAGACTACTTCTCACAATGACATTCGGTAAGATTGAGCTACTGAGTCAATGGTGTCTACTGAAGTGAGGACACTCTTATTGAACCCAGTTAGGGCCAAGCTGACAAATTTCCTTTAAAGTAAGCTCATTGGTTCTTTTGCAGTCATTTTTGTCCTTCCTCTGCTTGTATAATTATATTAAATGAAACCTTAACGAATTTTATTGGTACTAGATAAAAGGGGAATTGAATATATGCATTATTAAGTATACAGTAATTAAATAAATAAATAAATAAGTCTATAAGATTTTCTGCTGAGTCTTACCATTTTGCGCCTAACAATATAGCATTAGGATCGGTTGGTTGCTCAACTTCATTAAACCAGGTTTTCAAAAGTCTCTCTTGATTTATTCCGAAGGTCTTACAGAATTCTTGACACCAAGCCGCTAATTCGGGAACCACATGAGCGTTATCAAAAGACGTAATATCAAATAAGTTGATATCATTATAATTGATTAAGGCTTGGTTTAACCATTCTTTTTCATTGAAATCTTTAGGTGGAGCAATCTGGCCACCCCCATTGATGCACCCATTTGGACAAGCCATGATTTCAACATAGTCACATTTTGAAGCGTCAGCAGATTCTTCTGAAGCTGTATTGGATTTACCAGACATTCTAGCACGACGACGAGCAACTAGTGGATTGGTTTTGGTTGTGGATTTAGCAACCGGTGAAGGCTTGAGTTTTCTTACCAAATTTTGAATATTCTTGAATCCATTTACAATTGCAGTACTTGCCACTCTTGTTTGATTGTATAATAATCTTAATTCGTAAATGTCAGAATTCTTACCATTAATGGTATCAATACTGAAATTTTCTAATTGATAGGTATTTGGATCTTTAAGACATAAATCATTTTGAACCATTTTCAAGTAATTGAAGCCATAACCTCCAGAAGCAGAACCAGAATCATTTGACCATGAAGATGTGACAAATGGCCAACTTGGTGGAGCACATTTAGAATATAAATCAGTACAGTTCAGATTAACAATTTTTTCAGTGTTTTCAGGAATTAATTGAAAATCAGACTTGTGCTCTTCTAATAAGGTAACCAACTCTTTTGGAGTTAAAACACAATCCACATCAACACTTGGGGTCTCTTCATTGTGTTCGGGTCTGGCACTTTCTAATTTTTTATCAAAGCATGGCATGATCGATAAGTGATATATCTTGTCCTTTGGTATTTGCAAATCATTGGCAGTTAAGGTTTTCAACAAACAACCAGTTATTTGCTGAGGCGATTTAACATTTGAAATACGAGGTAAAATGTAAGGATGCGTCTTTTCAGCATATAACACCCAACCAGGACAAATGGAGGATAAAACGGGGCCTTCTTCGTGGTTTTCATGTTTACGCTGAATGATATTCTGGGCTTCATATATGAGAGATAATTTTCTTCCCAAGGAAGTACCCACAATATAAGTAAATCCCATTTGATTAATGAATAGGTTGATTAGTAAACGATCGATATCTTCTATCGAGATATTATAAGCCGTTGCCAAAGAAGCCCGTGCCTGATGTGAAATACTTGCAACAAACACTTTATCAGTGTTGTTATTAACTTTATCTCTAATTGCCTTTATCAATTCATCATGAGAATGTTGTGCCACCAAAATTTCTTCAGCAGAAGTAATGCAACCAGAGCAGGCCAAACAGTCTGCAAGCGAGATTTGAGCAGGTGATAATGAGTTCACCTTCCCGTCGATTTTAGATATTTCTAGTGGATTCCCCTTATCGTCGATTTGGATTTCAACTTCACCATTTTCGTTATCTTGATTATTTGATTCGTTCAAATTGGTCACCGGTTTGATACAAGCAGCACCCGGGGATATGAAATCGTTGAGATCATCTGCCGATAGTATAGCACTCATAATCTATGTGTATAATAAGAAGCAAAGAAGAGGTCTGACTTGAATATCTGCTTAGTCATTTTATAATCGTTATATTTGCGAGATGAATCTTTTCTTTTTTTTTTTTTTTTCTGTTTGTTAGTGCAATTGATACAACCAATGAGACTACTTACTAAACTAATCATACCTGATTACATAGAAATGTTTAAGAGACATATGTGAATAGAGGAAGTATGTAAACTGAAGGAATAAGTAGATAGAAAGGTTATATTCGGTGTAATGTTATATATAAGTACATAAGAATAGGAGCGGCTGCAAATTATGGAGTTCTTTCTTCATGATCACTAAGGTCACTCAACTCGAATTCTTGAGCTTCGTTTGAACTGACCTGGTGATATGACTGTTGGGATAATTCTCCGTTTTCATTGTATCCCACCAATCTTAAGTAGAAGCTTAATAAGATGATCATCCATAAGTAAATCATGAAGCCAGCACCGACAACAACCATGATATAAGCAGAATGATCAGCACCTAAATCTTTGACCAAGATTAATTGTTCTTCGTTTGCCGACATGAATAAGATTCCTGATAAAACAAGACACAATGGAGGTAAATGTTGGAAAGAAAGGATTTTACCAGAGGTCGAACTAGCCAAATCTTGTAATACGATTGAAATTTCAATAATACGAGTAACACCAGCACCCATTAGTACGATACCAAATAAAGCATGAACTTTGGTGGAGATTTCAAGATGCTGGGCGTGCTGAGACATGGCATAACCAGTGAAAATAAGAAGAAAAGCAGGAATGAACGAACGAACGTTATTCTTACGAGTTAACCACATTCCCAAGAGACCTCCGCACCACCAAATGATCCCCATTGCAGTGTGTTGGTAATCTCCATGGGACCAGCCTTCACGGCCCCAGCGATGTTCGGTGAAAGTGTTTACGATCCCCCATAAGCACATGATGCTTGAGTCGTAAAACTCCTGGGATCTGCTACTTGGATTATGTAAATGGTGATTTCTAATCCAGGGAACAACCAAAACCAAGGCCAAAATAAACCCGTAGAATATAAATGAAGATCCCATTATACCATGTGCAATACACTGACCAGTGTGTTTGCCGTAGCAGAAACCAAACAAAGCAATTGGAGCCAAACAAACTCTAACCCAACCGGTTAAAACCGTCAAGATAGAGCATACTTTATATATTTTATAAGATACCCCGTATTCACCTCTTGATTGTAAATGGGGGTAAAACTTGTTGATTATAGCATTGGACCCATTGATAAAACTGCCCACGAAAACTGTCAATCCCAAAAGTAAACTAAGAAACCAACTAGTTCCTTTGGAAGTTCTATTTTCATGATTATCCGAATCAGGGAAATCAAGAAATAATGATTCAAATACTGAATATCCAGTGCTAACAAATTGCAAGACTAACGATACGTGAACACGATTGGCCATAGCCAAACACGCTGAAATCGATGAAAGCACTAATAAAACGGCTGCACTAACAACCATATGGAAACTTTTGGACCCAGCATTCACCGGGTGAAACTCCACGGGTTCCCCCATGTCCATGTTCATATCATCGGCAGAAACCAAAGCAATCACAGCTACCAACGCCAATACCAACCAACCTCGACTCATCATGGTATCTATAGTATAGTATAATAAGAGTAGTTAGTGTGACAGTTTATACGCGCACTAAAATAGAAATAGGATTTTTTCAACAGAATACCGTGGCAGAGTTTTGTTTTTTTTTTTTTAACAGGGACACTTTTGATTCTTCACCAGTAGATACTCTTTATAACGGACTGGTTCCTTCAGTGATCACTTACGTACTCTTTAACATTCTGGTAAGTGGCCTTTGTTCTTTAGCACTTTAGTGGCCTTTGTTCTTAGTGACAAGGGAGTTGAAAACGAGACAAGAAGGTGGAATTAGTACCAGTTATTTGTTGGTTAGACCAAAAAGCATATCAATAGACGGTTAATAATGCTTTTTTCAATTACAAAATTAGCGATTCTAGTTCAGTTTTTATCAAGTATAACCTGGGGGTATTCTATGCCCAAAAGGGATTATGATAATAAGAATTATTTTATATTAGAATTTGATACTTCTAAAGGATCCAAGAATTTGAATAGCTTTATCAAAGAAAATAAGGGTATTTATAATTTTGAACATCAGCTCTATGGGTTTGATGATCATTATATCTTTAGTATAAATAAATCCCATCCATATAATGATTTTTTAGGTAATTATAACTCTGATACTATAAATCATGATGATGGGAATTTGAAATTATTGAAAAGATCCGGAGAGTATGAAGCTCAATACGATAGTTTAATTAACTCGGTAAAATCTATTCATTCCTTAAAACCAAAAAAATTATCTAAAAGATTACCTATTCAAATAGAGGATAGATCCATTGATATTGTTGACTCTGCACAAAAACCCATAAAAGACGCTAGTGAAAAACTTGATATCAATGACCCAACTTTTATCGAACAATGGCATTTAATTAATGCTATGAATCCAGGTAATGATGTAAATGTCACTGGATTATGGTATGAAGGGATATTTGGTGAAGGAATAACCAGTGCTATAGTTGATGATGGATTAGATGTTGATAATCCTGATTTAAATGAAAACTTTAATGCCAAAGGTTCTTGGGACTTTAATTCAAATACCAATTTCCCAAAACCAAGATTATTTGATGATTATCACGGTACTAGATGTGCTGGAGAAATCGCTGCAGTTAAAAATGGTCAATGTGGTGTTGGGGTTTCTTATAAATCAAAAGTTAGTGGTATACGTATATTATCGGGTACTATTACTGCTTCTGAAGAAGCGGCAGCTATGATCTATGGATTAGATGTGAATGATATATACTCGTGTTCTTGGGGTCCAACTGATGATGGTAGAACATTATCAGCACCAGAATTAATTGTTAAAAAAGCAATGGTTAAAGGGGTTCAAAAAGGTCGTAAAGATAAAGGGTCTGTTTATGTTTTCGCTAGTGGTAATGGAGGACGTAATGGAGATTCTTGTAATTTTGATGGTTATACTAATTCTATTTTTTCAATTACTGTTGGTGCTATTGATTATAAGGGTTTACATCCAGCTTATGCAGAAGCATGTTCTGCAGTTATGGTTGTAACTTATTCATCAGGTTCTGGAGAGCATATCCATACTACTGATATTCATGATAAATGTACTGCAATTCATGGGGGTACTTCAGCAGCTGCACCATTAGCAGCAGGAATTTATTCATTAGTGTTATCAGTAAATCCAAATTTAACTTGGAGAGATGTTCAATACGTTAGTGCATTAAGTGCTGTTCCAGTTAATGAAGATGATGGTAATTATCAAATTACTGCATTAGATCGTAAATATAGTCATAAATATGGATATGGTAAAATAGATGCATATCAAATGGTTAAATTTGCAGAAAAATGGCAAAATGTTAAACCACAAACTTGGTTTTATTCTGATTTTAAAGAAGTTAATGAAGCAATAACTAAAGATCCAAGTGATGATAACAAAGTTATTAAAAGTGTTATCAATATTAATAAAGAAGATTTAAAATTAATGAATTTTGATAAAGTTGAACATGTTACAGTTACAGTTAATATTGAATCTAAATTAAGAGGAGCAGTTGGAGTTAGATTAATTTCACCATTTGGAGTTATAAGTGATTTAGCTACATTTAGACATTTAGATAAGTCAGGTCAAGGATTTGCTGATTGGACGTTTATGTCAGTGGCTCATTGGGGAGAAACAGGAGAAGGAGATTGGACCATTGAAGTATTTTCGGATCCAGAAGTTGATATTAATGAAGTTAATTTTAAAAATTGGCAATTAAGATTATTTGGACAAACTATTGATGCAGATAAAGCAGAAACTTATGATATAACTAAAGATTATGCTAAGATTAGAAGGGATAAACTTGAGGAATTGAAAAACAAGCCAAAACCTGAAGAGAAACCAAAGCCTGAGGAAAAACCTGAAGAAAAACCAAAACCTGAAGACAAGCCTGAAGAAAAACCCAAACCTGAAGACAAGCCTGAAGAAAAACCTGAAGAAAAACCAAAACCCGAAGAAAAACCTGATAAGCCAGAAGACAAACCTGAAGACAAACCTGAAGACAAACCTGACACTCCTGAAGATACCGATGAGCCAGGGCAAAATAAGCAATACACCAATGATCATACTGGACAATATTTCATGGCCATTGCAGTGGTTGGGTTCATTATAGTGATTATAATGATGAGATATCATAAAACCCCAGGAAGCTCTCGCCGTAGAAGAAGAGAAGAATACGAATTCGACATCATCCCTGGTGAAGACTACAGTGATAGCGAAGAAGGCGAAGACGATGATGATGAAGATTCCTTGGATTTGGGTAATGATAGAAGAGCTCCAAATAAATCCAATAATCAATCTAGAAATAGCGACGAAGCCAGAGATCGATTATTTGATGAATTCAACGCAGAAACATTACCCGACTACGAAGACGATATGTTTATAATTGACGACGATGATGAACATGCAAAGAACCCTCCACAAGACCAAAAGCTGCAAGAAGGGTCCACTCTTGGAAGTAGTTACAAGCCCACCGAGGCCAAGTCTTAATGTATAAGTATATATAAATAAAGAATATCCGCAAAACAAAACCCGTACCCACTCCGATCGTCGGCCCTTTCGCACGGAAGAAGCAACTCTTATCACTGTCACGTGCGATGACAAAGCATTCTACTACTGCTACTACTACTATTACTATTGGTACTACTATCACTAGTGCTAATGATAGTAGTAGTAGTAATGGTACTGCTAACGGTACTGCTAACGGTGGTAGTACAAGTAGTCGAATAGTCAAATAGCTAAGTTTACAATTAGCAGTACAAAGGGCAGTGCACTAAAAGCAAACCCAAAATCCAGATTAATTTGTTCTTACTAATGAATGCAATTGCTTTACCCAACCGAATCCCCCAGTGCCCACGGAATTACTCAACCAGTAGTTTTAGTACTAGTAGAAAAACAGAGAATTCCGTATGTTAGTGTAATGTACTCTCAATGATTTATAATTGCGTGAAGGCCAACCAATTTGGCTCGGTCGGATTCTCTCTCTCTCTCTCTTTTTTTTTTTTTCATTTGAATTTTCAATTGCCATCTTCTCCTTACTAATTGATTTTTGAATTGATCATCTTTATAGGGAAAAAGTTTCTTTAAAGTTATTCAATTGATATAAAGAATCGATTTTGCTTTGCTTTGGAGAGTTTATTCATTTGAAATTCAATTGTGTTTTGCTTTTATTATAATACTTGCCTCCTTCTATTAATTAATTAAAGATGTCAGTTGATGCTTTTGGTGACCATACCTCAATTGTTGTATTTGGTGCTTCAGGAGATTTAGCTAAGAAGAAGACTTTCCCAGCATTATTTGGTTTATATCGGGAAGGTCAATTACCAGCAAATGTTAATATTATTGGGTATGCCAGATCAAAATTGAGTACTGAAGAAATTAGAGAACGTATTGTTGATAATTTGAAATTGAAAAATGACAAGGCTAAAGCTAAAGTCGATGGGTTTTTAAAATTGATTAGTTATGTTTCTGGTCCATATGATCAACCAGAAGGATTTCAAAAATTGAATGAAGCAATGAATGAATATGAAAGCAAAAATCAAGTTTCTAAACCAGAAAGATTATTTTATTTGGCTTTACCACCTTCAGTTTTCACTACAGTTGGTTCAAATATTAAAACTTATGCTTATCCACCAAAAGAAGGTAGATTAAGAATAATTGTGGAAAAACCTTTTGGTCATGATTTAGAATCTTCAAGAAAATTACAAGAAGATTTGGCTCCTCTTTTCACTGAAGAAGAATTATATAGAATTGATCATTACTTAGGTAAAGAAATGGTGAAGAATTTATTAGTGTTAAGATTTGGTAACGAATTCTTAAATGCTGCTTGGAATAATAAACATATTAGTTCTATTCAAATTTCTTTCAAAGAAGCTTTTGGTACTGAAGGTAGAGGTGGTTATTTTGATGAAATTGGTATTATTAGAGATGTTATGCAAAACCATATTTTACAAGTTTTAACCTTACTTACTATGGAAAGACCAACTTCTTTTGATCCTGAAGCAATTCGAGATGAAAAAGTTAAAGTTTTAAAAGCTTTTAGTGAATTAAGTAAAGACGATGTTTTATTAGGTCAATATACTAAATCGGAAGATGGTTCAAAACCAGGTTATTTAGATGACGAAACCGTTAAAAATGATTCTAAATGTGTCACTTATGCTGCAATTGGTGTTCAAATCCATAATGAAAGATGGGATGGTGTTCCAATTGTTTTAAGAGCCGGTAAAGCCTTGGATGAATCTAAAGTTGAAATAAGAATTCAATTTAAACCAGTTGCTAAAGGTATGTTTAAAGAAATTCAAAGAAATGAATTGGTTATAAGAATACAACCTGATGAAGCGGTTTATATGAAGATTAATTCAAAAATCCCTGGTATATCAACTGAAACTTCTTTAACTGATTTAGATTTAACTTACTCAAAGAGATACTCTGAAGATTTTTGGATTCCTGAAGCTTATGAAGCTTTAATCAGAGATTGTTATTTGGGTAATCATTCTAATTTCGTTAGAGATGATGAATTGGATGTTTCTTGGGCATTGTTCACTCCTCTTTTGAATTATATCGAATCTGATGATTTCCCTAAACCTGAAGGTTATGCTTATGGTTCAAAAGGTCCAAAAGGTTTAAGACAATTTTTGGAAAAACACAATTATGCTTTCAGTCAAGAAGGATCTTATCAATGGCCTTTAACCACCCCAAATATCAAGGGTAAAATTTAATGCTTTTTCTTTTGTTCTCTCTTCATTAGTCACTAAATATATAGAAATTTTTGATTAAAAATTTTACCAATAATCTATTCACACTTTTGACCTAGTCATTAATATATGTGCACGCTATAATGAATGTTTCGTTTTAAATTATCAAAATGTAATACTACAACTAATACAACTCATAAATATATTGACTATATATGAGATGAAAGATCATTACAAGAAAATTGACTATCACCTATCAGACATCCATGGAAGGTCATTAAGCGGTCACCGACATACTAAGATGGGTTCTTGTTGTATGCTACCGAGGAAACTGCGAATGTTTATGGGAAATTTTCATCACTTAAAATGATAGTCAATTCTCCTGTAATGAACTCTAGAGAAAGATATTCACATACTTCTCTTTAGTATGTGCTTAATGCATTAAGTTATCAAAGAAAAAACTCTTCTTAGAATGAATCAGAACTGTTAAATACTGGCAAGTATAAGTCCTCTTAAACACCACCTGCAACAGTGGATCAATATTAATAGGACTGCTTTCATCCCTGTCGTCATAGTCGAATCAGACTGGGAAAGAAGTAGACTTAATTTCATCATATTCACATTAAAAGAACCTTTCTTCTTTGATAACTATAATCTATAAGCCCATAATAAAAAGAATTATTTGAATGCCCTCTAAAGATTAAAGAAAAGAAGAAGTAACTAAACCAGAAATGCTCTTCTTTTTATACCAAAAAATTCTCACTGGCATCGAAAACAAAAATTTTCTTCCACTTTCCATAAAGGGGTTACCCGGTCTGAGCTATGCCCTAAGTACTTGTATATATACTTATTTAAGTATACTTATTATACTTATTCACATATACTTATCTGAATTCCTTGTTTGAATGTATTTGTTGTTTTGAATATACACTTTCACAATCCTTGTATTCTTATTGAGATATTTGAATGACAGCATGTAGTTGAATAATCGAGTAGACTCAATTACTGCAAAAAACAATCCTGTAGTGGATTCCGTGTTGTAGTCGTCCATAATATACTTTAAGCCCGTAATTTCTGAGTCTATGCTTGAAGATCTTATTTGGGTCTTATATTCATTCTATTTGATCTTATACTTGACAGTATACTGGAAGTTCATATTTGAGTATTTTATTTGAAAATTCTTTATAGATAGGCTATTTGAATCTTTGGCAGTTGAAATGTATGATTTTATAGATTTTCTGTTTTTTCATACATTTCGTCTTTCTTCAGGAACTTCTGCCATTATTTTGTATAAAATTGCTGAAAAATGTCAAAAAATCATTCAATATTGCAAAAATGCCATTTTTCACAAATCAAAAGTAATTTTACCATTACAAAACAATTAACAACTTCCACTTATTCATAACCGTTTGATACCATATAAATCATACCTAATAGGTTTAAAATCCGACTATGTATATATATATTCGTAGATTTGGCTGCGATAACTCGATGCTCTTCGCACAAAGTAAAAAAAAATGAAAAATTCAAACTTGATGAAGACCTGCTTTACAAGCACTTCACTAGGATATAATGAGATTTTTAGCTACTGCAGACGAAACTGGGGCCATTAAGGAGGTTGTTTGTAATAGAGGAACCGATACTTCGAAAAAAGATGCCACTCAACCAATATCTATCAAAAAGATAGCTGCTGGTGAAAACTTGAATATCAAATCAAAAATTTTATTCATGTCAGAATTCAATCAAGAACTCTTGGTATCTGCCAGAGCTAATGGCTGGATTACTGTGAACGACTTGATAAACGAATCAGAAGAAGAAGAAGAACAATACCTCTTACTACATACTTACAAATTAAACGTTGAACAAGGCGATAAACCAGTTGGACTCATAAAATTAGAAGCTCATCAAACTATATTAGTTGCATTTGAATCAAGAAAATTATTCGCAATTCATTTTAATGATAAAAAATTCGATATCAATCCTATAGAGCTCGAATTGGCCGGGGATAAACCAATACAAACATTTGCTGCAAATCCATACCAAGAAGGAATATTTGCATTTGGTGGGAAAGAAAATGATGTTAAAATTGTAAAATTATTTGAATCAAAGGATGCAAACGATGATTCATTTAAATCAAAATCATTTTATACCAATGAAATTGTTTTCGAAGCCGAAAATGTTGAAAATGATTATCTTGACTTATGGGTTCCAGTATGGATAAGCAAAATTTTATTTTTCAAAGATCAACCAGAAAATGGATTCAAGTTTGTCACTGCCACAAGACATGGTCAAATTCGTACTTATAATACTAGTGAAGAGCCCAGCCCCATTGGTGATTATAAAATTTGTGATAAACCTCTTGTATCTTTAAATTTTACTTCCGAAGCTCAAGATGAGGTCATTGTCACTGATACTCATAACTACGTTGCTAAACTTTCATTGAAAAAAATTGATCCAAAAGGTTTTAGAATCAGTTCGGCCAGTGCTGGAGTTATGTTTAGACCAACTACTAAACTCTTGGGTAAGTTTTCCGAAGGGGGTAACACCGGTGCTATATTTGCTGTTGATACTGACTTGGAAGACAGATTAATCGCTTTTGGTGGTCTTGATAGATACTTAAGAGTTTTCGATATAGATAGTAGAAAATTATTAGCTAAAGTTTATTTAGGTACTCAAATAACTGATGTTCTTATTTTAGATTCAGAAGAAGAATTAATAGAATCAGAAGGTGACAAGAAACCACAAGTCATTTCAAGAAAGAGAAGACTTTTACAAAAGCAAGAGGAAGAAGAAGAAGAAAGTGATGAAGAAGATGTTTGGAATCAATTAGAAGAAAATTCAAAAGCCAATAAAAAGTCTAAAAAGACTAAAAAAAATTAAATATACATTTTAATAAAGATAATATACACGATTTAGTTTGTATTTAAATCCATTTTTTTTGTAGGATCATCATCGGTAATTCTATTTTCCAGCATATCACTACTATTTATAACACTCATACATTTCCATTCATTTAAATAATTACATTTCCACAATCTCACTTTCCCATCATCACCAGCAGAACTTAAAATAGTACCAGTCAAATTCCAATTAACTCTCCAAACCTCCCCAGGTCTGTGATCATTTAATTTGGCAACAGTTTCAATCTTGAAATCACCATTAGCAGACTCAATTCCCTTGAAAATACGGACAAACCCATCTTTACAACCGGTTGCAATTAAATGATAGCTACGTCCCATTGAAGGAGCCCAACTGACTGACCTTATTAATCCATTATGCTCTGGCAAATTACCAACCTTAAAGTATTTTGTTTGACTTTGAGCTGGATTTGTTTCCATAAATTCGGCTTCAAAATCATTAGTTGTTTCTTTATTTTTCGAAGTACTATAAATGAAACCTTGATCTAATGCTACAACGATGAATTTCTCAGTTGAACTGAATTTTGATGGACACCATTCAATACCAAAACTACTTTGTAAACTTTTAGCCGGGAGTTGCAGATTCAATATTGGAATTTCTGTTGTGAGTGCCCAGCTTGTAAGGTCCGAAGGTTCTAGGGATTCGTATATTCTGAAAATCCCATCAGAGCCAACACAAGCCAATTTCAACCCCAAGTGATTTGGCGCAAATACAACATCATATATTGGGCCATACGATTCAATTGCCAAAGTAGCCAATTTCAACCATCTTCTACCTGAACCATGGGGCTCATCCGGCTGTTCTTGCCAGAGTTTAACCGTCCGATCATATGAGCAGCTTGCCAATATCTTATAGCTTGAGAACTCGGGATGGGCCCATGAAACCTTAACAATCAGTGAATCATGAGCTTTCCACAGGTCATTTAATACCCATGTCGAGGTTGAAGAGTCCAAGTCAAACACTTTTATATGTTGATCAGAAGATGCTGTCGCTATATTTTTACCATAAAAATCATACTTAATGTCATGAATAAGCTCCTCGTGTCCCGTTATAAATGGAATCATTCTTAGACCTGAGATGAAGTAGTTGTAATAAAATGTATTGATAATTGAAGTTATCTCAATTTTATGCAGGCTTCTTTAGTTTTTGTTTTTTTTATCGTGTCTTTTTTTCCATTTTTTTCATTTTAATACCAACTTATACCAACTTGATAACATTAAGGGATTCATGTCAATGAGTAGAGTCATCAAGGGCTCCCTAGTGGTGCTAGCTATTTCTATAATTGCGCCCAACAAGCCGTTACAGACCCTGTTGGCGTTTTCAATTCTCGGTTATTTGATAACGGTTTCTCTCATACCCAAATTAATGGCTAGTTTTATGAAAATTGGGTTAAAGGGCAAAGATTTATCCAAACCACCTCCAGTGACCGAAATAGCAGAGTCAATGGGTATAGTTTCATCGGTTACGTACTTGTTTTTGATGTTTGGCTTAATTCCGTTTATTTTTTTCAAGTACTTGGTCACATTTACTGCGTTATCAAATGATTCAGTAATTTCAGATAATTACACTGATCAGTACTCTTCGTTGAGTAATAATAAGCTTTTCCCTCATAATAAGTTATCTGAATACTTGAGTGCCGTGCTTTGCCTACAAAGTACCGTATTATTGGGATTATTTGATGATTTGTTTGATATAAGATGGCGTCATAAATTTTTTTTACCAGCAGTGGCTTCATTACCCTTATTGATTGTGTACTATGTTGATTTCAGTGTCACTTCTATTGTGGTGCCCAAGTTTGTTACAGACCTATTACCAGGAGGAGACTTGCTTCTTGAGCTCCTTAATCAAGTGATTAGATTAGGGAACCATCTTGTAACCAAGATCACCGGACTCTCCTTCAGTACTTTACCCAATGATTATGAATACTCCCATGACCAGCCAAAATTGTTGGACTTGGGAATATTTTATTACGTCTATATGTCTGCCATATCCATTTTCTCACCAAATTCGATTAATATATTGGCTGGTATAAATGGTCTCGAAGTTGGCCAATCAATAATTTTGGGGATCATTTTCTTAATCAACGATTTTTGCTACTTGTTATCTCCAGGGGTTCCCCAAGCTGCCCACGATTCCCATTTGTTCTCGGCAATCTTCATCATTCCTTTTATTGGGGTTTCAATTGCCTTGTTTCAGTTCAATTTCTTCCCGGCCCGGGTGTTTGTAGGTGATACCTACTGCTATTTCAGTGGGATGGTATTCGCAATTGTTGGTATCTTGGGCCACTTCTCGAAAACCCTCTTGATCTTCTTATTACCACAAATCATCAATTTTGTTTATTCAGTACCCCAAATATTCGGTTTGGTCCCTTGTCCAAGACACCGGTTACCCAAATTCAATTTATCCGATGGATTAATGTATCCTAGTTTCGGCCAATTGAAGAAACTCACTCCGGTATCTAAAGCAATGCTACTCGTTCTCGAGAAATTCAAACTCATCAAACTCACCAGAGATGAAAAAACCAACCAGATTGTGGCCTTTTCGAACATGACCATCATTAACCTTACCCTTGTTTGGTTTGGTCCATTGCGGGAAGACCACTTGTGTGTGTTGATCATGACATTACAGCTTCTCATTGGAGTGTCTATGATAGTCGTCAGGCACACAGTTGGCCCATGGCTCTTTGGCTTCGACAACTTGACCTGGGGGGTCAAGTAAGTAAATCCTCTGTATATAGACTTTAATAGATGCAAAAAGACCACACTGTATGTACGGGTGTTCCGTTTAACTTTTTTTTTTTTTTTTTTTTTTTTTTTTTTTTTTCGTTTTTGGTGGGAGATGAGCATCCAGTCAATTTTTTCATTTGATTTTGAAGGAAGAGAAAAAAATTTCAATTATCAACTACCTAAAGTCTTATCTTAAACCAAACATCAGCTCAAAGTAAGAAGCCATGGATATCTCTAAGCCAGTGGGTTCTGAGATCACATCTGTTGATTTTGGGATTTTGTCAGCTGATGAAATTAGAAGGTTGTCAGCTAAACAAATCACTAATCCAACAGTTTTTGATAATTTGGGACATCCAATCAATAATGGGTTATATGATTTAGCATTAGGAGGGTTCCTTAGAAACTTATGTGCTACTTGTGGTCTTGATGAAAAATTTTGTCCTGGTCATCAAGGTCATATCGAATTACCCGTTCCAGTTTACAATCCATTATTTTTCAATCAATTATACATTTTCTTAAGATCATCATGTCTTTATTGTCATAAATTTAAATGCAGTGATATCGATGTTCATCTTTATACTTGTAAGTTACGTTTGATTCAATACGGATTGTTATCAGAATGTATCGAACTTGATAATATTCTTATTAAAGGTGCTTCTGCTCTTGATAAAAAACATGATGACGAAGAAGGTGCCGATAATGAAGGGGTTGATCCTGCATTAAGACGTGATTTACGTGAACGTCGTGAACTCTTTGTTGATACCGCCATTGCTACTGCTATTAGTGAAGGTAGAACTACCGAACATGGTATTGTTACTGCCACCGTTGGTGAAGAAAGAAAAGCAGTTGTTCACTCTTTCTATAAAAAATTATTATCTAGACCAAGATGTGCTAATTGTGGTATGGTTTCTCCTTCTTTCAGAAAAGATGGGTTTTCGAAAATTTTTGAAAATTCTTTACCAGAAAGACATATTACCAATAATAGAGTGAAAGGTCTTCAACGTCCTGATATGTTAAAATCTGGTAATTCTACTTCTAGTAGTGAAAATATCCCAAATATTAAACATAAAAGTGGTTCTAAATATGTTTTATCAACTGAAATTAGAAATATTTTGAGAGCCGTTTTCGAAAAAGAACAAGATATAATGCAAAAAATCTTCCACTCTAGACCTCAAAATAAAGAAGTAGTTTCTGCTGATATCTTTTTCATACAAGCTTTAGTTGTTCCTCCAACAAGATTCAGATTACCTTCTAAATTAGGTGATGAAATTCATGAAAATGCTCAAAATGAATTACTATCAAGAGTTTTAAAAACCTGTTTATTAATTAGAGATTTAAATGATCAAATTTCAGCTTTTTTCACAAAGGGTAAACTGAATGTCGAAGATAGAAAAATTGTTTTCAATAGATTAATGAATTCTTTTGTCACCATTCAAAATGCAGTAAATGCATTCATTGATTCAACTAAAGATCAAAATGCTCCAGCCGGAAAATTACCAATTCCTGGGGTTAAACAAGCTCTAGAAAAGAAAGAAGGTTTATTCAGAAAACATATGATGGGTAAAAGAGTTAATTATGCTGCTCGTTCAGTTATTTCTCCTGATCCAATGTTGGAAACTAATGAAATTGGTGTTCCTCCTGTTTTCGCTAAAAAATTAACTTATCCTGAACCTGTCACCTCTTACAATGCATCTGAATTAAGACAAGCAGTTATTAATGGTCCAGACCAATGGCCTGGTGCTATCCAAGTTCAAAATGAAGATGGCTCTTTACAATCTTTAATTGGTATGACTTTGGAACAACGTAAAACAATCGCTAATCAATTATTAACACCATCCAATGATTCTTCCGTTGTTAACAAAAAAGTTTACAGACATATCAAAAATAAGGATGTTGTCATTATGAATCGTCAACCAACTTTGCATAAAGCTTCTATGATGGGTCATAAAGTAAGAGTTTTACCCGGTGAAAAAACCTTAAGATTACATTATGCTAATACTGGTGCTTATAATGCTGATTTTGATGGTGATGAAATGAACATGCATTTCCCTCAAAATGAAAATGCTAAAGCTGAAGCCTTAAACTTAGCTAATACTGATTCTCAATATTTAACTCCAACTTCTGGTTCACCATTGAGAGGTTTGATTCAAGATCATATTTCTGCAGGTGTGTGGCTTACTAATAAAGATAGCTTCTTCAATAGAGAAACTTACCAACAGTTAATATATGGTTGTATTCGTCCTGAAGATGGTCATACCAATGGTAACTCAAGAATTTTAACAGTTCCTCCTGCTATCTTCAAACCAGAAGCTTTATGGACCGGTAAACAAGTTATCACTACCATATTATTAAATATTAAACCTAAAAACGTCCCAGGTATTAATTTGAATTCCAAAAATAAGATTAAAAATGATTATTGGGGTGAAGGATCAAATGAAAATCAAGTCGTTTTCAAAAACGGTGAATTATTATGTGGTATCCTTGATAAGTCTCAATATGGTGCTTCTCAATTCGGTATTGTTCATTCCTTACATGAAGTTTATGGCTCAGATGTCGCTGGTAAAGCTTTATCAGTATTGGGTAGATTATTCACTAATTATATTACAATGACTGCATTCACTTGTGGTATGGATGATTTAAGATTAACTAAAGAAGGTAATGAATGGAGAAATGAAATCTTAAAAGAATCTGTTGATATAGGTAGAGTTGCAGCTACTGAAGTGACTAATTTAGAAAAAGATACTAAGAACGACAATAAAGAATTATTGAAACGTTTAGAAGAAATTTTACGTGATGACGATAAATTAGGTATTTTAGATGCTGTTACCCAATCTAAAGTTAATGTTATTTCTGGTCAAGTTGTTAATAAATGTGTTCCTGAAGGTACTATGAAAAGATTCCCTTACAATAACATGCAATCTATGGCTTTATCTGGTGCCAAAGGTTCCAATGTTAATGTTTCACAAATTATGTGTCTTTTAGGTCAACAAGCTTTAGAAGGTAGAAGAGTACCAGTTATGGTATCTGGTAAAACTTTACCTTCTTTCAAACCTTTTGAAACTGATGCAAGAGCTGGTGGATATATCAAAAGTCGTTTCTACTCTGGTATTAAACCTCAAGAATATTATTTCCATTGTATGGCTGGTCGTGAAGGTTTAATTGATACTGCTGTTAAAACTTCTAGATCTGGTTATTTACAACGTTGTTTAACCAAACAATTAGAAGGTGTTCATGTTACTTATGATAATTCAGTTAGAGATGGTGATGGTACATTAATTCAATTCTTATATGGTGGTGATTCAATTGATACTACTAAACAATCACACATGAATGAATTCAAATTCTGTGCTGATAATTATGATTCATTATTGAGTAAATATAACCCAGGTGAGTTAATTCAACATTTGGATACTGATACTGCATTACAATATAATAAGAAAGTTAAGAAGAACTTAAGAAAACAAAAAGACGTACCACATTATGAAGAAAATATCAAATACGATCCAGTATTATCAGTTTATAACCCTGCTAAGTATTTAGGGTCTGTTTCAGAGAAATTTCAAGAAAAATTGGACGACTTTTGTGATAAGAACAGCGATATGTTTAAAAAGAATAAGAATCTTAGTGAAAAGAAATTCAGGGCATTAATGCAATTGAAATATATGAGATCATTAATTAATCCTGGTGAATCAGTTGGTATTATTGCTTCTCAATCTGTTGGTGAACCATCAACACAAATGACATTAAATACTTTCCATTTTGCTGGTCACGGTGCAGCTAATGTTACCTTAGGTATTCCACGTATGAGAGAAATCATCATGACTGCATCAGCTGCCATCAAGACTCCACAAATGACTTTACCACTTTTGGAAGATGTTAGTGATCCAATGGCTGAATCGTTCTGTAAATCAGTTACCAAAATTCTTTTATCTGAATTTATTGATAAAGTTACCGTTACTGAAACTACTGGTATCCAAGAAAATCAAGAAAATTATAGAAATTATAATATCAAAATGAAATTCTATACTAAGAAAGAATATGAGGAAGAATATGATATTAATCAAGAATACTTGGAAAAAGTTATGTGTCAATCATTTTTAACTCAATTGGAAGCTAGTATTCAAAAAGAATTGAAAAAGAGTGTTAATACTGAATCTGTTGGTAAAGCATTACCAAGATCCAGAACTGATGCAGCATTACCAACCGAAAAATCATTAGATGATGGTGAAGATGGAGATGCATCTGATGATAAATTGAAAGCCAATACCAAACAAGCTGTTTCATATGATGGTCCAGATGATGAAGAAATCGAAGGTATGAGAAAAGCCGAAGAAACCAGTGATGAAGATATGGGAGACTCTGATGAATCATCATCAGATTCGGAATCAGATTCTGATGAAGAAGAGAAAAAATTACCAGAAAAAATTGAATTAAGTAGATCAGCAAAAGATAGACAAGCTGAAGTTATAACATCCCATAATTTAGTTCGTAAATTTAATTTTGATGATAAAGATGGAGAATGGTGTGAATTTGAATTAGAATTAATTGGTAGAACTCAAAAATTATTGATGGTTAATATCATTGAAGATATTTGTCGTAAAGTTGTTGTTAGAGAAGTTCCAAATATTGGTAGATGTCTTTATCCAAAAGTTGAACCAGGTAGTAAGAGATCATTAACTACTGAAGGGGTCAACTTCAAATCAATGTGGGAACAAGATGATTTCATTGATGTTAATGGTATAACGTCAAATGACATTGTATCAGTATTGAAGACTTATGGTGTTGAAGCTGCAAGAAATACTATTGTTTATGAAATCAATAACGTTTTCGAGAAATATTCCATTAGTGTTTCTTCACGTCATTTAGATTTAATTGGTGATATGATGACAAGAGAAGGTACTTATTTAGCATTTAATAGACAAGGTATTGATTCTTCAACGTCATCATTCATGAAGATGTCATACGAAACTACATGTCAATTCTTAACCAAAGCTGTTTTGGAAGGAGAACGAGAAGATTTAGAATCACCATCCGCTAAAATTGTTTTAGGTAAATTATCAAACGTTGGTACTGGTTCATTTGATGTATTTACTAAAATGCCAAACTTAAACTAGTAAAAAAGAAAAAAAAAAAAACTTTACAAAAATTAAATAGTTGTACATTTTAACTTGTTTTAAATAGTCTTAATATATCCATGCATTATAAACTTTGTATTAAATATTATAAGCAGCAATCAAGAAAGATAAGACAAACGAGATCTTAAAACTTGGTTTGTGTAAAAGTAATTCTTTGACATTAATTTTATTTGAACCCAAATTTATAACAGAATTCCATGGAATGGAGATGATATTTCTGCTTTCTAAGAATTGAATTAGAAAGTAAGAAGATAACGATAAGAAAACAATTGCTGAAGATAATTTACCAACAATTATACCTAAAAATAACCCGGTGATTGAACCAATTGATAATTCTTGATAATTCAAAGCACCACCAAATCTAGAAGTATGAATTTGTTTTCTTTGAACAGTGACATTGGAATGGATTTGTTCACCTACTGGAGAACTAGATAACACTGCGGTATCGTTATGAATGAAATTATGATGATAAGTATGAAATAAAACCAAAGAACCGGTTGAACCAAACAATAAAGGTAAAGAACGGAAAGATTTGGTTGAACGGAAAGTAGATCTGAAAATTGAAGAATTCAACTTGGTAAAGTTTTTGCTTAATAATAATCTAGAGGATTGATTGAACATTGAAGAGAACATCACGACGGTTAGTGGGTAAGAAGAGTAGTAGCAATTAATTAGCAGCCTTATGTTGGGTAAAATGCCCATGATTTGTTGCAAGAGCAAAAAACCTCCGTACACGGGACCCACAACTCCTGTGCATCACAAAACGTACTCCTGTGTATTCGTTCTACATAGTCATACAAAGTAAGTAAGTTGCAAAGATATAACCTAACGAGGGCTTATACAAAGTTGAGACAGTAATAAATAGTCAGTAGAGTAAGTAGAGTAAGTAGAGTAAGTAGAGTAAGTAGAGTAAGTAGAGAAGAAACCGTTGCAAGTTTAATGGGAAGAAGTGTTTTTAACCCTTCCAGAATACATCCATACACCAAAACCAGAAATCCGCGCGCCCCAACGGATGAACGTTCCCTTACCGATACACTAAAGCCCATACACCAAATAAAAGTGTGTACACACCAATATACATATTACACCCATACACCACTAAAGGTAACACAAAACCCACAGCCCAAAGAGAAAACATTCACAAAAGCAACAAGCGACTGCCTGATTACCTAAGCAGACGGGCGATGCTGCAGCACCTGCCGAATTAGGCATAAACCCACGGCACTTGCAAGCCTTTGCGCCAATCTGCAAAAAGCCTTTCCCGGTTTACAGGTTCGGTGCACAATGCGTGCCTTTTGGGCCGGTTTGCAGGTTCCGATTAGAATTTGCAGGTTGTTCTCGGGTGCAGTACCGGCTGGGTCTTCTCTTCAAGCGTGTGCAACAATTCTTTCTTTTGTTACTGTTAATGCAAAATATATAAGAAAGTGAAATCCTGCTATACAGCCAGTTGTAGGGTGTACTGGTATATTTGGAGGTTAGGTATATAGTAGTACTATAGTTGGATATATACTATAGTTTGAATGTGCTATAGATAAACTATTGGCTCAACCCATTTAGTAACTATGATTAATGATAACGCGTTTGAAGAGAGATGGCCAATGAATTGGCTGCCGGTGATGAAAGAAGAAAGTAATTATAATTATCAGAATGGAGCTGAATTTTCAAGTCCACTATGTGCAGCTAATCAATTTCATGAGAATGACATGATTGATGATTCATCAATAAAGTCAATTGAAGAATTTCCAATTAAGATATGTCCATCGATATACCTTGGGAATTTCCAAACATTAACTAATGATAAGTTTTTGAATGAAGACAATATCCAAATCGTGATAAATTGTCTGCCAATGACTAAATTTTTGAAATTTTTCAATGAAGAAGGTGATAAGATTGTATTACCAACAAATAAGATGATATTAAATTTAGATCCAAAATTTGATATTAATCAATTAAATCAAGATGAAATATATCAATTGGATGAATTTAATAAAGTTTATAATAAGATATTACAAAATTATCTAAATTTTTTCTATAAAAATAATGATAATTTAAATTTTTTAATTCATTCAACGAATTATAATGACTTAACTAAATTAACAATTAATAATCCAATATTAACTGGGAATTTACTAGTTCAATTTTTCAATATCACCAGATTTATTAAATTATGTCGAAATATTGATTCAAAAATATCAATTTTAATTATTAGTGATGACGGTCATTATCAATTATCTTCAGCCCTACTTATTTCAATCTTGATGGATAATTATAATTATAATTTCGATGCAAGTTATCAATATTTACTTAATTTGAATTCAAATTTAAAACCTTTTAATTCAAATTTTTATGATGATTTAATCATTACGGAAAATTTGAAAAAATTTTACTTTGAAAATTGTAAAATAAAATCTTTAAATCCTTCAATTTTAACAACCAATTATAAGTTGAAAAGAAGAAATGATTACGATGATGAAGTTTCTTGTCGTTCAAATGAACGAAAGAGAAAAATTTTATATCCAAGAGTTTAAATTGTATATTAGTGTATATTTAATGATATGTTTTATTATTTAGTTTCTGGTATACTTAATCCAACCCTATTGGCAGTTCTTCTGATTTTATCTTCTTGATCCATAGCCAATCCTGGATTATAACGTTCAACTAATTCAGTATAAATCCTTTGGGATTTTAAGTAATTTATAATATTACTTAATTGATTCAAATTAGGGCTTTCATTATTTACCAACTTCTCGTGCAAATCTTCATTAATCTTAGGTGGTTTGACTTTTAAATTACTTGACAAATTTGATATTTCTTCACTTATTTCTTCAACTGGTTTATTCAGTTTGATCAATTGAAGTTTCTTGTACTCTAAAACAGCCAGTTGTTTGGTCAACTCCTTGGATAAATGGGTCTTGACAGTTGCCTCATTTATTATACTAAGCTCCGTCTGTAAATTCTTAATCAAAGTCTTTAACTTGGTCATGTTGCTGATACTAGTCTTCCAGAGGTTTTCAATATTCAAATATTTCATTTTTAAGTAAAACCTCCGTACATTGGCAAAAAAAAAAGGGTCGTGCAAAACCATACACCATATAAGCTTACCAACTTACCTACCTTGTATTAAGTAGTATTTAACACAACATGTCTTTTGAATAAGAATGTAAAGGTAACCATATTAGTATAAATAAGCATTCGCTTAAACTCTTAAGTACTCTAATATGTACTAATACTTGCAGTTAGATACGTGATTGACTAATTTAGTTAAAACTGCTTGATCTGCTTAATAGTAACTTTTTACTTCTTATTTTAATGTCACAGTAAATTGGAATTTAATTCTTTCTATTAAAATTGTAGTCTTGAACTGTGTTGGTATTATACCTACGATAGTTTTATAATGTGTCTCATTGTAATATATCCATGTGTCAATACGAAATGACTCTCACAGGCAAGTTATATGAGAGGCTAAGATTCTGTAAAGCCCCAGTTTATACCCGGATAAGAGACTAGAATATACATTATTTGGCCATTTGGTAAAACAACGTCTTTAGTTACGATTATTTGAGTGCAAAGTGCCAAAGACCATTTCTCAATACAGTCTTAAATCACTGTAAAATGAGTAGACTTCACATTTCAAATCTCAATTCCAAGAAGCCAATTTGTTATTATTGAAAATAGGTATGTAAACTTAACTCAAGTTCCTTAACAAACATCTTAATAAAGTTGAAAATGTAGAATGGCTTGTTGCGAATAGCCCAGCCTATTATCCATGTAATATATAGTATGATTTTTTGGTTTGCCATTATTCGTTATTTAAGTTGTAAAGTAAATCCAACATGTCCCTTTTCAAAAATAGATTATGAGCTCCTTTTACTCCAGCAGCTTTAGAATAGCACTTATCACTGCATCCATATGAAGCCTGAATAAGAATGAGTTTCGATCTTATCGACCTGAATGCTAGCTACGGGTATTACAGATTTTGCATCCAAGTCAGTATGTGTCAAACTTACGACTCAAAAGCAACAACAAAAAAAAAGAAAGGGCCGTAATGTTTTTTGAAACGCTCCAAAAACCAATAACTATCATTCTTTCCATAAATAGACAAAATTTTCCTTTTTAAAATAACGGTGGTGAATGTTGATCTTTGAAATGGTGATAAATGTCAGGTTATTTAAAAAGGAGTATCTTAATTTGTAGCATGCCAAATCTTTACAAGCTTTCCTTAAAAATCTTAATCTCTGCAATAGCTGTGATATAATGTTAAGATTAGGTTTTAGAGCATTAGGGGTAAAATAATTGGTATATACTTAACAGAGAAAAGCAGAAAGTATACAAAGCAATTACTTCAAAATATCAGCTATTCTCAAAGGGTATTCTCGGAGAAAGAGATTATAAATAAGACAATACTTCTCTTATATGAATTTTCAAAATTGCATTACTCATTCACTAGCTCTTAAGTGAAAGACAACAGGAAAAAGAATAACAAGATGAGCTCAATAGTATATAGATTTGACGATTATTATATCGTCATTGACAGAAAATCGCTCTATATTGGCTTTTTTGATATTTTCAATAACTTTAATACTTTCAATTAGATATGCGCTTACTTAAAGCGATAACTAGCAATTCTTAAAGGCTTTCTGTGGTATCTGGGTCGAGATGGTATCAGAAGCCTGCCAGCTAAACGTGAAAGTAGTAACTATTCAATGCTGTTAATCAATGAACTAGTCGTGGGCAATCGGGGTATTCTACCTCTAGACTAGACAAAATAGAACAGCACACAAGTACACTTCAAATAAACGCACCGTACATCTAGCATTAGTTAGTCAATATATAAGTCTCTGTAGTAGTCAATGGATGCAAATCCAAAACATCTGTACAACTAAAGTAGTGCACCAACCACACCCATACCACTCAAATGAAAACATACGTGTGCGCACCAAGAAAATCCGGCTCCGAAAAACAAAATGGCCGAAAAAATTGGTCGATTGCAATTTTTTTGAGGGGATTTTGCAATTTCAACCAATTAAATCTTTAGAAAACAAAAGCTTTTGATTTTAACGCAAAAAATGTTACTTCATTTCTCGGAGTACAAGTGATACTAAATCTCGGAACCGATTACTTGAGTATTTGATCTGTATTCTTTAGTAGAACACCTACAGTTACTAATTGGATATTGTATAGGACGTAGTATTAGGCGTACTGACTGGATTGAGGGTATTGGGTGTGTTAAATGTATTGAAGGGTACAGTTCGGAGATGTAGTTCGGAGAAGGATCCCAATTGTATGGGTTTTTCCATTTTTTCCAGGCACTTTTTTTTTTATTAGCTTTTTGTTCTCTTCCCTTTTAATTTTTTTTTTTTTTTTCATCGCTACTCTTCATTCACTTCTTCTTCATCATTACTCTTCAATAATAACCATGTTGAGATCTTTTGTTTCTACTCAAAGAGTATGTGTGATAATGAATTGGTTCAATTAAGAATTCGTACTAACTTTTTAGGCATCTATTCGTTCTTTAGCTACTTTTGCTTCTCCTGAATCAGTTTTACCAAAAAAATATGGTGGTAAATATACTGTTACTTTAATTCCTGGTGATGGTATTGGTAAAGAAATTACTGATTCAGTTAAAACCATTTTCCAACAAACCAATGTTCCAATTGAATGGGAAGTTGTTGATGTTTCCGGTTTAGGTGAATCAACTGGTGTTACTGAAGCCGTTGAATCTTTAAAAAGAAATAAAGTTGGTTTAAAAGGTATTTTATATACTCCAACCACTTCTTCCGGTAAATCTTTAAATGTTGCATTAAGAAAAGAATTGGATATTTATGCTTCTTTAGTTTTAATTAAAAATATCCCTGGTGTTAAATCAAGATTAGATAATATTGATTTTGCTTTAGTTAGAGAAAATACTGAAGGTGAATATTCTGGTTTAGAACATCAATCTTATCCTGGTGTTGTTGAATCCTTAAAAATCATGACTAGATTCAAATCTGAAAGAATTGCTAAATTTGCTTTTGATTTTGCTAAAAAAAATAATAGAAAATTAGTTACTGCTATTCATAAAGCTAATATCATGAAATTAGGTGACGGTTTATTCAGAACTACTGTTAAAGACGTTGGTGCTTTATACCCAGGTATTAACGTTAGTGATTTAATTGTTGATAACGCTTCTATGCAAGCTGTTGCTAAACCTGAACAATTTGATGTCTTAGTTACTCCTAATTTGTATGGTTCTATTCTTTCTAATATTGGTGCTGCTTTAATCGGTGGTCCTGGTTTAGTTCCTGGTGCTAACTTTGGTAGAGAATATGCTGTTTTCGAACCTGGTTGTAGACATGTTGGTTTAGATATTAAAGGTCAAAATACCGCTAATCCAACCGCTATGATCTTATCTGCTACCATGTTATTAAGACACTTGGGCTTAAACCAACACGCCGATTCAATCTCTAAAGCTACTTATGACGTTATCGCTGAAGGTAAAGTTAGAACTAGAGACATCGGTGGTACCTCCTCAACTACTGAATTTACTGAAGCCATCTTAGCTAAATTAGATTAAACAAGCTAGTCCCTCCTTCTTTTTTTCTCTATCATTTATTCATTTATAAACAATAATATATTTCAATCGTTAGTCTTCGGTGTAGTTGAATTCGCTTTCGACTTGAACCTCTTTCTCGGATTAACAAAGTTTCGGAATGTAAATATCTCGGACCTGCACATACTCCCGGAACCTGGAAAGTAGTTCTGGTGTATGGGTGTGGGTGTACTCGAAGTTGCATTTAGCTATAAGCATTCAAGTCTTGTGCTTTATTTTAAAAAAGCACTGCTCTCATAAAGCACTCAAAGTCTTGTGCTAATAATCATTGATCCTCCTTAGTGTAACTTAGTAGTCTGAATAACTCAAGCTATTCTTTTAAGTCACTCTCTACAAGACACCATCATATTTTTGGTTTACGGATTCCGTTAGGATAGGAGCGATAATACAATAATATATTGCAAAGTTCACTCATATCAAAAGATAGTATTTTAATCATCGTTCAAAGGAAATTATCAAACTGGGTCAAATTCAAATAATATGAGAGATTCTGGTAGTATTTATAATAATATATAAATGCTATATATTATGAGAATAGCTCTTTGACTTGTATAATTGTGATCTTAGACTTAAGTCAGTGAAGAAGCAAGATCCAGCAATAGCTAATCCATTATCTTGAAGCTACCATCATCAGTGTGGTAAATGCCCACACTAGTTTTCATCAATACAGGAGAAGAACTGAGGTTTTTTCAGATTAGTTTTCGCAGCCTAAGCAGAGCATTATACATACATTAAAAAATGATATATAAAAAGCCATTTGTCTTTCCTCTATTCCTCTATTCCTGAGTGTAATGGTCATAACCAAGATGACCATCCTAAATTTTGAAGACTATTACGAGTCATTAAAAGAGAAAGTGCACGGTCTAATTGTGTACGGCGGCAAGGTAACATCCAGAAAGTTGGCTACAATAAGTTCCTTTCGCTGCTATATAATAAGGGACAGTCTCTCTAGAAAATTACTGAATGTATTGGCCGATGTTGATCTCTCGCTACTTGCTATTGCTGACAGAGTCTATAGAACGATTCCATTGAGGCCATACTTCAAAAAAAGATCAGGAAGGTCTTTAAAAGAAGCTATCCAAAAACTGAACGTCAGTGTTACTAGAGTCACAGGCACACGAATTCGAAAAATTAAACCAAAACTAACATGCAAACTCGAAAATGACTGTTTCATCAATTTAACATCTTTTCATCGAGATTACAAAGACAAAATTTTAAATTTAAACGAATCAAACTTTTATGACAAGTACGAGCAAATAACTAGGGGGCTCAAAGTGGGATATCGCTATGAATTTCTGTATGAAGAAGGTTACTGGCTGTCTTTTTTTTGTGAACAACATCGGGAAACCTGTTATCGGTTTGCTTGATGTTGCTGATTGTTATATTGGACATGCCAATAGTCATAACAGAACAACTTTTGTGGACAACATCCAGTTTAACACTAATTCAGTGTTAGGTTTGTAATATTTTTTCATTTTTCAAAAACGTATTTCAACACCTAATAATTCCAAAACCTCACGTCCCTAGCTCATTTCAAATGTCCTTGGTCCGCTTGCAACAGTTTCTACTGCACTACCGAC